AAAAAAAAAAATACACATCAGATACATTAAAAAAGTACTCGACAGCTAATGTGTATCTCTAAATTAATGCTAAAATATTTAAATGTATATAAATCAGTAGTGGAGACGCCTTAGACGTCAGCTATATCTAATTTTAATTAGCCAGATTTAGAAAAATCACTAGAATAAAAACAGGTAATAATGAACTAAAAAGGTCATTGTACTTATAGTTTTAGCAATTGTAAATATGTGAAAATCACCAAGATATTCCTAATGCTTTTCCTGAAGATTATAGCTGGAACAACTACGTAAAATCTAACCTTTCAATGACAACTATCAACCAACCTTATATTTTTTACATAATCGAACTAATGAGTATCACATCATATATTTGCATTCCAAAGGTTGACAATTGATTTAATCCATTTCTTTTGATCATCATCAAATTGAACAAGTGTAGCTCCATTATGATCATGAGCACACCAATAATACCCAATACAACCCAGCCTAGGACATTTTTGAAACCCGATTGGATCTCCAAAGATCCTTTGTAATAATGGAACGTTATTATGTACGGGAATTATGGCACCGTCAATTTCTAAAGGTGATTTATACCATTTTTCTAAATCTTCAACAGATTTCCAATTCTTCCGAAGTTTTGCATTCTTTTGGTAATCTATTTTCCATGTTGATTTCTTACAATTTTGTAATCCACCATTTATCCACATCAATTTAAAATCATCATTGAAATGAGCAAGTTTAGTAGAACATACGACATTCTTATCATCACCTTCACTTTCCACAATCCCTATTGCACCAGCATAATTTTTATTGAATGCATAATTTTCATTACCTGAGATTGATTGACCTAACCACCATAATTCTTTATCACCGTAAAGTGGCTCACTCGTCTCTTCCCATAACTGCATACTTGTTGAGATTAATAACCCAGGCAAACGTGCCTTTCTATTCATAACAACGGCTCCACTCTCCATCAACTGTTTATAATGATGTTTAAAAAAATCATTCTCCATGGTTTGATTACCAACTAGAGGAATTTCAAAATCCATATGATCTTTCAACCCTGGTAATAATTTTTTATAAAATTCAACATGACCACTGTTAATGTACTCGTTGGCAGCACGATCCCTATAGAATAGAGCTCCAGATTTAATGTATTCTTTAGTTTGGAAAAATTCAGAAGGATTTATAAAAGGGACAACATCTGAATCCATTAAAATCATCTCTTCAAATGAATTGAATAAAGAAGCTATCCATTTATTGGAAAACCTTGAAAATTGATCACCAGAACCTTCAACTAAGCACCTCTCTGTGTTAACAAACCAAATATCTTGCTGGACTGAGTCGATCAACTCCAGATCTCTTCCTATTCTTACAAGATCTGCCATTGAATCTTGAGAAACATCACCTTTATGAACAAGCTGAATGGGTAGTGTGTTTTGCAAGACTCTTAGACATAAAAGTAATCCTTTCAATTCATTAACACCGCCTTCACTAAAACTAACCACTATTCCTTTCCTATGCATAGCATCAACCAAATGACTCCAAAACGATGTGGAGTTTGAATCGGGGTCAAATCGGTCAAAACTTTCAACTTGTGTAGAATCAGCACTGATCTGAGGGAAGACACCATCGTAAATAGTTCCATCCCATCTTGTGAATATTGGTGATTCTCTGGTAAAACTTGGATAAAGCTTTTTTTCAATGTCTTTAAGATCTATATGGGCTGAGTTATTTTTAGATGATGGAGAATTGATGAAGCATTGATTATAGATTCTTAGATGTTGAATCGATTTGATAACTGCATTCTTCCCTCCAAAGAGTGACTTTCTTTTGGAGAACTCTTTGATTTTCCAGTTTTTGTTTTCTGAATACAGCGATTCAAAGTAATTAGAGCACAAATCAGTTTTGAGTGAACCAGCTAACAAATCTGAGCTGGAATGTTTATTGGAAATCAGCAGATACAAACAATATATGAGAGACAACCCAGCCGTGATAACGACAATATACTTGGAGTTATGCTTGATTCGAGCCATGATCTGGTGCTCCCTCCCTAGTGCAGTTGTTCTCGTTGGAGAAAGAAACCTGGATTCTCATTCCCAAGTCTCCAGATCCCAAATATTGGAACCATCGGGGTTAAATTCGTTTCCAATTGTTGAGGCGTAGGGGCTTATAACCGCATAGTTTTAGAAAACAAGCATTTTCGACTTTGACATTCCGCTAAAGGCCTTTGCATGCAGCACCGTACCTAAAAGATATTACACATACACCTCAAAAAGTGCTGCTGCTATCCATACCCAAACTTGTACTAGGCTACACTCTGCAGAGTCCAGACCTCAGGTATGCTGTCAATCCAAGACACTAGCGTATCTTTTTAGGGGTGCATATTTTCGAGAAGGTCCATTTGATGTGGCCAGGTTTTGAGTGGTGTCAAGCTTGAACAACAACCAACGATTGTAAGAGAATAGTTATATGATGGTAATTGTCATACAGATGGAAGAGCCTTCCAGATAAAGTTGGTCAGTACATGTGATAGCGCTTTAGTATGGTAGTCCAAACCCATATATGGAGTCTGGACGCTTCTGTATGGTATATTTGCTTTTCCAACCAATGGTTCCATATTGTATTTACCGATTGTTTCCAAAAGCAAATTTATACCAGTACACATGGGCCTATATTGCATGGAAACCCAACTTTCCCATATGATGTGCCACTCTACTTCCAGATAGCATCAGCGAACTCTTGTTTGAGCATGATAGTATTTTCTTTCAAAGTGTTTCAGATGTTTGACGCCTGAAGTGTATGACACCTCTTAATTCTCTAAAGCAATATCTCCTAGCTGCAAGCTGCAAGTGCTGTTCATATGATATTTGAGGCGTGCAAAGTGCAAAGGGTAATAAGGTTAAATTTTGGCAAATGAGGGTACTCTAAGTATCCATGGATCGGTATTTTCAATGTTTAAAGCCAGAGATGCTGAACTGATTAGCATGGGGTAAATCAGGCCGGCACAGAAGAAATGGACATTTGAAGGAGAACATGACTACAATAGGTTCTTTATTCACTCAAGATCGGTCAACAATATCATCGTCATTAACGGGGAGAAATTGTATATAAGAGACCTTTTATCCTCCTCAATTGTAATATCATGGATGGTTTTTTTATTTCCTCATAATTATTATATTAATTATAACTAGTCATTAAGAATAATTATATCAAGTACCAAACAAAATCTACAGTTAAAAAAATGAAGTTTATCAATCTTGTCGGTGCCTCAATGCTATTACTTAGCTCATTTGTGTACGCTTCCACTGATGGTGTTATTGTTGATGATGAAATCGTTTGGAAGACTGAGTATACATCTGGTGACTCAGGCCGTATTGAAAAAAGATGTACCAGTTGTGTTGGTAATGGTGGTCCATGTGTCCCAGGTAAAGGTCAATGCCATAATCCTAAAGGCTGCTGGTCTAAAAATGGTGGTCCTTTCGTCTGTCAATGTGCCCAAGGTGGTGAATTTAACTACAACTGTTAATCAATGACATCTCAGTTTAGGCAAATATTTCAAGTGTTATATTAGCCTCAGGTTTTTTTATAACGTTTTCTTTTCTTATGAAATATATAATCACACATATTTAAATTATTATACGAAGTCGCGATCTTCACAATTTATCTGTAGCTGTTTTAATAATAAGTTTTCAATGTGTATCAATCAATTTAAATGCCACTCAATCGTTCTCTGTTTTGGCTTAGGTGCGGCTTTGCCTGAGGTACAGTCTGCCATTTTCAACGGGCCATCTGTAGTACCCTGTCAGGTGTTACATAACCACAACTATTCAATACTTCTGCACAATTCATCAATACTCAACATTTCACATTTACTATATGTAGGAAGAATCAAGAATCCACTAATTGTAACATCATATGTATATTAATGGAACATCGGGTATTTCCATCTATATACACAACAGAGGAGAAATTGTCAGACCTTTTTAGCTTTTGACGAAGAGATCTCACGAGTCACAACTAAGCCCTACAAGTGACAGCTGCAGTATAAAGTGAACGTGTAATAGATTGGATGTATATAATATAAGTATAAGTAAATGTATAATCAATATAAGTATTAGTAATGATTCTATATCATGATCTGATAAAGTAACCCGAAGTAGACAATTGGCCGATAAAATCATGGTATCAAACTTTAAACCACACCCTTTCAAAGCATCGGTTGGCAATATCCCAATGCAAGGTTCGATTGGAAACAGCTGTACGTAAATGGAAAGTCCAACTAGTGATGGGAATTAATGGGCATGTATCGCTTTTTTCAGTTTTTTTCAGTTTTTTTTTTTTTCAAAAGCACAAATCCACCATGGATTTTAGGATCCATAAATCTATTAAAATATTGATATATATGATGGCCAGCTGTATACTAAATTTATATATTGTTTAGATTTGACCATTGAAGTGTACTAGATTCTAGTGGAAGTCTGAAAGGTTATACCATGATATCTTTGCACAGCTTGAATTTATGTAAAAGATTTGAGCATCATTAATATCACGTACCGGTTTAATATAACGTTATATTGATATATCAAACGCCAATTAAAAAAAGTTGGTATTGTTAAAAATATCATAAAGTACTAAAATTTAAACGATTGTAGGCACCTGATTTGAAAAGAAAAGACATCATAAATAACCACTGAAGAACAGTTTAATCTCTTTTCGTGATTTGGGGATTCTGGGTCAACATAAAACCGTTTACCTGTCCAGCTGAGCCTTTCTTGTTCTTGTTCAATGTTTGCTTCCTCCCAATCAACAACATAAGTACCATCACTAACTGAAACAACGTCCCCAATTCCTTGCTTATCCACACAATCATCTATCAAAATCATAATTGACGAAGTTGTTCGTTGGGGTTATGATATATTCACCAGATCAATCTATCCAGATTTTGAGATCAGTTCTGTTAATGCTAGCACATTCTAGAAATTCTGTGATGTTGAAGACAAAATCCAACTCAGTGCTCTTGATGATATTTTGAAGTAAGAAAGCATGGACTAATCCAGTGTAAGCAAAGCCTAACACCAACGATTTGAGTAGCATATCCGAAAGCAGCTGATAGATAAAGACATTTGAACGTATAAAGAAATAGAAATTACACCTTCTTATAAAACTTTTCTTTAGCTTATGTTCAACTTTGCGTCAATTGGATGCTCGACCGCAAGTGTCCGAACCGATCCTAAAAATCCATAGATTTTTTTTTGTAGAAAGAAAACATAAAACATTAGTAAAGGTGAAGAATACGATAAAAGTTGAAAGAGTTGATATTAATTCAAGGAGATGAGTGGAGAAGAACAACCGAAATGTCCAGTTGATCATAGTGCTCGAGAAGTTTGGCTAAAACAAAACGGAGGCAGTGCACCACATCCAATCCCATCAGATTCAAATAATGCTGATAAATGCCCAGTTGATCATGAAGCTAGAGGTAAATGGTTAGAATTTGGAGGGAAGGGGAAAATAGATGGTTCAAACATTCCCATAGAAGTTGAACATTCATCAGATTCCATACCTGATCAACCTATGTATACAAGTGATGTTAAATTACCAACTGAACGAGAAATTTCATCAATTCCAAGAACAGGAGCAAATGCTAATTGGATATATCCTTCGCAAAAACAGTTTTTCGAAGCTATGAAACGTAAGAATTGGGATCCAAGTGCACAGGATATGGAGACTGTTGTTCCTATACATAATGCAGTTAATGAAAGAGCATGGTATCATATATTAAAATGGGAAGAAGGTCAAGGTGCAGAAAAATGTGGTGGTGTGCAGTTAAGTAGTTTTAAAGGTGATAGTAAAAAATTAACACCAAAGGCAAGATGGAAATTGATGTTGGGGTATCAAAAACCTTTTGATAGACATGATTGGACAATAAGTAGATGTGGTAAAGAAGTTGATTATGTTATTGATTTTTATGCAGGTAAACCAAGTCCATTGAATCCAAATATGGCTAGTTTTTATTTAGATGTTAGACCAAAATTGAATAGTTTTGAAGGTGTAAAGATGAGAGTTTTCAAATTTTTTGGATTTTAGAGATAGAGAGATATTCCCATGTATATAGGAAAAAGTAATATAATGAGTTTTACAGGCTTGTAGGGAGGTTTCACATTTATAAATGAGTATATATGTACAAAAAGGGGTTCATCCATCTTCTTTCTTCTTCATCAAATCATAATCTCTTATCTACCAAAAGCACCACTAGCACCAATTTTTTGTAAATTTTCACCAACTTTAACATTAACTTCGAAATATTTTGAAACACATCTATCAATACATAATGATTCGTTTTTATTAACATCAGCTTCACTATAACTTTTTTGAATACATTTAGCATGACAATTATCAACTAATCTGTTAAACATATCAGTGACCAAGTCTAGTTCTGCTTCTGCAGCTTGGATTTTAGCATCTGAAGGTTGAGCTGGGGCACCACCGAATCCTAGGAAAGACATTGTTATATAAGTAGTGTATTGAGTGAAATTGACTTGGATTTGATAAGTGAAAGCAATTTGATTGATTTTATTTCGATGAAGAAGATGATGAAAAAAAAATTGGAAGAAAAGCGGTAGGGCCAGGAACTGGGAGAAGTATGGGAAATTGGGAGGGTTTTAGGAGGAGTTTTGGGTGGGAAAGGAGAGAGTTGATATATTGAAAGTAAGATAGTTGTAATTTGGGTGAGATTGTGGTTGTAATGGTGTAATTTGTGTTAAGATTGAGTGTATAATGGTGGAGTTAGCTAAGAATGTTTAGTACCCGTAAGGCTTTGGTAATTAGCAGGAGTGCATTTGAGGGATCAGGAGACTTGGGAGGGAGAGTATAAATAGAGATCATTAGTAAATAAATGATAACTAATAATCAATACCAATAACTATTCCTATTATCATTCTCTTCTTCCTATTATTCTACTCTACTTCTATTCCGACCACCACCCACTCCCACTTCCGGTCTACGTCTTTTTGTTTTTGTTTCAGCAATTCAAAAAACCAAAAACACGTTGAATTTTGAGATTCAGTTCATTTAATTAACAACAACTAACTAAGAACTAAACCATGGCTACCACCCAATCAAAGAGACACGCTAAGACCCAGTCCTCATTCGTAAGTACACTCACTTTAAAAAGAACCCTGATGCTGCTGGCTGTGATGCTTTCATCTGATCTTATTGGATCTGATCTCATCTTAAGCGCTCCCTGTCAAAGGCAAATTCCAGAGGCAATTAAATCTGAAAAAAACACAGAGATCCAAAGCAAAAACTGCTCAATTCAACCTACAATATTACATCCAACATCCCAAAACCAATATTTCCATCACTTTTCCACTTCATTGCTTGTTTTTTCTCGTTTTTGGCCAGTTTTTTTTTGTCGAGATGAGCTTGTTTGTGATTTCATCGCGATTCTTCGAGAACAAACATCTCAACAATTCCAAGGGGAGACAGAATTCCATTCTCCAACAATTTCAGAAAAAGCACACAACCAGACAGCACACACTCACCACAAAGTTACATCAATACTAACATGCCTATAGGCTTTCGAAAGCACAACCACCTCTGTTGCTGCTAGTCAAATGCGTAATGCTTTAAACAAATTGGCTGACACTGTTCAAGACAAGGAACTCCAAACTAAATTTGAAAATGAAATGGATTCTTTCTTTGCTTTATTCAGAAGATACTTGACTGATAAAGCTGCTGGTAGTACTTTGGATTGGGACAAAATCAGATCTCCAAACCAAGATGAAGTTGTTGACTATAAAAAAATTGCCTTACCAGAAAGTGCTGACAATTTATCAAAATTAGCTGTTTTGAAATTAAACGGTGGGTTAGGTACTTCAATGGGTTGTGTTGGTCCAAAATCAGTTATCGAAGTTAGAGATGGTAACACTTTTTTGGATTTAGCTGTTCGTCAAATTGAACATTTGAATAGAAAACATGATTCTGATGTCCCATTATTATTAATGAACTCTTTCAACACCGATGAAGATACTCATCAAATCATTAGAAAATATGGTGGTCACAGAATAAGAATCAGAACTTTTAACCAATCAAGATATCCAAGAGTCTTGAGAGATTCTTTATTACCTGTCCCAACTAGTTATGATGATGATATCAATGCTTGGTACCCTCCAGGTCATGGTGATTTATTCGAATCTTTACATTCTTCTGGTGAATTAGATGCTTTAATTGAACAAGGTAAAGAAATCTTGTTTGTTTCCAATGGTGATAACTTGGGTGCTACTGTGGATTTGAAAATTTTAAACCATATGATTGATACTGGTGCTGAATACATTATGGAATTAACTGATAAAACTAGAGCCGATGTTAAAGGTGGTACATTAATCAATTACAATGGTCAAGTTAGATTATTAGAAATTGCTCAAGTTCCAAAAGAACACGTTGAAGAATTCAAATCTATCAAGAAATTCAAAAATTTCAACACAAATAACTTGTGGATTAACTTGAAAGCTGTTAAAAGATTAATCGAAGCTAACTCAATCCAAGTTGAAATCATTCCAAATGCTAAATCAATCACCAACAAAAGTGGTCAAGAAGTTAATGTCTTACAATTAGAAACTGCTGTCGGTGCTGCTATTAGACATTTTAACGGTGCTCATGGTGTTGTTGTTCCAAGATCAAGATTCTTACCTGTTAAAACTTGCTCAGATTTACTATTAGTGAAATCAGATTTATTCTACTTAGAACATGGTGCTTTAGTTTTAGACCCTTCAAGATTTGGTGCTAATCCTTTAATTAAATTAGGTTCTCATTTCAAAAAAGTTTCAGGTTTTAATCAAAGAATCTCTCATATTCCAAAAATCTTGGAATTAGATCATTTAACAATCACTGGTAATGTTACTTTAGGTAAAGGTGTTGTCTTAAAAGGTACTGTTATCATTGTTTGTTCTGAAGGTCAAAGAATTGATATTCCAAATGGTTCTGTCTTGGAAAATGTTGTCATTACTGGTAACTTGACAATCTTGGAACATTAGAGAAAACTTTATTTATTCTTTGTGTTTCATCTTCTCCAGTCATTGTTTGTTTCAAATCTACCCTTTTGTCTTTGCTTAATTAATTGCACACCATTCATCTCTTTGAATCTTTTTTTTTTGTGGTCTTTAAAAAAACATTGTATGACATTTAAAATAAGAATTTATTAGACATGATTATAAAATGTAGGCTTATGATTAATTTATTATTGACAATTTTCGAGATTTGTATTTTTCTATTGTTCTCGTGAGATTAAGTTTGAGTTTAGGTTTTAAAAATGATCTTTTGCATACACTTGGCTTAGCTATGGACCAGCTTGTATTTTGCCGGTACAACCAACCCACAAAGTTCATACCCGTTCTACATTTTCCAAATCTAATAATAATTAATATCTATTCATTAAAAACACTTCAAACATTGTTAAAATCATTCTTTTTTTTTTGTTTTTTGTTTTGAAAAAGTTTTTCTTCACTATGACAAAAAATTTAATATACAACAAATCCCCAATCTAATTAACCCATTTTCTGGCACTACGGAATAATCTAACCCATGGACCATAATTCTCCCATAGTTCAGATTCTTTAACTGGATACCAAGAATTAGCTTCTTTTCTAACAACTCTTTCAGGATGTGGCATCATTGCTAAAACTCTACCATTTGGAGTTCTAACACCTGTAACACCATTTGGTGAACCATTTGGATTGAATGGATATTTTTCAGTAGTATTACCATAGTTATCAACAAATCTAACAGAAACTAAACCTTCACTATGCATCTTATCTAATGATTCACTAGATTTGAAAGATGCATAACCTTCACCATGTGCAACAGCAATTGGGAATTTTGAACCTTTCATACCATTCAAGAAAACACTTGGTGTAACATCTGAATTTTCCACAATTTCAACCATTGTAACTCTTGCTTCATATTGTTCTGATAAATTTTTTTCAAAAGTTGGCCAGTTTTCTGTACCTGGAATCAATTCAGCAATTCTTGATAAAAATTGACAACCATTACAAGCACCAAACGCAAATGTATCATCCCTTTCGTTGAAAAATTTATAAAATTCATTTCTAGCCCTTTCATTGTACAAAACAGATTTAGCCCAACCTGAAGCTGCACCTAAAACATCACCATATGAGAACCCACCACATGCTGCGAACCCCACAAAGTCATCTAAAGTAACACGACCTGTAATGATATCAGTCATATGAACATCAACCGCAGTGAAACCTGCTTGTTCAAATGACCAAGCCATTTCTTGTTGACCATTAACACCTTGTTCTCTCAAGATGGCAACTTTTGGTTTTTCAGTTAATGATGAGATTTGTAAATCATCTGTTGGATTAAATGTTAATTTGTATGAAAGACCTGGATCTTGATTATCTTGAATTGATTGATATTCTTGATCTGCAGATTTTGGATTATCTCTCAATCTTTGAATCTTGTATGAAGTTTCAGCCCAAGCTTGTTGTAATGTAGCTCTTGTTGAATTGATAACTTCTTCACCGTTATAAGTGACCTTGATTGATTGTTCCTTGTTGAAAACTGGTTCACCAACAATTGAAACTAAATCTGGTGGAATACCAGCTTCTTTCAACACTGACAAGAATTCTTCATATCTTGATTTAGAAACTTGGAAAACAGCACCTAATTCTTCATTGAACAAACTGGTCAAAGCATCTTCAGATTCATTAGTTAAATCAACATTTAAACCGGATCTACCAGCGAATGCCATTTCTAATAAAGTGACAATCAAACCACCATCTGATCTATCATGATAACTTAAAACTAAATCAGTTTGATGTAAAGCAGTAATACCATTCAAAAATGATTTCAAGATACTAGCATCATGAACATTTGGTGATGAATCACCAACTTGATTATAAACTTGTGCTAATGCAGAACCACCTAATGATTTTAAGACCTTTGCAGCTAAATCAACCAAAACTAAAACTGTTGATTCTTCAGTCTTGATTAATTGTGGGGTCCAAGTTTTAGAAGTGTTACCAACTGGACCGAATGCAGTGATAACTAATGATAATGGAGCTGTAACTTCTTTGTTATCCCATTTCATCTTCATTGACATGGAATCTTTACCAACTGGAATGGAAACTCCCAATTCTGGACATAATTCTAAACCAATAGCTTGAACAGCTTCATATAATTTAGAACCTTCACCTGGGTGTGATGCTGGAGACATCCAATTAGCAGATAATTTAACAGCATCTAATGACTTGATATCAGCAGCGAACAAGTTAATTAATGATTCAGCAACTGATAATTTAGCAGAAGCAGCTGCAGAGATTAAAGCCAAGGTTGGTTTTTCACCCATAGCTAAAGCTTCACCAGTACTAACAATAGTTTCACCTAAAGAAGTAGCAGTAACACCAACATCTGCAACTGGAACTTGCCATGGACCAACTAATTGATCACGGTCAATTAACCCAGTAACTGTACGATCACCGATAGTGATCAAGAATGATTTGGAACCAACAGCTGGTAAATGTAAGACTCTATCTAATGCATCTTCAACTTTAACATCTTTTAATTCAACTGGAGTTAATTTTAATGGTGCAGTTTTAGCAGTTCTTGACATTTTTGGTGGTTTACCAAACAATATTGACATTTCCAAATCAATCGGAGTAGTTTTCAATAATTTATCAGTCAAGATTAAACGTTCTTCAGATGTAGCATGACCAACAACTGCATATGGAGCTCTTTCTCTTTCACAAATTTCTTTAAAGAAATCTAAATCTTGTTGAGCAACAGCCATTACGTAACGTTCTTGAGATTCATTACACCAAATTTCCATTGGTGACATACCTGGTTCCAAACTTAAGATATCTCTTAATTCGAATTTAGCACCAAGACCATTATCGTGGACTAATTCTGGTAAGGCATTTGATAACCCACCTGCACCAACATCATGAATAGATTGGATTGGGTTATTAGCACCTAGAGCAACACAAACATCAATAACTTGTTGAGCACGACGTTGCATTTCTGGGTTACCTCTTTGCACAGAGGCAAAATCTAAATCAGCAGAACCTTCACCAGATGCAACCGATGAAGCAGCACCACCACCTAAACCAATTAACATTGATTGACCACCTAAAACGATCAAGGCAGCACCTGGGGTGATTTTATAATTTTTCAAAGCTAATTGAGGTCTAATAGCACCCATACCACCAGCAATCATGATTGGTTTATGGAAACCTCTAATTTCTTCTTTGTCTTCAGCATTAGTGACGGATGTAGTTAAGGTTCTGAAATAACCATTGATACATGGACGACCAAATTCGTTGTTGAAAGCGGCAGAACCGATTGGAGCTTCGATCATAATATCTAATGGAGAAGCAATATGGTTTGGTTTACCAATATCTTTCAATTCCCATGGTTGTTCATATTCTGGAATTAAAAGATCTGAAACAGAAAACCCTGAAAGACCACATTTAGATTTTGAACCTCTACCAACTGCACCTTCATCTCTAATTTCACCACCTGAACCGGTAGCAGCACCAGCGAATGGAGAAACAGCAGTTGGGTGATTATGAGTTTCCACTTTAACTAAAGTATGAACTCTTTCCTTTTTAGAAGTCCAAACTTTAGTTTTTGGGTTTGGGGTATATAAATAAGCATCTGGACCTTCAAAGACGGCAGCATTATCACTATAAGCACTGACAGTGTATTGTGGGTTTCTTTCTTCAGTGTTTCTAATCATTTTGAACAAACTTAAAGGTTTTTTTTCACCATCAATTTCCCAGTCAGCATTGAAGATTTTATGACGACAATGTTCAGAATTAACTTGAGCAAACATGAATAATTCAACATCAGTTGGGTTTCTACCAATTTGATTAACAAAAGCATTGACTAAATAATCAATTTCACCTTGATCTAAAGCTAAACCCAAGATTTTGTTTGCAGTTTCCAATTTTTCTCTTGGTTTTTGAGATAGATCAACTTCAACTAGTGGTTTTGGTTTATGATGAGCAAATAAATCATCATTAACTGGTGCTTTTTCAATATATAAAGATTGAGTCATTCTGTCATAAACTGAAGTTAATGAACTACCATCAAGAATGTAATTTTTCAATGGGAACCCACGACGAACTTTAACCAAAAGGGCTAAACCTCTTTCAATTCTATCAACGTCGTCATCAAGACCACAGACATTTGAAATATTGGTAGCTTTTGATGACCATGGAGAGATAGTACCTGGTCTTGGAAGGATTCTAATGACATATGAATCCTCATCTTCAGGTTGTAAAGTTTCTTCAGTGGTTGAGATCTTGACCAATTGTTGAGTCAAAGCATCCTCCAAATCTAAAGGTTGATCATACTTCAACAAAGTTTCCAATAGTTGAGATTTCTTTGAATCTTTAGATAGATCTGAACCGTCTTTCAATGAGACATAATGGATGTAGGCAGAACGGATTGAAGTGACGACTGACGAGTTGACGGCAGTGTTGATGTCATTAGTCAAAGTGGCCACTCTGAAAGGAGACAATGCCTGAGGACCAGCTAGAATCAGCAAGGACATTGCGAAGAGTAGATATGTTAGAGCTAGTAGCTAAGGGCAGCCAGTTAGTACTATTGAACAGAGGAAAAACAAGGAATCGCCCAAACTCACTTTAGAACCGAGTAACGCTGCTGGCACAAGAGTTCCTCAACAGACACACGCAGAAGATAGGAAGAAGCCAAATCGATGAGAGCAGCTTTTTGAACTGTTTCTATACAAATTTTCTTAATTTTAAAGGCCCAGTCAATTAAGCGCTGATAAAAAAAAATCAATCGATGACTCCGGGCAACAAATTGAAAAAAAAAATCAGGTCACGTGCACAGATTAATCAAAAAAAAAAAATTTAAATTGTATAAACTTTTCACTTTGATGAGACATAAAGAAGTTTTGAAATATATACAATCACACTATTCACAATGGCCCAAGCTCCTTTAAAAGTCAAGTCCAAGGAAAAGAAAAGAATCACAAAGAAACAGCAGAACCCAAAGAAGGCTGCTCCTAAAATCATCAAGCCAAAGAATGAAAAATTGGCTACAATGTCTAAATTAAGTAAAAGTTATTCTGTCACTGCATCAACTGAAAAATTGATTGCATCTCGTGTTGGTCATTTAGAATTGTTGAAAGGTAGTAGAAGAGAAGTTGAAAAAGAACAAAAATTACTAAAGAAGAAGGCTGAACAAAAGAAATGAGTTGATTATCTTTTTAATTGGGTTATTTGGAATGGGTTAATAGTTTATAAGTTTGCATTAGTTTGATTTTGTTTTTCGTTCATTTGATTTTCCATTATGTATTTATTATGTGTGTTTTTATATACATGAGTTTCATTTAGATATTTCTTGTAAACAATGGAGTTGCATCTTTTGATGCCTTTTTATAACTAAATCTTGATCTTGGACTATAACGAACTGGTAAATAATAATCCAAAAGCATATTTTGCACTGAGGAAAACGCATTTGAGCTAATCCAATATAATCCTAAAGCTGCAGGTGCCTGAGTACAAACAGCCATCAAAAACACTATACTAATTCTTGAAATATTCATCACTGCATCAAATGCTGTTGGTCTTAAACTTCTCTTTGCGCTACTAAAATTTTGTAACTCCATTGTTTTATAATTCCATTCAACATTAGTTAGTGCTAAAACACCTAATGCAACAGGCATTATGCCTAAGGGATCCATAACTGTTAAATCTTGAAACCAAAATATACCTTCATGAATCAATGAAGAATCTAAAGGTTTTGAAGTGATATCAGTCCACCCACTAAGATTTCTAAATGTAAAACTCATAGCAACCCATAAAGGAATTTGAAAAGCTGGTAATAAGAAATTCTTGTATAATTGACAATTATGTTGTTTAAATAATTTTTTTTGACGTTCACGACGTTCTTTAACACTTAGTAACATAATTTGTTCATAATTCAATGACGAAGCAGCAGAAGGTGCTGCATTATTCATAAGAGCATCCACGCCACCAACTTGATTCAATTTTTGATTGGAAACTTGGGCAGCTTGAGCCTTTGATGCTAATTTCAATCTTAACACTGGTCCCATTGCATTTATTATAGGTCTTAATTCATTTTGCTTCTGTGTTCTTTTCCTTTGTAATATAGCTATTGGTAATGTCCAACATGAACGGAATGCTATAGTGGTTAAAGGTATTAGTGCCCACCATGGTATACCACTAACAGTATGAATAGTTTGTAAAGTAGCTGTAAGGTAATCGATGACTTCCATTGGTGAACTGATAAATCTTCTTTTAATCAAAATTTGGTTAGGTTTGGATTGTTTAGCACATCGTATCAAAGAAGGCCTTATCTGAATTCTAGACAGTATCATATTGATTTGGTATAGTCTAATGTAGAAGAGTATTATTGTTCAAAGGTTGCATGTTGACATTTTTTTTTCATGTTCGTGAAAAATCGAAAAATGTAAGGCTACAAGATTTCAAAATTTCAAATCATTACAACATTTTATGGTTTAATACATGGGGGAAAAAACACCAGACATCTTTTCAAATATTTGGTGAATTCATAAAAATACAAAGTATGTCTCTTCTTTTTATTCTTTTGGGAATTGAAGATATTTGAGTGAACGCAATTAATAACGAACGTTCTCCTTCTGGTTTTGAATGCGAAATACCGGGTCTTTTAATGACTATTGATGCCACAAATCAATCAGTAGCACTTCCATCTCTTGGTCTATAGTAAGGTAAGGTTTCTATGATATCTTGAGGTAATCTACCCATAACTTTAACTGCATACAATCCAGGTAAATATGTGTTCACTCTTAACCATTTGGCAACCCATGATTTATCTGGTTCACCGATGGCAACAAGACCCTCAAATGTAGGTGAAGTAGTTGATAAACCAACATCTAATAAATCAACACAGTTGGGACAACCTTCATCTTGAAATCTCTTTGACAAGAAATCGGTTAGCTATGATCAATTTCAACCATCCTGAAGGCACTCACTCTTGAAGACTCCACTATCCCACATAGCATACAAGCTCTGTTACCTAAGGAACTCATGACGTTATATCAAGTTTGATTCCAATCAAGTCAGTTGAATTCACTCTTGATTAAAATAGAAAGATCATCTTCATCAATTTGAAGATTTCTGAATCACTTTCCATAATAATCAAGAAAATTCGCGGGTATTACCCTGCTTAATTGTTGCTTCCAACTTAAAGAACCATAATTTTAAAAATTCAGAAAAATCCGATGTAGTGTAACGGCTAGCACGGTTCGCTTTCACCGAGCAGACCGGGGTTCGACTCCCCGCATCGGAAATCATTTTTTTTGTCAATTTTTTCCAATTTTTTGCCCTTAAAACCCTTTAAAACCCTTCAAATAAACCTTGATATAGTTATAAAAGATACTGTCATGACACTAGTATGCTTTTGAACCGTAAAATAATGTTGAAAACTGATGTTCTTGTTGATGTTGGGGATGTTGATAATGACTCGGTGAAAGCACTCGAGACCATGAATTGCAGATGAACCCGTGATTGCACTAGTGTTCACTGTTTTGTGGGATTATTAAGAAAAGTATACTTTACAAATGGCTCGTGAAGTTGAAACTTAGTTTATTCTGGTTCTTATTCGACGTCAATTTGTTTTTGTGTACAAATGATAAATACATCAGATCCATCGGCTTTAACGCTCAATTTGGGTTTTTAGCTATCACGAAATCGATTGACGACGTTTTAGCCGTACATCTTTAAAATTCAAAAAGAACCCTTGAATATCCTTTCATCTTAACAATGCGAAATTAGTACCACAGTTTCTCAATTATGAGTAACAATAAGATGACAGTCCCAAAGCATAAAGTTCTTATTTTGAAAACTCCAGCAAGACCTGAATTAGCTGATCATATTCCAGAGTTTGAGCAATTCAAAAAGTATTTTGATGTCCAGATCAAAGATGTTACAACAAAAGAGGACTTGATTGAATCATTTGATAAAGATTATCATGACGTTTCAGGCTTGTGGATAACTGGTTATTCTATATGGAAAGTTGGTGGATTAAGTACAGTTATGGATCATCTTCCTAAGAATTTAAAAGTTGTTGTTTATCCATGGGTTGGTTACATGCAAGATGAAGCTGATAAATTGAAAGAGAAGGGAATCATATATTGTAACGTTGGTGATGTTTCTGCAAACGATGTTGCTGATATTGCACTAAACTTGACATTATCTGCATATCGTTTCACTTCATATTTTGAACATCAAGCTAGACAACAATTAACAATTTTACCAGCAAGGATGATATTGGGGAGTCAATCTTTCGATTCAAAGACTGGTGAGCCTGAGGCACCTCCAGATTCTGCAAACTTGTCAAAAAATATGAGTCTTGGTGGGAAAAAAATTGAAACACCAGCTGGTAAAATAGCAGGAATCGTTGGATTAGGAAGTATTGGTGCTGCAATAGGTAAAAGGCTATCAGCAATTGGAATGGAAATTAGATACACCAAAAGAACCCCTTTAAGCCATGAAGATCAAGTAAAATTAGGTTATGAGGCTAAATACTATTCAACTTTCCATGAGTTGATACCAGAAGTTGACTTGATTGTATTTGCAGTTCCTCATTCACCAAGTACTAAACATTTGATCAATCCAGAAACTATCAAACTAGTCAAACCAGGTGTTAGAATAGTGAATATTGGTCGTGGGTCAGCTATAGATGAAGATGTCATGTTTAAGGCATTAGATGATGGAACAATCAATTCTGTTGGACTGGATGTTTTCGAAGGTGAGCCAAGTATTGATCCTAGATATCAAAACAGATGGGATGTGACTATCACTCCACACATTGGGAACTTGACCACTGATAATAACGTGGAATCCAACAAGAGATGTATGGAAAACATAGTCAATGTACTGATTGAGAATGGGCCAGGAATCAGCCCAATCAACTGAAAAATTGTGTACCTAATAAAATAAATAGATATTCCTCGAGAAAACAACCTGCCACTAGTTAAACCACCTCCATTAAAACCGTTTAAACCCTTTAAATTCGAGGATTCCTCATATCGCTCACTCTTGTCGTTAGCTTCCACTTCTGTTAACAATAGCCACACCCGAGCCCATTTGGCAGATATATAAAGGCCGTTGAATCTGAATCAAAACCCTTTCCTTCACCATCATCTTGATGCTTAGCCATAATCCAAAGAAACCATGACAAAGCACAAAGTATTGATCCCAATCCACCCTGACAAGTGCGATTTAGCAGACCATTTACCAGAATTCAAAAAGTTCCAACAAACTTTTGATGTCCACATCGAAGTGTTAACCACTAGTGAAAATTTCATCCACGCGCTAAAGACCAAATATAATGATATCGCTGCCGTCTGGGCAACTTCTTCCCTATACAAATTAGGAGGATTGAATCCCTTTATTGATTACCTTCCAGACACTGTTAAAGTTGTGGCGTTTCCATGGGTCGGGCATAATGCATTTGATGGTAAAAAATTGAAAGAAAGAGGCATCATTTTGGCAAATATTGGTGATAGTCCATCTAAAGATGTTGCTGATATCGCATTATTGTTAACTTTGGCTACTTTTAGATATAGTTCTTATTTGGAACATGCTCTAAGGACTAGTGATGCTAGTATCTCTGAAGCTAGAGATTCATTCGGTAGTGATTCATTTGATCCTAAAACTGGGGAACCAATCCCACCAGAGGATATAAAGCATAAGAACCTTGCAAAGAAATTAACAATTGGTGGTAAAACTTTGGATTCTCCTGCTAATAAAGTTGCCGGTTTAGTGGGTCTTGGAAGTATAGGGAAAGAAATTGCTAAAAGATTGGATGCTATAGGTATGTCCATTAAATATACTAAAAGAACTCCATTGAAACCAGAGGAAGAAGAGGCATTACCATTCAAGGCAGAATTTTATTCAAGCTTTGAAGAATTGATTCCTCATGTCGATTTATTAGTTATTGCTGTTCCTCATAGCGAATCTACAATCAATTTAATTAATAAAGATTCAGTCAAATTGCTTAAAAAGAATGTTAGAATTGTCAATATCGGAAGAGGTACTGCAATTGATGAAGATATATTATTGGAAGCATTAGATGATGGTACTGTTAATTCAGTTGGGTTAGATGTTTTCCAAAATGAACCAAAGATTGACAAGAGATTTTTAAATAGATGGGATGTCGTAATTTTACCACACATTGGTTCTTTTACTGTTGATAATTTTAGAGATGCAAACATTAGAGTCATTGAAAATATTGAAGATGTTTTATTACATGATGGACCAAGTTTATCACCAGTTAACTAACTCCCTATATTCCGTAATTATACAATGCTATTTATTATAACACAATTTTTTGTAACTTGTCTCTAACCTGTCCAATTGTTAATCTTTTCACTGGATCCCTTTCTAATAAACCTTCCAAAATATCCCTTAGTTGAGTAGGTAGAACTGTAATAAACCCACTTTTAGTTAAAACTTCATCTGGTATAATAATATCATCATTCATAATCGAATCATAAAGCTGGAAAATTGTTCCTTCACAATAAAATGGAACTTTCCCATATAATAAACGGTAAATAGTGGCACCTAAAGCCCACATATCTAGTGGTTTCCCATGAATTAATGAACAGCTTGATGCACCTGAACTAGCCTCACAAAATTCTGGTGAGTTATATGCTGGCGTTCCCTTTGGGATCTTACTTAATGTATCATTATCGTTATATTCACGAACCGAGGAACCAAAATCACAAATCTTGATGTTATTATCCTGAGAACGTAGTAAATTGGAAGGTTTTAAATCACCATGAACCACTTTCTTATTATGAATAAATTCTAAACCTTCAGTTATTTGGTTTACCCAAATCATGACATCTTCCAAATCATATTTTGTCTGGTCTTCAAGATTATCTGGAGCAAGCTCATCACCACCAAATTCTAAAACCAAATAAACATTTATACCAAAATCCACTATGGAATCTACTCCAATTATTCTTTCATGCTCCAATTCTTTCATTAAATCATATTCTTCTTTAATTATATCATATTCAGATATCAATCTCCCCCATTGTTTTTGTCTTTTCAAGCACTCTCTTTTCAATGGTTTTTTGAAATATTGCTTCACGACAAATTTCTCATCATTTATAACGACGTTGAGAATAGCACATTTACTTGTCCTGGCCACAGTGCTAAGCACTTTCCAGCCTTTAGGATTATCCATCTCGTAGCCTCCGCTACCATTGAGAGAAGGCAAAGAATCAGCAAAAGAAACTGGTTCTTTTATACTCATCACAGATATCCGAGCGCAACCGTTTTGGAAAAACTGCTCCAAGCGGAAAAACTCAAAAAAATTAAGCCCCAGAGTAATTCTATTGTTACAAAGAAGATCTGGAGGGAAATCGGTTCTTGATTGTCATATTTATAACATCTTGCTTCAATGTTTAGACCCAGTGTCAGATTGTTCCAAAGAGCAACATTCAAAGATGCAAATTTGCTGGAGCTGCTAATACCGGCTTGTAAAACCATGGAGAGTGCATCTCAAGAACTCAACTGGATCAAAAATGAACTACCAAAGCAACAATGGCTACAGGCGTGTAAACAAAGATCTGAGTTGGTACCTTTACAATATATACTAGGAACACAACCTTTTGGACACTTGGAGATCAAGTGCAGAAAGAACGTACTGATACCCAGATGGGAAACTGAAGAATGGTCGCATTTATTGGTGGAATTGGTGAAGAATATCAAAAATTTAAAAGTGTTGGATGTGTGTACAGGTACTGGATGTATCCCATTATTGATGGCTGATTTGATACCTCATTTCAATTTTAAAGGGATAGATATTTCTCAAGATGCTCTAGATTTAGCACTGGAAAATAAATCAAGCCTGGGAATAAGCAATGTTGAATTTGTTAAAGGTGACGTCTTTGATGGAAACATCTTGGGTGGTACAAACTTTGATTTAATCACTGCAAATCCCCCATATGTCACTGAAAAATCTTATTATTCAAAAGATACTGAAGAATCTGTTAGAATATATGAACCAAAATTAGCATTAATTGGCGATACTGAATTTTATACAGCTTTAATAGAAAATGTTGTTAAACCGTCGGGTGCAGATGGATTTATTTTTGAACTTGCAGAGGAAAATCAAGTACAAACAACTAAAAAACTTTTAAATTCAAATTGGAAAGTAACTACATTCACTGATTCAAATGGGAAATTGAGATGTGTATTTGGTTACAAAGTTGGTTCTCAAATGCAAATATTGGAAAATTTGAAATCATTAGGCTGATGATGAAGCTTGAGTTTTTTGCTTCTTTTTAGACAATCCACGTCCAACTGCAGTGACACCTTGTTCAATAGGGAACACTCTCAATGCTGATAATAAATAACCACCACCACCACGCATAGACATCATTGGGTGCAATCTTCCTGGTATGGTTTGATATGGACGGGCCTTAGATTCATGTATGGTTGGAGCTAATATTCTCAAATCATTCATGAACCCTAATTGTGTATCCACTAATAATTCTTTGAATTGACTATAAACCACCATTGGTCTTGAACCACCAACTTTCTCCACAAGACGGTCCAAAAGTGTTGGAGGAAATAATGTAGATGCAACTATTAACCCATCAAATTTACCCCTGGTGGCATTTTCTATGGCTGCATTAGTATCAATAGCATTTTGTCGACGACGATGATAATGTGCCTTTTTATTTGATTTCATTTCTTTCAATTCTTCTTCTGATAAATCATTCCACTCAACTTTTTCAGTTTCAGGTTCAAAAAATTGTAATAGATTTAAAGTTTTAATCATTTTGTGTTGAACATTTTGCGGTATATTGGAATGTTCTAATGCACTTAAATTAGCATGTTCATTTTCATGAACCAACACAACTTCACCAGACCCTCTCATACGTTCTAATAATCCAGAGACAACAACACCACCAGTTTCATCAATAACCAAGTATCTACCACCTGATTGAATATTACCCAAACTTAACAGCAACCCTAAAGTTTCCTCACTCATATCAAGAACTTTACTGGAATCCTTCTCCAAATAATATTGTAATAATTGTGATGAACCTAAATATTCCACTGTGAATCTTCTCAAGAATTTTTGTTGTTTTCTTTTTAAATATTTTTCTTGTGAATGTTTAGTCTTCATATTGAAATTAACATGACTTTTGATTAATTTATCAATAATAGCTTCACCAACATTAGCACCTTTTGAAGTTTTCTTCAAAGTTTCAATCTCCTCCATACTTAATCCTTGAGTTGCATTACCTATATCAACTAATTCTCTATTTGTCTCACTACTTTTGATATCTAATCTTTTCAAATAATCAATTTTCTCACTCAAAGTCTCTGGAACTGGTGTTGCATTTTCACTTTCTTCTGGTTCAGGTGTCTCTTCAGCCTCTTCAACAGGTTCACTTGTGTCAACATTACCATAAGTTGTTGATCTAACTGGACGAACTTTTCTACCATCCAAAACTTCAAAAGTTTGACCAAATGGGTATCCTACAATACCCTCCAAGTCAAAAACACCAAATTTACCCAAGTTTACTGATGATCCTTCTTTAATCTCTGCGATTTTTAAACCATTAGATGGTAAACGAATTAAACAATGAAGACCAAACTGTATCACTGTTGGTCTTTGAATAAATGTTGATTCTTTGGACATATTGACTGACTTTAGTGGTGTTGAAAATTCAATTCAATTTTGATAGCAAATAACTGAGCAATAAATAACCTCAAATAAAGCAAAATCAAACGCCAATAACCACGATGGAAAGCCCAAAGTCAAGTGTTTATTTTGATTTAAGATTCGAATAATTTTTTTTCCACATCTATGAATTGCCGGGTAAACTCATCGCTGTGATTCTTACATAATCACAGCACATAAAAAAAATAAAAATTTTGAATGGTATAAACTTTTCAGATGAGCTTTCTTTGAGTTAATTCCAAAATCTTTGAACCTTTTTGAAAGATTAAAAAAATCATAGATCAGATAAAATGGGTAGCAGACGTCATAAAAACAAACAAGGAGCTCCACCTTCTTACGAAGAGTTCCAAGCTAAAAAATCTAAGAAAGATCAAAAGAGAAAAAGATCAGAATCAGTATCTGAACCTGCTAAACCATCTAAAAAGAAACCTTCAAGAGATGAACAAAGTGAGAAGAAACAAAACAGATCCCATAAGAAATCACATACAAGAGAACCAGAATCAGAAGATGAAAAGGAAATCCTCAAGAGACAATTGGAAGAAGAGAAAAACTTACCAGAAGTTGATTTAGAAGAGTTATCATCTGCAAAGAAATCTCTTTTCGATGAATCAGAAGAAGAAGAAGAAATGGATGATGAATTTGATCTTGATGGTGCTGAAGATGCCGGGGAAGACGATGAGTTTTATGATTCAGATGAAGAAGGTTATGAACGTCCTGTCTTTTCAGATGACGAAGAGGATATGGAAACTTTAAACGCTGCCAACATGGAAGCTTTATCTGCTAAATTGGATGAAGAAGCTGCTTTAGAAGAACAAGAAGCTGAGGAAGAATTATTACAAACTAATATTGTTCAACCAAGAGCTAAAATTCTACCATCAACTGAAGAAGAAGAAGAACAAGATCAAGGTCCAAAAGATGTCACAATTTTACGTACAAGAATGATTGAAATTGTTAAAGTTTTAGAAGATTTTAAGAATTTAGCTGAAGAAGGAAAATCAAGAGCAGATTATACAAATAGATTAATGAAAGATATCTGTGATTATTTTGGATACTCACCTTTCCTTGCTGAAAAATTGTTCAATCTATTTTCACCATCAGAAGCTATGGAGTTTTTTGAAGCCAATGAAATTGCTAGACCTATAACCATCAGAACAAATACATTGAAGACAAGACGTCGTGATTTAGCTCAAACTTTAGTCAACCGTGGTGTTAACTTACAACCAATTGGTCCATGGACCAAAGTTGGTTTACAAATTTTTGATTCTCAAGTTCCAATTGGTGCTACTCCTGAATACTTAGCTGGTCATTATATTTTACAAGCTGCTTCATCATTTTTACCATGTATGGCCTTAGCTCCTCAAGAAAATGAACGTGTCTTGGATATGGCTTCTGCTCCAGGTGGTAAAACTACTTATCTTTCAGCATTAATGAAAAACACTGGTTGTATATTTGCCAATGATTCAAACAAGGCAAGAACAAAATCTTTGATTGCAAATATTCATCGTTTAGGATGTACAAACACTATTGTTTGTAATTATGATGCTCGTGAATTTCCAAAAGTCATTGGTGGGTTTGATCGTGTTCTATTGGATGCTCCATGTTCAGGTACTGGTGTTATTGCAAAAGATGAATCTGTTAAAGTTTCCCGTACAGAAAAAGATTTCATTCAAATTCCACATTTACAAAAACAACTTTTATTATCAGCTATTGATTCAGTTGATGCTCATTCACCAACTGGTGGTTATATTGTGTACTCCACTTGTTCTGTCATGGTTGAGGAAAATGAAGCTGTTGTTGATTATGCCTTGCGTAAACGTCCAAACGTTAAATTAGTTGATACTGGTTTAGAAATTGGTAAGGAAGGTTTCACAAGTTTCAGAGGTAAACATTTCAACTCAAAATTGAACTTGACAAGACGTTATTATCCACATACTTATAATGTTGATGGGTTTTACGTTGCTAAATTGAAAAAGATCGCTCCATCTCCACATGATGTAAGTAAAGCTGGTGCAAAAGAAAAAGAAAACTTGGCTAGAGCTGAAGCTGAAGAAGAAGGTATTATCCATGATGACTTTGCCAACTTTGATAACGCTGAGGATGAAGAATTGATTGAGAAGACTAAAGCTCGTAACTTGAAGAAGAAGGGTATAAATCCACATTCTAAAAAGGAAAAGAAATAAGGCATAGACTAAAATTACTGTACATTAGAAAATATAAAAGTAAAAATTCATAATATGAATTAGCCATTGATGGAAGTTGTAGAGTAACTATATAACATTGATATTTCCAAGATTGTGTTCTTTAATGTAATCTGGACCCATTTCTTCATACTCTTGTTTTGTTAAATAAGCAGAATCTGCTTCATCAGACTGTGTCCATTTTGATATACCCCTCCATGAATCTGATAGTGGATCAGCTGCAGTTCTAACTTTCAAAGGTGCTTCAGCAGGTAGGAATGCCTTATACTCATTATAAAGTCTCTCTTCGAAGTTTTCAAACAAAGCTTGACCACCAGTAACAAAAATATCTTGCAAGACATCATAACTATCACCTGAAAATCCCTTTCCTTGAAGTCTATTGAGTAATACATTCTCTCCAATCTCAATGATACCAGCTTGATCCACACCAGCTATACTTGGTTGGAATAAAACTTCTGGAACTCTTATTCTTTCGATATTTATATGCATTTGATGTTGTTCATGTGCATCTTCTGAATTAAAAGGTCTTGGACCCCTTAGGAACAAATGTGTAATACTTTTCCTCCAATCATACTGTGCATCCAATGTGTCTTCAACAGTGAAACTTGGATCATATTCTAGCAATTCTTTTTCAATCTTTACTAGTTGTGCTTCCTCCTCCTCTAAAACCTCTTCATCGTCAACATTTGCAATATCTCTATAGATTGCCCAATCATCATCATTGGCACCAAATGTATCATTAGGATCATTATCAATTGTTGTGGTGGCCCTTTTCCGTTTGGCGCCACTCGATCTTGTAGATTCATCTGATGCTAATGATGCTATATTCTTCATACGTATTTGAGCAGCATGTGATTTACGATCATTCAAGGCTTCTTTTAACTTTTGACGATCTTTTCTTTTCTGTACTATTTGTTTTAACTTTTCTCTTCTATCATGAATCCATTCACTTAGGTTGGAATCTCTCCATTCAGCATCCTTTCTAGCTTCCTCTTCTTGTCTTAATTTTTCTTCTTCTTTTTCTTTTTTAGCACGTTGGCGTGCATCATAATTAGCTTTTAACAACCTTTGCTTTCTCTTTTCTTTGATTTGTTCTTCATCTAGCTGATCATCTGGTGTATCCACAAGAGGAAAAGATGGAGCTTCATCATTACCATCTTCACCAACGTCTTGCTTTCTGGCTCTTTTCAAAGCCTTTTCCAAGTTTGTGACATATTTGTTAAAGTCTTCTTCGCCTGTGAATCCTTCTTCTTTTAAAGTCGATTGAGTTGATTTTTTATTCATATTTGCCATTTTTTCTTTCAAACTTGTATAATATTCAAATTCTTGTTCTTTTTGAATCAACTTTTCCAATCTCTTTTGTTGTGCCTGTTCTTGTAATCTTCTACCACTTTCTTTTCTTTTTTCAGCTTGACGAGCTAGCTCTTCTTCAGTTTTCTGTTGCTGAATGATTTCTGTAAATGGTGCTTCAACAACTATATCTTTGTCTTCCAATATATCAACATTAAATACTGATTTCAATTCTTCCTCATAATTTTTTGAGACATAACAGAAATCTTTAACAATATTATCAATTTGATAGTTTGTAGTTTTTGTAGGGAAGTATGGATATTTCAATTGGAGTAAAGAACCCATATAGTTGGAGGCTTGATGTCCACCCCAGTTTATTCTCTTTGTTTCTGTCATTAAGCCTTTTCCTTTAACAACAGGTATCACATGTGTTGCTTCATGTCCTGTACCAATAACCAACCCATTTGAACCATTATTTTGATAATAAGAGAATAAACTATCAATACCGATTGCAAGTTTTTTAACATTATAATTTTCATAAAGTAATTCATAAAAGTTTTTTCTTTGTAGAAGCGGAGCAGCAGGCTTTTCTGTCAAGATAACTGGATTATCAACACCTCCAGAAGAATTGACGCCGATGTGGTTAAAAGTATAATCAAATATCTGTTCAACATAGTCCCAATTTGTTATATAAGGACCATCGTATGGAGATCTGGCTTGACTCTTAATTGAAGGATCAAGATACACGTCATTACCGATGAATGTCATAGACTTGTTTAGCTTTCTATCTCTGTATTTGGACAACAAGTTTGGAAACGAGTGTGATGGATCCTCAGTGGATACAATACCTGCTCTGATCGAATTAGAACCAAAGTCGATACCTATTGGAACGTTTGGCTTGTAGTTTGAACTGAATCCTTCTGGGTTGGTTGATTCTGGGTAGTCACGTAGCTCATATACCTTGCGCTTGACCAAGCTCTCGTCCCTTGGAGTGACACTCATCTTTAACAACAACAGCTATTGCTTTGACTGTTTCTTTATGTTGTGCTTGTTTGGCCCAAGTCTTCGTCTTCAGCTTCGTGAAGTTTCGATTCGAATTCGCGAACGAGATTTGTGTTATGTAATCGGCGCGCCAAAAAGCTGTGGAATTCAGGAATCAACAGATCAACAACAACTTTGACCAAACATCTACAAACATTTGTTTAATACTCCCAATTCAATTGCTAATTGTATTGAGAAGGTATAACAATGACTGAAATAAAACACGAGAAGTTCTCTGAACTTTTTGATCGGTAAGTTTCCCATTGCTTCATTACTCAGTTTCCAAAGGGTTGACTAACAATGTGTCCCTTTTAGTCTCGAGAAGGCTACCTCAGCTCTAGAAGGCATTGTTCGCAAACACGACGCCCAATCAGAAAGTGCTGAACTCAAGAAACCTTCGATTTCATCCAGAGCATTATCAGATTTGGACCTTGCCTCTTCCCAAGCTGCTCATACTATTCCAGCTTCGGTTAAGGGTTTCAGCGATTTTCTTGAATTATACATTGACCCATTTGTCTCCCTTTCAAATGAAACAAACCCATTAGTTGGTCAGCAAGCCACAAACTTTGCAAAAGCTTTCCAATTCCAAGCTAAACTGATTAAAGCTGCCACAAAATCTAAGAAACCTGATTTCAGTAACCCAAACATTGTTGCGCTTTTGAAACCATTACAAGATGACGTTGCACAAATCAATCAATTCAAAGATGATAACCGTTCCTCTGAAGTGTTTTCACATTTGAATGCTATTGCTGAAGGTACTGGTGTTTTAAGTTGGTTCTTGACAGAAACTCCTGTTTCTTTCATTCCAGATATCAAAGATTCTGCTACGTTCTGGACAAATAAAGTTTTGAAACAATTTAAAGAATTAGACCAAAGTCATGTTGAATGGGTCAAACAGTTCCTGGGTATTTTTGATGGTTTAAAACTATATGTTAAACAGTACCATACTGAAGGTTTATCTTGGAATTCAAGTGGCGGTGATTTTGCAGCTAATCTTGCAGAACTTGAAGAATCTGGAGATAATGATATTTCATCATCTGTACAATCTGAAAAATCAGTTCCAGTACCATCTGCTGCACCATCTGCTGGTGGTCCACCTCCTCCACCTCCTCCACCGCCTGCTGACATCTTTGCTGATGATGGTGCTAAGGGTTCTTCTAATGCTGTTCCTCCTCCTTCAGGTGGACTAGATGCTGTCTTTAGTGAATTAAACAAAGGTGAAGGCATCACAAAAGGTTTGAAAAAAGTTGAGAAATCTCAAATGACCCACAAAAACCCAGAATTACGTAAAACTGGATCAACTTCTTCAACTTCAAGTAGAAAATCACCACCAGCTAAACCTAAAAAACCTTCAAGTTTGTCATTAAAACCAAAACCTGAACCAGTTGTGGAATTGCGTGATTCTAAATGGATCATCAAAAACGTTGAAGGTGATCATGGTATTGTTATTAATGGTGAAATTGATCAATCTATTTTTATTGCAGATTCTAAAGATGCAACTATCCAAGTTAAAGGTAAAGTCAATGCTGTTTCTATCAGTTCAACTACCAAAGTTGGTTTAGTTGTTGAATCATTAATCTCTGGTATTGATGTTATCAATTCTAAGAAATTCGGTATTCAAGTCTTGGATAAAGTTCCTCAAATTTCAGTCGATAAAAGTGATGAAGGTCAAATTTATTTGAGTAGATCATCTTTAGAAACTGAGGTCTATACAAGTTCAACCACCGCTTTGAACATCAATGTTCCAGATGATGCCAATGATGATTTTAAGGAAATATCAGTCCCAGAACAATTCAAACACACATTCACAAGTGGTAAAATTTCAAGTACAATTGTGGAACATGCTGGTTGAATGTACTACAAACCAATTTTTACGTTTAGTTCGTCTAATTGATATCCTATATACAGATTTAAGTTTTAACGTATATATCATTCCCCCCTCTCACTATAATTATTCTCTTTGACGTTTAGCTTTATTAACGTACCACATGTAAGCACGTTCATGAACAGGTAGAGAAAATGGTGAAATAACTTCAGAGTAACCTGGATAAGCAACTGGATCTCTCATATATACAGCATGACAAGTTTCAAATGAAATTTCAATATGTGATGGTAAAATTGCAAATGGTGCAATGAAAGGTCTAACTTTCCATGGGGTGAAGTAAGTTTTCTTTTTATCAGCACGTCCAAATAAACCCTTTTGGAACGGAAGGTTGATTTTAGCACTTGATTCATCTTCTAATGCTTTAGCAAAATCTGGAATTGGGTGATAGGTTAAACTATCGGCCCATTTTGGGTCATAAGGAAGTTCATGGGCTTCTTCATCAATTTTTTTAGCATTGAATGAAACTCTAATATCATCTAAATGGTTATTATGAAGAGATGATAATAGTTGTTTGACTTCTGAAATAATTTTCTTTTCAGTAGGATTTCTTGTTTCTTGTTTTTCTTTAGCTAAAACTGAGCTTACTATTGTTGACAATTCTTGTTCATTTTTACCATTCAAAATTTCTGAGTTCAATTCTTTAGATGAAGTGGCCTTTGTGAATAAGTCTAATGCATATTTAGCAGTTTCTGGTTGGAAAGCTGATGAAAATGTGTCAATTGATGGTTGCTCAGAACCAAGACCAAGTTTCAAAACAGATGAAAAGATTTTGTTTTTAGTTTCATCTTTTTGTTTACTGATCATTTGTGTATCTAATTCCCCATTGATCTTTTGGACTCTTTCTCTGATAGCTACTTTATCTTCTTCACTCAATCTCTCTGACTTCTTTCTTTGTTGTTGTTCTTCCCAAACTTTTCTTGGATTCTTTTTAGCTCTAGTAACGTATTCATTCCATTTTATTATTTGAACTTTTGTAACTTTGACAGAATCTTTCAAACTTGGTTTTGAAGCACCTAAAGCACTCAACACTTTTTCTGGGCTACAATGGAAAACATCACCTGGCTTCAATTGATAACCTGGTTGTGTTATTTTGATATCATTCACAAAGACATTACCATGCAAAATAAATTGACGAGCTTGTCTGACTGAAGAAGCGAACATGGCACGGAATAAAGCGAAATCTAATCTTTTCTCCAAAACAGCATATGTTTGTAATAGGACAGGTGTACGAGCACTAGTTTCACCACGTAATGAAGCATCTAGTTGGGCAACGGACTCTAGCTTTTGTGAAAAATTGGTTTTGAATCTTGATTCAGTTAAATGTTCACCATGATAAGCTCTTGTTTCTTGTTTGGCTGTCCATTTTTGTTGATAAAAGTTTTTACTTTGGAAACTGATTCTGCTCTTTTTGTAAAGATTGAACAAGTTGTATTTGTTCCATGAGGCACGAACACGGCCTCTGGTAAGACTGTTTAGCAGCTCAGCTCTTCTAGGCATTACTCAAGGGCTGTTTTGTGCAGTTGGATCAGCTCAGTACCGTCCACCATTTTGACCATTTTCATCGAAATTTTTTCAAAAATCACTTGAAGTTTCAAAACACCCAAACACCACTCGCATTTCAATCAAAAAGTAAACAGCTGAAAGAATATGTACATCCTTTTCAAAAGACTTTGTGATATTGAGCTAATAATGGCGATGGTGATGAGAGAATGGGAAACTACAGAGGAGATCACGCTTTTGCGGTCGCTATGTCGATTCAAGCCAGTTGGTAAGTCTACTATCTTTTTTTTAGGCAGAGGCAGAATAAATACTAATCGCTAAAGGTCAAAATAAACACTTTCATATGATATCGATACTTCAGGAGTTGAATCTTGGGAGAAATGATGAGAAGATTATAAAAGCTGTCGATGTTTGGGAGAAACTAAAATCACTTTATGATTTGGAGGGACTAGACAAATTGGAAGATTCAGATGATGAAGATGATGATGACAACGACGACGAAGAAGAGGAGGAAGAAAAAGAAGATCCAGTTAAGATATTTGATCTACCCTGGAGCCAATTTGGAGAAATTATGGAGGCAAAGGCGAAAGATGGTCGAAAAAGTGAGACTACAACTCCAGAGCCAAGTGCAAATGATCTTTCAATAAAGGATGAGGAAGAAGAAGAAGAAGAGGAACAAGAAGAAGGAGAAGAGGAAGAAATAGAGGAACAAGAAGGTGATGAGGAAGAGGGAGAAAATGGCGGTGAAGATGAAGGTAACGGGAGTGTTAAAGATGAAACAGAAGATGAAGAAACTAATGAAGAGGCTAGTGAAGATGAAGAAGATGAAGGTGTGAACCAAAAAATCAGTGGGATAAGACTCCATTCTTTTCCAACAACCAGCGTTAGTGTCTTTTTCGACAGTGAATAGTGTGAGAAAGTGAATAATACAAATGTCACAATTGAATCCAAAGTGAAAAAAACACAGGAAAACGTCCCAAAATGGCAATTCCCTTTTATGAAAGAGTCACCGGGTAACCGGTACACATTCGCGAATTTTCCTTTCGGTGGGCATCGAGTTTGGGCTCGGTGTTGCCATTGAAAACAGATCCACACGTCTGAGGCCATCAACGAGATGCTTGCCACAAGAACCAAATTAGGTCTTTTCACTCGTCAAGCTCCTAGATTCTTTTCCACAACTATCCCAAGAATGTCCGATCTTAAAATTGAAAGAGTTTCACCAGGTATGTTGGCGCAATTGCTGTGTATTTGACCCACGATCTAACAACTATTTAGGTGATGGTGTTAACTTCCCAAAACAAGGTGACTTAGTTACTATCCACTACGTCGGTACCTTAGAAAACGGTAAAAAATTCGACTCCTCAAGAGACAGAGGTAAACCATTCCAAACTAACATTGGTGTCGGTCAAGTCATCAAAGGTTGGGATGAAGGTATTCCACAATTATCCCTTGGTGAAAAAGCTATCCTAACCATTCCAGGTTCAAAAGCTTACGGTGACCGTGGGTTCCCAGGTTTAATTCCTCCAAATGCTACTTTAATCTTTGATGTTGAATTATTGAAAATTAACTAGATTGAATTTGTCGTTTATTAATACGATTTATTGAATAAATTACAGCAATTTCTATGTAGCTCTATTTCTTTCTGGTACTTCTTCTTGGTTGACTCTTGGCTCGTGTTCTCATGACTTTTGGTGGATTAGTTGACGTAGCGGCCTGTTGTGAAGCTTTACTCTTTCTTCCAGGTTTTGAAGCAGCTGGTTCAGGTTTATCACTATCATGTGCTCTAGTTCTCAATCTGCGTCCACCTTCGGGACTCTGTGTGATTCTTCTCTTTTTAGATGCTGCTCCTTTGGCTTTAGTTCTGGCACCTCTTTTCTTGGTCGTGCTCTGTTCTTCTTCTGCTTCTTCACTTTCTTCTTCTGTTTTCTCTTCATCACCTTCTTCGTCTTATCTCCATTGGTGGTGGTTCAGGGGTTAGGACAGTCAATTGAAGAATTCCAATCTCAAAAAGAAGCCGATAATGCTAGTTTGAATGCTAGTAGTGTTATACAAGGTGACAATGCGGAACAGCTGTTCAGAAACCATCCTCAATTAGATGAAACACCATCAATAAAGAGTCTCGTCAAACTATGGCACAAATATCATACGGACCAGATCATTTGGGATTCAAGTGCTTTGAAGTCAGAATCCAATAATTTCCCATATAGATACCATTTCAGATTTGTTGACACACATGCATTACCACAACTCAAAAACTCTGCAGATTCAACCACAATTCATTCAAACTTTGATGAGATTTTCTCTAGAAAATGGATTGAGAAATACAGAAACATCATTCCTTCATTATTTATATCCTTTTATGAACTTGATGGGAAATCTACTGAACCTCAAGAGATTGAAAAAGTTGATCTCGAGCTGATTTCAGAAATCAATGCACTCAAAAACCAATTGAGTAAAAGAAATATCAAGCACTTAGTCATACTATCTTCCTCTGCATCGTCTCTGACCGAGCTGAGTCTTGATGAAAGGCTAAACTTGATAAGGAAACAGACTGGGATGAACAATCGAAATTGTCTTATATTGCTACAATCTTCAACCCCAAAAGAAGTTGGTGCTCTAGTCCATTCAACTTTACAAGTGATAAAAGCTGCAGAGTTGGAATTTTACTCGGGTATGGAAAAGAAAATTAGAAGGAAAAGAGCTAAAACTATAGGAAATGCTAACGATGATTTTTCAAAAAGCTTGATTGAGTCACGCTATGCTTTGAAATTGGGGTTTATTAATGAATTTAAACAACAATATGACTATGCTGTGAAAAGTTTTGAAATTGCTTATGAAAATTTGATTCAAATTTTTGAAACACTATCTCTACAAGACCCAAACTGGAGTTCTTATAGATTATTGGTTGATATTACAATTTTTCATATAGTTAAGCTCAATTTTTATCAAGAAGCTACAAACTTGTCATATAAAAAGTTTGATGTGCATATCCAAAGTGTTGTTTATTTTCTCAAACAGAAAAATATTTCACCAAAATCTTATGCTGTTTGCAATTGGTTATCACAACAGTTCAAATGGCTTGCTCAACTATCTGATCTTGCTCCATATAGTCTGGTTCCAACTGAAATACCATACAAACCAGATGCAAAAGATCCCTTTTCACCTTTAGTGCTACCTCATTCTGGTTATCTTTATCTTCAGGCAATTCACCTTTTAAGAAGAAGAGAATCTTCACTTGAAGACCCAAATTCACTGAAAGATGTTTATTTTGCGGAAGTCAACACTGATGAATTTGATGCATCGTTGAAAAACCTTTTGAATTTTGCAAAGTTGGCATTTCAGAAAAAAGATAACTTATTTCCAAGAAGTGTTTCATTCATTAATTTTCAGCTTGCTGAGGAGCTTTATAAAGCATCCGATTTTGAAGGTGCTGTAAGATTCTATGAACAATCCTTGGAACCAATTAAAGAAGATGAATGGAGTTATTTATCAAGTACTATTTATTATAAATTGTTCAAATGTTCGATTGAATTGAAAAAGCATTATGCTTCAATTATGAATCTTTTAGAATTATGTTTGATACCTGATAAACAACTGAATCAATCAAAGTTATTGAAAATTAAATCACTTACTGAAAATCAAGAGAATTTCAAAAAAATACTTGAACCTAGTACAGATAAAGTGCTGATCAACGTGTCAACAGATGAAACGTATGATATTTTACAATCAGAAGTATTGTTCAAAAGTTCTGAATTCTCATTATCTAAATCAGCACAATTTCAAGTGAAACTGAAATCCAATCTCAACCAGATTTTGAATGAGGTTAAATTTAATGATCTTCTTATAAGTTTCCAAGGCTCGTTTTTGCCAATTTTGTTAAAATGTGATACCAATTTGCCCTCCCAAAATGTATTTGCCGTTGGTGACTTAAAATATGATGAAGATTCAAACTATCTTGTTGGTTCAGCAAATTTAACATTCAGTTCTTATGAAGAGAAAATATTGAAATTTGGAATACCAGCCAAGAAAATAGGTTCAAACACATGTGTCTCAATATCATCTACATTAGAATATAAAGACTTGTTTGAAATCAAATTAAATGTTCCAATAAACAATAAAACTTTTCAAACTCGTCATCATTGGTTTGATGATGAACACGCAAATCGAATTATCACAAATCATACCCCTGAGTCTTGTGAAATTGTCCCAAGAATTCCTGAAACCAAAGTCACAGTTGCTGAAATGAATGAGTATGCTGTTGTTGGTGAGAACTTCCAAATTAATTTGCTAGTTAGTAATAAAGATCACGAGGTTGTTGATTTACATTTAGAACCTGAGGCCAAGTTAGGTGAATCTAGCCTTGAAATCTCTTGCGGTGAAGGAAAAGGAAATAAGGTGGAAATGAAGTCATTGGATACTGAAAATGAATTGAAACAAGTGCTTTCGTTGATTGTGCCTAATTCCATTGATGACCAATCTGAAATTGTGGTCAGTATTAAGGTTACTTTTTTCGTTGGTGGTGATTATGATGTTCCGATAGTTAGTTGGTTAAAAACAAAGATTAAGGTTGTTGACCCTTTCAAGATTTCTCTTTCATTTCTACCAAGAATCGTTGATGATGACATTCCTTCATTGTTTGTGATTAGGGATAATGATCCAAAACTTCCAAAGCCTTCGAGACATTGGTTGACAAAAGTTGTTGTTGTTAATGATTTGAGTTCTGATATTGAATTAATTGGTGAAGAGCTTACATTTGTCTCAAGTAATAAACATCTTATTTGCAGAGAAATTGATGATAAAGTTGAGACTTCAAAACAAGGTGATAAGATGGTTTCGGATCATTTCATTGAAACTGTTATTGAAAATGGTCATACCTATAGAAATATTACGTTTGATTCAATGTTGACCTTAAAATACAAAAGAAAGGATTCAAATGCAATCAATGAATATCAAAACAAGCCATGGAAGTTCACTTTACCATTACTTGATCCAAGAGTTCTATTGGATATAGAGACCAATCAAGATAGCAAAGATGTTAAACTTGTCTTCATGATCGAGAATCCAACAACAAGAATTTTTTCATTTGCAGTGAGCTTGGTTGAAAACCAGAATTTCCAAATCACAGGAACAAAGACACAAAATCTTTCAGTTCTTCCATACACAAGACAAAAAGTTGAGTTTCATGCAGTTCCGTTGGCTTCTGGTTGGGTCAATCTCCCACAGTTGACAGTCTATGATCTCAACTACCGTGTGAATCTTCCAACACTACTGGTCACAGACAAGGCACAGACCCACAACAGAGAGATATTCATCCATATACAATAGAATTGAAATGGAATTCAACGTATGTAAAATTATCGTTTGTAGCTCGGTTTGTGGCACTGACCGTTTCGCGAAAGGCATTTTTCAGATTGAGAATCAGCCGGAATCTGTGGAGAAGCGAGACCTCATCTTGCTCCAATAACAAGGAAGGACATGATTTCGACTATAAAGAACCATTGAATTGACGTTTTGAAGACATCCTTTCTAAAAGATAGAAATACTCAATCAATTTTTCTTTCTCAATCCCAAAAATGTCCTTTAAACACATATTGACTTCTGTCCCAAGATCAGGGGTTCTACAAATCACATTGAACAGACCTAAAGCCTTGAATGCTTTGAATGCAGAGTTATTTGAAGAGATTTTAACTGCATTGAAAGATGCTGATCAAAAAAATGACGATTACGGTGCTGTTGTTATCACTGGTAATGAGAAAGCTTTCGCTGCAGGTGCAGATATTAAGGAAATGTTGCCAATGAATGCCTCAAAAGCCTTGAAAAGAAACTTTTTAGGTAATTGGGGTGAAATATCACAAATTGGACTTCCTATCATTGCTGCTGTCGAAGGTTATGCTTTAGGTGGTGGTTGTGAGCTTGCAATGAGCACAGACATCATTTATGCCTCTAAGAAAGCAGTCTTTGGTCAGCCAGAATCGAAATTAGGTGTCATTCCAGGAGGTGGTGGTACTCAACGTTTGATCAGAGCTATTGGTAAATCAAGAGCTATGGAATACATCATCACTGGAGACAATTTCACAGCTATCCAAGCTGAACAATGGGGTCTTGTTTCTAAAACTTTTGAGCCAAAGACTGTTCTTAAAAACGCTCTGGATTTAGCTGAAAGAATCGCTAGTGGTCCTAGATTAACTGCAAGAGCTTGTAAGAAAGCTGTTAACATTGCAAATGAAACTAATTTGAAGAATGGGTTGGATTTCGAGAGAAGCATTTTCCATTCGTTGTTTGGGGGAGAAGAACAGAAAGAAGGTATGAAGGCTTTTGTCGAAAAACGAAAACCAAACTGGAATTCAAAACTTTAGTTCTTGTATAGTCTACAATACAGCTTCATCTGGTATGAATCCATGTAATACGCCTAATCATGCTAAATAATGATAGACGCTTCTATCGTCCTTATCTCTTTGTAAATATTCCCTTTCCAATAATGCCTCTATTCTTTTTTTGATCAATTGAGGTGAAGGTTTAAATCTTGAAATCTGTTTAACTGTCTCCACTATCAACTCATTATGCCTCAACGTCTTTCTACTTTTCATTATTCTTACAATGGCAGCATCAAGCTCAAATTTTCTATCTTCATCAACTTTCTCAATGGTTTTGTTTCTTTCTGAATCACTCTCAACCTTATTGGCAACAGTCAAAACCTTCACTTTGGTCATTGGAGCACTGAATGCGCTATTAAAAGTGAAAACGTCATCGGTTTTTATATCTTTTGACATCGGTTTTTTGGTTAAAATTCTTGTACGAGGGGCAACTGCAACTGATTGAAGACTTCTAATCAAATCTGGTTTAGGAATTTTAGTCAGTTGTTCAATTTGTTGAAATGTTAGCTCATCATTCTCTTCGAATAGAAGCACTATAATACCACAGTAGAGTGACATGTTGAGTTCATGAATCTTCTTGTCAAATTTCATTCTAATGTCAATGGTACCGAAATTGTATGCCCAGTTCAAACTTCTACCATTGTGCAATTTCAAATAGTACTCATCAAAAGCTGTCTTTAATGAATCCAATTGTGTAGGGAGGATGATCTCTTGATTATTAGAACTTGGTTGTATTGGCCAAAACGTTTTAGTCAACACATTAACGTCAAAATTCTTTTGGCTGAAATTCTTGGAAACTTCTTTTGACAAGTTGATATCTCTAAACATACCCTCTAACTTAGAAGTGAATGAAGACCCGATCTCATTCTTGATTTTTGCAATAACAACTCTCTCCAAATCACTTGATGTCTTCAATAGTCTTTTGGCTAAATGGTTCTTATAATATTTCTCAAATAAATCCTTATCCTTCACAAATCTAAAAATCAAAATTGATTTATTTAAGATTTCCTCCACTTCTTCCTCTGATTTGTTCCCAGTCTTTTTAATAATATCATCAATGAAAAGTGAAAGATATTCAGCAAGTTTAACATTTTTATTCAAAAATTCGACAAATGAATTTTCAATGGTCTTTTGTAAGCTCGCATCATTATTCAAGTTTTTTAAAACCAAATCATATTTATCCTTCAAGGATATGACTTTTTGAATCCATGTGATTGCTTGACTGGTTGCCTTTTTCGAATAACCAGGGTTTTTAGCCTTAACGTTTCCTTCTTGAGGAATAGTCTCGAGTTCATTTTGCTCCAAAGCTAATCCTTCTTCTAGAATTATTTCATTCAATTGAATTTTAAATCCGTCAAAATAGTCAACCCTTGATAAAAGCCTGTATAAAAGATTCAGATCTGCAAACTTTCCATTCATAATCCAATGTTTTAAACCTTCATTTTGAAATTTCATAACTTTATCAATCTTGGACGATATTAAAATCTTGTCAACCAATGACATTAGTTTTGGATATGTGACTGTGGGTAGGTACAAGGCTGATTTATTCTGTTCATTGGTGATAAGCTCATCAATTTTCTTTAGATACATTGTACCATTGTTACCTTCAAATATTTCGGAACTTTTTCTTTCGTAATATTCATGTGTTTTTTCTAGATAGAAAGGCTCAAAATACTTTAGATAGTAATTTTCTCCCATCTCTATATTTTTCTCATCCTCAATCAATGATTCAAACATACCAATAATCGATTTCACCAAAAATATATCAATGATCAATCCATTTCGATTGGCTGTTATCTCCTCCATGACCAACAAATTCAACCTATTCCCAGTTTTATTGTTATCATATTTCACAACGTTATCACGGAATAAATTAATACCGACATCATAGATTAAAGGTAAATGATTTTCTTTTGCATAAACCCTATCCAGATACATCAAGACATCACTGATCATTCTCATGGATAGCATATGGTCTTCCCAACGCGAGCTTATAACTTTCAAAAACTCAACCTTATCGTCATTGGATTCATATTTAATATTCAAAGAGTCCTTGATCCCAAATAAATAATCGCCCACTAGGTTTTTGACTGACTCATAAAGCTGTTTCCCATACTTTCTTAATACCAAATTATACGACTTTCTGTAGAGTTCTTCGAATGAGAGTTCGTAAGCATTTTTATTTTCAATCTCTCTTATAGCATCTGCAAGGACAGCCCAAGACTTATCAAAGTCGACTTCACTGGCAAGGTTCTGGGGATCATGTGTTAGTAAGTTCACTATCATGATTGAAGGGGACCATCGAACGACGAGGTTATGAGGAATACATACCTTCTTTGGTGCTCTGATTCGATTTCTTCTACCACCGTTGGACAGCATTGCGTACAACTGCAGCGTCTTTTAAGGTGGGCTTGATCTCTGACTATCGTTCCCTTGCCTCTGTGAGCTTTTTAGACTGATCTTGAGTTGATGTTTTTTCGATTTTGGAGGCCCTGATCACGTAAGCTGTTCGCGAATTCGCGAATTTTCGGTCTCGCTTCTTTTTCGTTGAAACTTCACAATTTTTGTGCACAATTGAAAACAACAACCAACAGGAAACGTCAAACGTCAAATACTATACTGGGAAAATGTCATCAGATTTATTGGATGTGCTAAATCTTCAGCAGAGAGATGCACCTGCAAAGAAAAAGCAAAAAGTCGCTGAGCCTAAAGTGAAGCGTATGTTGTTACACCTCTGCTTACAGGATTAAATATTAACAAAAACATCTAGAGACTGGTATAAACAGAGAACTTTATAATTTACTAGGTCAGAATACGCCACCTGTTCCTGTAAGAAATCAGCAAAAGTTCAAAGATAGATTAAATTCACTTACGAAACCTTCTCCTTGGACCTGGGCTAGCTTCAAAAATGGATCCAGATCGGATTCTTTACAACTCCATCATTGGGTCAAAGGGTCTAAAGAATCGGTTGAAGCTGCAGAGGTCCCTTATAAATTTGAAAAATATAACACGTCTTTAAATATCCCATCGTTCACTGAAGAAGACTATAACAATTTTATTGCTGATGAGCCAATAGATGGAAATAATGAAATGGATATCGATGAGAATAAAGCACCAGACTCGAAAGAAGAAGAAACCAGTAAGAAACCAGAAACAGAAGATGATGAAACCAACACTGAAAAAACAGCTTCAGAAGTAGAGGAGATTGTTAAACAGCTACCTTGGGATTACGAAGAAACTAGATATTTGTTTGACTTAAGCATTGCTTTTGATCTAAAGTGGGTTGTTATTAACGATAGATACGATTTCAAGGGTAATTCGCGTTCAATTGAAGATCTTCAAGAAAGATTTTATTCTGTCTGCCAAAGAATATTGATTCATGAAAACGATAAGGTCGAAGATACCCAAAACTCAAATTTGATAAGCAACTTGAATTTCAATAAAAGGAAGGAAATCAAGAGAAAAATGTACCTCAATAGATTACTGGAGAGAAGCCCTGCTGAAATTGCTGAAGAAGAATCTTTGCTCATCGAGGCGAGAAAGTTCGAAGTATCTGCCAAAAAGACTATCACAGAAAGGGCATCTTTGCTACAATTATTGGATTCTCCTCAATCTAATGGATCAATCAACCAATATCTCAGCTCACAGGGATTGACACAACTTTATAATTCATTAATGACCGAGAAAAGAAAGCGTCGTGTTGATTCACCTGCTCCTGAAAATCCTCTCACTGCGTTGAATGAAAAGATAAAACAACAGCATATTCAAAGACAGAAACAAATTCAACAAGAAAAACTAGAACAACAAAAGAAAAAAAAGGAAAACCCAATCTCTACTCTACTTTCAAAGAATTTGACACCAAGAGAAGAAGAAGAATTTGGTTTAAAAATTCATGCAGAGAAAATATCACCAGGTGTTGCTTTGAGATCCACTAAGCTATCAACTTTCAAACCTGGTGTTCAAGCAAAAATCACCACAATACTTAATGAAATGGGCTTGGGTAAAAAACCTTCATTGGCCACCTCAAGAGTGGTAGCGAAACAGGAAGAGCTTTACAAAACAATTAATATACTTCTTGAGCTAAAGAGACAGGTCGATAAGCTCGAGGCAGAAGCCAAGATAATTAAATAATAAAGGTTCAAATGGGGTTATAACTTTATCGTAGTCCGTCTTTCTACATATTCAGTGTACCTCAAATAAATTCCATTCAAAACCATTCATCTTCCACTTCACCTTCATAATTTTGAACGCCTGAGTTTTCACCGTATACAGTCTCATCATTAAGGCCACTGCTTTCTGAAAGCTTGAAACGATCCATGAATTTCTCATACTCATGTAGCAGCTTTCTTTGTAGGTCCTCAGAGTTCAAGTTTTGATCTATTGGTAAATTTGCCTCCCTTATACAGTGAGAAATATCCACAGGAACTTTAACCAGGAAAGGAGAATCAGTATCTGGAATTTCATTGTCAAAGATAAGACTTGTTGACATAAAAACGAAACTTAGATCATATAGAACAAAGTAATCATTGGTACCATCAAGAATATTGAATAAAGCAGAAAGTATCCTGTAAATATTTATACTTGATAACAACTGATAATTATAATAATTGCTGTTTTTATGTTTGAAAATATAATGAAACAGCTTCACTGTTTTTGCCAAACAATAAATGTCCATCTGTGAGAAACTTTTCGTTTGTTGCAATAGGACAGAAAGAGACTCAGAAATCTTTGCCAATAAAATCCAACAAACCGGTAACCTAGTCAAAAGTTCAGCATGAATTGAAAGAAAACAGCAGATGTCATAAAATGATGAAATGGATATGTCAAATAAGTCATCTTTGAATAGTTTATTTCTGATTAGTTGTGGATCCAAAGGTATCTTGTTTGAAACTGTATCAAACAACTTTTGTTCAAGCAGAACTAACGAATTTGAATTCACCTTTCTCGCATTTGCATTTCTCTGTGAGGGGCCAATGATGATTCCCAACTCTCTCTTTAAACCATCTAACTCCTGTTCATTACTCAAATAGCCAACGCACCCAACGTCGAGAAATTCGACTATCCGTTTCACGTATTCCTTGTAATGTAAATTCCCTTCACTGATTGAATTTTTCACTTCCGAGCCAACAAATTTCACCAGAGAGCTCAGCAATCTCTTTATAGTGTAATCCGATTCGTTATCCAGGACATTCACAATAAGGTCCAGTGTCAACTGAAACCTTTGGCTTTGAACCAATACCCCCTTAGTGTTGATTAACTTCGAATCAAACTTTTCAATCTCTCTAATGTATGAGTTCAGGCTCGAGCTGTATCTTCTCCCAACCAAATTCTTTACCAAAGATATGATGAATGTTTCTCTCTCAAGTTGGTAAATTTTATTACCAGAGTGCCTCAAAATGTAAGTATATATGAACGGTTCATCATCAAAATCACTGAAGCTCATCAATCTACTCCAATTTGCTAGGTCTTCCGAGACTAATTTACCATTGATGCAACACCATAATGCAGGGGCTAGAGCTGGGCTAATATCACCAAAACTGTGTTTCAAAGATTCAAATCCCTCCTTTTCAGTCGCCAATGTGGAATAATCTCTAATCAAAGGCTCGCATATTTTTAAAAAAGTACCATCATGTTTGAAAGCTGACAACTTAATAATGAGGTTTTTTTGAGTTTTCATCTTGAAAGACTTGAAATTCAAAGCATTGAAAAAAAATTTGATTGGATCTAGTTCTTTTATTTCTATGCATTTCAAAACCACTAAATCCAATGACTTAAATGTGCTGACAAACCCGTTTCTCTCATTGATTTTAACGGTAGATTCTATCATTTTGATAATTATTTGAATATCTAATTTTTGATCTATTTGATAGCCTGCCAAAAGCTCATTGATTCTGGACTCAAAATTCCTCTTGAAAGCAACTGATAAACATAATAGAATATTAACCCTGTTACAGAATGTGACACGGTCCATTAAAGCACCTCTTGAGACAGGTATTATCTTTTCAAGAAATTTACTGGAAGGCTTGTCAGATTTTGTGGAGTAATCCAGTAGCATATTCAAGTAAGTATTCATTGATGTATCTTTGTTGATTCCAACTTCTGAAAAAATAACGGGGAATGACCTTTCAGAAGGAAAATTGTTGAAACGGTTGATTTTTAAAGCTTCATACACCAATGATAGAAGCTCTTCAGTCAATGACCATTTGAACCTAGTTGCAAATTTATGGATATAGCAGATATCAGATCTCAACCCGTTCAAATCTTCATTTTTGATGTGAAGTAAAAGAACATTAACGACAGGATTCCACATAGGCTGTTCAATAGCAGAAAAAAGACATATTGCTTCAACAAATTTCATATCAGGAACAGAAAGATTCCGCAACACTTCAACAATTGGACTGAACGAGTTTGACGATATTATCTCCATGGAATACCTGAATAGACCAGTTTCCTGCAGCTTAAAACAAAAAAGGTCACCTCCTAGGTGACATGCAAATTCCAAGTAAAGTTTTGTTGTTGCCAAAACCTTGGACTGGAAATCATACCCGTATATATGATTTTGGTTGAACTTTTTGGAGCAAATATCATAAACAAGATCACAAATACTCAAAAGATAGAATTCTATATCTTTAACATGTCCTTTTTTCATTATATTGGATTCGATCCTGATTTTAAAACTATCGACGACTCCAACTAATGACCTTATTTCATCAAGATCAAGGTTTAGACAAAAGCACAAAACTTGATTTACTGATTCAATGATATCAGACTTACTTAACCCTTTTAGGAATGATGGATCAACAAAATATTGGAAAACTTCGGATAACTTCTCTGAAGAGTCACCGAATAATTTTGAAAAGACAAATGTTCTTTTCCCAAATGTCACTTTAGCTTCTTGGATATTTGGCAGCTCCTCATTGTTGAGTGATTTGAATATAGATGAACCTTTAAAATTTAAAGTATCAAGGTTCTTGTTGTTGAATTTTTCAAAATCTTTTGGAACTTCCCCCCTAGCTTCCCCATATATTTGCTGATTTGGAAGGCCCCTTAGAGCAAAACTCTCACTTAACCCTTCATAGACTAAAGTTGATGCACCAGCGTTTCGTGGAAGAAGGTTTTCTTTGTCAGGTGTGATGTGGAAAAATGGTTGACTGGTTTTTTTCGGTCTATCTTCTTTGAGCAGATTGACTATACTCTGATAATTTGTATTTGTTGTCTGTATGCCCAAATGTTGTACTTTATTACTCAATATTTTAGACGTTGGATGATGGAGAGGTTTTGGTTTTGAGACTCTTTTGAGAGAAGGAATGTGGTTCCTCTTTCGAGTGCCGGATCTCTTTGGTGCCAAAGAACGAGCAGATGAAGAACGAGCAGATCTAGAGCGAACACTTGACGTAGAATAGTTGTGTGGCTTTGATGCACCAGTATTTCTGGCCTTCTTATGGTTTCTTTGGACAGGTTGAAGCATTGGGTCCAGTTCAGAGGTTGCAACTTCGGCCTCTCCATCTAGTGAGTCACCATCGAAATACTTTAACTTGTGGAATACATGCTCATCTTCAACTGTAGGTTGGAACATAGATAGGTTGCTGTCAGGCGTGAGTTGTCTTTCTCTTCTAACAATTTCCATAACATCGTCTTCATCACTTTCACTCGAGACATCATGATAAGCGTTCAAAGCAGCGTTCTTAACTGAAGCTGAACCAACCTCAACTACTTCTCCTTCTGAGTCTCTGGCTATTTCATGGTCAATTGCTGTCTCAGCAGCTGAAATTTCATTCTCTTGAGAGTTGACCCCTGTAGTGAAAATATCGTTACCGAACGCTTGAGTTGGTCTATTAGCAGCTTTTTTGCGTTTAGCAATACCGACTTGATATTCGGATATATTTCTCTTTCTGGGAACACTTTTCTCCATTCTTTGAACTTTTTGCATTGAGAAGAAAGATTTTGGTAAACCAGATGCTCGAGAAACAGCATCCAAATCCCTGTAGATATGGCCCCTAAATTTTACCACAGTCTCTTGTTGCTGTTGAGAGGCATCTGATTCATCGCTAGAAGAATCTTGTGAAGAGCTTGATGAATATTTTTCATCGCTTTCCAAATCTTCCGGTACTGTACTTTCCTCATCAACAACAGATGCTTTTGTGGTGGTCTTTCGTGCTGTTGGAGGTTCTGGCAATTTAAATCCATTTTTCAAATACTTCTCCAAGCATCCACGATGGTACATTTCTATAATTTCTGGTCTTTTTTTCACCAATTCTGTTGCATCTTCTAAGGGCATTCTTAGAGTGTAAGAAACAGAGTCAATCGTATAAATGTGTTGTTGGTAAAATGAAACATTTCTTCTGCGTGTTGCCCTTCTAGAGTTTTCGGAATATGACAGATCTTCTGATGAAGCATTGAGAATATCGTTGGAGTTACCATTCTGGCCCTGGGCGCCATTGATCGATGGCACTATTGTTGGTGAAATACTGTGTCGAAGAGTGTTTTCAAATGACCCTTCGATGTTGGCTTTCAGCAGTGTGCTAAGTGAGTTCTGTCCTGTCGTTAGTAAACTCCTATTGATTCCCACAACGTAAATAACACTTACTGTTGATTTGGGAGCAAACGAGCTATTGTTTTCTAATTTTGAAGCCAATATGGCTCTCAATATCTGAGGCGAAAGAGACAATAAACTGTCGGTCCCTAGCTCATCTTCTGAGTCTGAGACATGAGGAGATGTCATATGACAATATTGATCATTTAAATTCTTCTGTGGCCTAAGTAATAAGCCTCCTTCTGGTCACTGGATATTGATTTCGACAAGTTCTGGATTCCTATGCTAAAAAGTTTTCACAAAATGTAAACAAATTATTCAGACCGTTATGTTTTGATTTAAATTATAATAATTATCAGTCGCGAAATCTTCTTCCGGGTATCACATTTGGTTTCGCGAATTACGCGTTGTACTGATTCTCATTTAGCTTTTTGAAGCTGTTGGTTGGTTGTTGTCGTTGGTTGCCAGATCTGATAGCATAAAGTCGATACTTTTGTATGGATATCTGGAGCACTCATTAGAAATGTCAGCGCAGATAAGATCTCCTTCAAAGAGGCACTCGGTTCGTAAAATATTTTGATGTTTATTTTGGGATCGTATTCTAACAAATTTCATCTAGATGAGTACCATTGAATCAAGTGTTACAAGGCTCCTAGTGGCTACAAAGCACCTTTTGGAAAGTCTTACACAATGGGCAAAAAAGTCAGCTACAGAGACAGATATATCGGATTCTTACGTCCAATTGGGGAATGAGTTCAAAGTTGCCTGTAGGGCGTTTTCCAATGCTGGTGTTGATGTTACTGATTTGGGTGATGTCCCACACTCTTTAAGAGTCGTTTTAGAAGAAGCATTGTGTGAACCACCTTCACAGGAAAGCCTAGACAAATTCTTACCAACAATCAGAGAAATTATTGTGACACTACTTCAAAATTTGAAAAATAAGCAGGCGATGGTGCGTTCTTTGAGGGCCAACCGCTCTGATGATCCAAATAGAGCACATAGAGCACAAGAAGATGAGACACACAAGAGGTCAGTATCAAATTCTTCGGCCATTTCTGGGAGACCTTCTGCATCACGTTCTAGCTCCTCTTCCATTCCAAAGCAAAGGTCAATATCACACACGGGTGTCACTTCATCTTCAAAAGAAAACCTTCCTTTGGAAGAAAAGAAAACAGAGAAAGAAAATGAATTCAGAAGTCCAGCTGCTACAAACAATGCCCTTCTTCAGCTTCAAAAGGGGGACTCTTTACAGCGTCGTGCTTCAAGGAGGTTTTCAGCTTATCAATATGCTAAACTTACAAACTATTCACCTGGGAGAGATCCTGAGCTTCCAATAGATCGTGGCCAAGTTGAATCAAGGAAAGGTCCTGGACTGAGCTCCCTTCAGCTGGAATCCACAAAGGATGTCGCTAAAGAGGGTGAAGATGGCAGCATCAATGTTTTCTTGAAAATTGAGGAAAAGGTTAAAAAGGCGGTGTTATCCACTCCAGTTTCATTCACATCATTGAGATTATTGTTTGTTGAAAAATTTGCTTACTCACCAGGTTCCGGCTCATTTCCTGACATCTACATACAAGATAATGTAAATGGGGTATCATATATGTTAGAGGAACATCTGTTCTCCGATATCAAGGAAGGTTCAATAATATCACTAAGTATAAATAAAACTGATGATTTCCTAAGGGAACTCAAAACATCTTTGCAGTCATTTCAAGATGACTTCAAGTCGAAATACGACCAATTTACACAAAGCACAAAAGAGTATGTTGAAGATTCCAATAAGAACATGCTCGATAAACTCGAGTTAATGATAGGAGGCTCTGATCAAAAGTCTATTAAAATGACAAAGAGTGCACCCCTTGAAAAAAAGCCAACCCGATCAATGTTGGAATTGGATGACATGTCGGATCTTATTGATATTCGTCATGAAGTTTCAGTGATTAAGCAAATCAACAACACCAATAAAGCATCTTTCAAGTCATCTGTTGAGCAAGTTTTACAAAAAGTCAATGAGTTCAAGGCCCTTTCGTTTGAATCCTCAAAATCATCCAACAGAGCGTACATGGAAGAGTCACACCAAAAGCTCTCCACTACTTCAGATGGCTTGTTGACCAAGTTTGACGATTTACAAGATGTGATTGAAGCTTTGAGAAAGGATGTTGCTCAAAGAGGTTCTCGTCCTTCTCAAAAACAATTGGAGCATGTCTCAAAACAAATCACTGATGCAACTTCTGACCTTGATACAATGGTTAAGTATATTTCAACAGAAAAACCAAATTGGAAAAAAATTTGGGAGAGTGAATTGGATACAGTATGTTCCGAACAACAATTTTTAACACTACAAGAGGATCTTGCTCATGACTTGAAAGAAGACTTGGAAAAGGCCACTGAAACATTTGATCTTGTGAAGCAATGCTGTGAGGAACAATCAAAAAACCCAAAGATGCGTGCAGCAAATCTTCCTATCCCAGAACCAGGAAGTATGGGAAACTTGAGAGATGCACTTCTATCAGAAGTTGAGGCGTTGAGGCCAAATCATGATGGCCGTGTTGAAGCTATTGAGAAAGCTGAAAAGCTCAGGCAGAGGGAAAGACAACTTTCAATGCTTAATGGGTTTGAAGAAGAACTGGGTGGATTTGTTGAAAACGCAAAGTTGAAAAAGAGTGGTGGTATCGAAGAGGTAGAAAGAGTTCGAAAAATGAAGGATGAACAAAATTTAAGAAGCAACTTTGCTCCATTTTAATAAGTAGATATGAATATGCATTTCAATATACTTCTATTAGCATTTTTTCCAAAAATTGGATCACTTTACATAGTTTTGTGTGTTTGTGTTTTAATATGATCAAGAAAGCTTGGATTATGGTGATCTTAACTTCTTTCAATAGTAGAACATCTGTTCTTTCTGAACTAATTACATTCAGCGTATCTTCAATGATTTGATTGAAAAAGGTGCCAAAGTTTTTGACGGTTGGCGTTATTTTTTTGGTTCCTTGTTGATAAGATTTTGCTAAATTAGTTACTAAAATGAAAACCTGCTTTAACACAGTACCTGCATCATTTGTTTTCACAAACTTTAATGTGTTGCTAGATAGACGTATTTTGAAAAGCCACAATAACTTTTGAGTCAATTTCTTATGGGACCGGAAATTTGACAATCCTATTGTTTCATATTGCTTCAAAACTGCAAGATTGGATATGTTGATATCGTATCCACAAAATGAAAATACCTTGCTCTCTTGCTCGTTGTAACCGCCACTTGAAAAATTTAGGAAAGTTTTCAGCTTATTGACCTTCATCCCGTACTCTTCAAACCCCAAGCTTATCATCTTTTTAACTTGAAGGATGCTGGTTTTATTTGTTGATATAATCAAAAAATCGTCAGCCAGTCTTAAAATCAAGCTTTCTGTTGGTTCAAGAAACTCAAATTTATCATCCACCAACTTATCGTACACCAAATCACAAAATATACTTGAAAGATGTAACCCTTGAAAAACACCTTTTTGGCGCCCATAGCTCTTGTTATTAAATATAGTGTAAGCTTGGTCAACTTGTGAGTCAACAATAGCTTTTATCTCTTCTCCGCGTAGTGACACAACATAGTCACTTCCCAGTCTTAAAGTTTTGCTTCTTTTCTGTTTGTGTAGGCTTTCTGATACGGTGTCCATTGTAGCCAGGTTCTTGACGTTTTTGACCGTTTGTGTGACCAGGTCAAAATTAGATGTTGAATTCAAATAATAAACCACATCGTCAGAAATCAGTTTCGAGGTACAGCTCTTAATAATGTCTTTGGGTAAATTATCATAACATTTTTCAGCGTCAAACTTGATAAAATAAAGTAAGGGGACAGTACCATATTGAGCGTAGAGCATCTTTTTAAAATTCGATAGCAGAAGAGGAACATCAGTGACTGAAGTAAGCCTAGGAAATTTGGGTTTTTCGAGTAGGCGAGCCTGACTTAATATCTGTCTAGTAGGTCTGACTTCTTTCTTTATGTACTCATGATAATCGGCTTGCTGTTCAACATTTCTCCCTCTTAAAGGAACATTTATCACTCTGAAATCATTGTTTTTCTTTGGCATCACTCTCAGCAGGCACCTGACTTCGAAGTTATTGGAGTTCTCTTTCGGCTTGAATTCAGTTAATTTGACCAGATTTTCATTTCTATACTTTTGGAAAAAGTCTTTTGAAATTTTATACCATGATGAATGACGGAAATAAAGTAGGTCTTTGGATGAAGATATATGGGTGATGTGGAAAAATGATGCTAGCAATTTGTTAAAAAAATCTGTGAATAGCCATCCTAAGAAGCATGTGAAACGATTATACCGTGCTTCGTGATCTTGTTTATTCCATTTTTTGCTAGTGGGTTTACCTAACCAGTGTATATCTTTTAGTTTAATATGGTCAAATAAATCTGTCACTTCCAAACCCGCATCTTTGTTTCCTAAAATCAAAAAACTCATATTTCTCAAAATAACAGACTTGTTGTGGGATGAGCCATAGATACCTTTGGGGAATATTGAATCAAAGACAACTGAGCAGAATCTAATGACATCTTCCTTTGGTATAGATAGAGACAAAATATCATCCTTGAGCTCGCCTTCTCTGCAAATCTCATCAAAACATCGGAAGTAGGGGAATTTTTGATGGTTTGACATTAAAGTAGTCAATAGCTTTGAAAACCCTCTAATTTTCGATTCAAACTTCTGATAATTTTTCACATTTTCAAGTTGTTGCTGAAATATTTTCTGAATCAACTCCTTTCTGGAAGGGGGGAGTGGATTATATCTTTTGGCTTGTGAATGGTTTTTGTAGAGGCAAGATTTCAGCGAAAACATATCACGTCTCCTCGATCTGTTTGTAGCAATGTTGAACATATTTTTACCGCAAAGTTGTACATATTCACTATCTTTTTTCATAAATACATTATAGTTGACCAAAATATGAGCCAATTTTGAGCTTCCAATCAAAGAATGTAATAAACGCCATTGGTGAGAACGTATGAATGTGTTTGAGAAATTGGATGAACTGGTGTATATATTTGAAGCAACATTGTTGTCTTTTGCAACTCTGTATCCCTTGAGCAAAACATCTGCATCACCTCTATAAGATATCAAAAAATCTTTACATTTGTTTATTAGTTTGTCATGATCTAAATTATCACCATCGATGTCTAACTGAATATTATCACACGGAGCCAATTGAATGTAGACGTTATCTAGTTTAAGATTATCCAGGGCCTCTGAAATTGGGGTAATATACTCAGCACCAAATATCTGTCTCAAAGTTGACACTATAGGCTTGATATCATTAGGCATGACATTTAGAAGCACGTTACTCTTGAATGTTGAACTTTTCGATGCTTGACCTGGAAGCTAGAGTAAATAGACGATTTCGCGAAAGAAAAAAAAGCGGTGAGTAAAATTTCATTAGAATACAATAATAACATCTGCTGCAATTCCTGGAAGTGAAATTCTCTGGGCTTGGTGGCATGGTTAAGAAGAAGCAGAACAAATTGAAAATAGATTATGAGAAATGTATCATAGAGGACAGGCTCCTTCAAATTAAGAACCAAGCCTATGTTAATGATCTCAAACTAGTGAAGGTGTGGACAATTGAAATAAGTCCAAAGGATTCGCCAAAAGTGTTGGTCTTAGTGCGACAGCTATCATCACAAGATCCTGTATCGCTTGTTCATCTGAAAAGGATTCAGCCCATAGATGGTATGCTACATGTTGTGCTCTGTAGTACAGAGTGGCTGGAAGAAAGCCAAATTGCATTGAAGCTGTCCAACATGGATTTCAACTACAACAATCTTTGCATGAAACTCGTGCCTGGGCATTGTCCAGGCACTAAAGAATTGTCACAGGATTGGGGAAAGAAATATTGGCCCTTGGTGTGGAAAGGAAACCCAAATGATCAAATTTTGAACGATGTGAAAATCGATATATCGTTGATAAAGAACCACCTTGATCTAATCCACTCATTATCAGTTGACTCTACAAAGCAAGGCCTTCCTATAATAACATGCATTGTTGATCCTCTAAATAACCAATTACTTGCGACCACAAGAGACCTCAGACATATACACCCATTGAAGCATAGTATTATGCAATGTATTGAAACTGTATCGCAAGATGAACAACGGAAAAGGGGTGAAGATTCAAATTCTCAACATTATCTATGTTATGGGTATCATGTTTACACAACTCATGAGCCCTGTTCAATGTGTGCAATGGCACTGATTCACTCAAGAGTTTCAAGACTCATCTATTTAAAATCAATGCCTTCCACTGGTGCTTCAAAACCCTCTAGTGGTGAAGGTTATACTATCCACGATCACAAGCTATTGAATTCTAGATTTGAAGTTTGGGAATGGACTGGGGATGAATATAAAGATGTTCCTGGATTGAAGGATATTAATGCATAACAAGAATCACTCCGCTGATGAAGTTTCACTTTGTAGCTCTTTCATCAAATTTGTCAACTCATCAAGTGAGGTATGATGCTCAGGTGAATCATTTACAAAAGCTAAATCATTGAGGTCTGAAATCTGCTCCTCAAACACCCTCAATTCATTGTTGTAATTTTCCATGGATTCTTCGAGTAATTGATTATATTCTGTGTATTATTCTAAGATCTTTTACAACTACACATACGCTGATACATTATAAATTACGTACTGATCATGCATAATTAACTTCAAAAAAAAAAAAAATATAGCTGATAAAACCGAATGAATTGAAAACCGATGGCCTTAAGAGCTAAGAAGACAAGGTTATCTAATGACAGATCAAGTCTAATCTGGACACAAAATCTGGCAAAACTAATAGACGATGAAAAGAAAACAGTCGACTGCCATTTATGTCTGGTTCATTATATGTTTTCGCGATTTTTTTGTCAATTGTTGTGTTTTGATTTTAATTCTTGGGAAGAGTATGATCTATCTCTTGAGAAATAACGAAGAACCAAGCCGCAGGAATGGTCACAGAGAAAGATCTCCTGTCTGAATTCTTATTTGAAAGAACAAATTTTCCCAATTTACTCTCACTCGAGAAGTTCAAAAAGCTTTTCCCTAAAGGGGTCTCTGATTCCACTGTCAAAGATGTTTATAACCATTTGAGAAAACTCGACGCTAAGAACAAAAAAGTTATACAAAAAACAATAGATAACGATACTGTACCGGTTAGGCACGGGGACTCTTTGCTTGCTACAAAAAACGAAGAGTCAATCGAAAAAATCATGATTACACTAGACTCTATATCAAAAATTATTGACGCAGAGCTAATTAATGTTGCAAAAGTAAATATAGTGACAAATTCATATTGTAATAGTTGCATTTTTGATTTTTAATTATTAAATAATATCATTATAACTCAAATCATTTAACTAGCTGGAGAAGGGTCAAAACGCATTTGAATATAATGTTATGAGAATTAATTGTAATTAGAGGTTGATTTTATTTTAAACTGCTTAAAATTACTTGTGAATATTTTAGTTGCGAATTTTTAATTGATATAAATATTAAATTTTTCGATCCAGCAGCAGTTAGTACTTTTATTTAATAGCTGGATGTTAATATCTAAATCTAACTATTTATTGATTGTACAACGATTCGAATAGCTTCACGATAAGGCCAAAAATGGACCACTAACAAATCTTGAATAAAATGCGACATATGACCTTTAATAATTTGAGTGAGGTCATTTTATAGTATCATGTGCTGTAATATTGGCTGCAATATTTAGTAATAGTCCAGACAGACATCAATCATGAATTGCTTTGTGAAGCAAGATCTACATTTACCAATAACATGTGAATCAATTATATGACTAGACTATCAGAAACAAACATTCAGTATATTACAATCATATTAAACTATAAAAGATATAAAGTCAAATAAAGCTTAACGTATCTCCAAGTCGTCATATCTTCTTCTATAACTTCTTCTTTTATTCGAGCTATCATCAATTCTCATAGACTCTCTCTTTAATCTTCTGATATTTCTTTCTTTTTCTATTTCCCTTTTCTCTATTTCCCATTGTGAAAGTTCTTCCACAGATGGGACCCAGCTAGCACCAAGTGTTTCATGATCTAACCTAACACCGGCCTCATAACCGAAAGCTGATTGGTTATATATTTCTTGTGGTAAACGGCCATCAATGCAATCCTTCTTTAATTTTAAAATTGATTCATGTAATGTATGAGCAATTGCAGGTAAAAACTCCAGAGATAGACCTAAATCCATAACAACATATTTGGCAAACGCTTCTGGTGTTATCATATCATTGGTTAAATCCCATTCCACTCTATCTTCATATAATTTCTTGTCCAAATTACAAGATAGCTCAATAACAACATGTATGTCTATGTCTTTAGGTAGCTGGATAGTGACAAGATTGGTATATTCTTCAATTTGTGATTTGATGGAATTGGCAATTTGATTTTGAAAAGAATTTGGAAGATCCATATCTTGACACGTTATTAATGCAAATTGTTCTGGAGTAATAAGTGTTTCATTTAAGTTCCACATGAAAAAGTCAACTATACGATTAGAATTGTGTTCCAAATTGATTCTAATAGGGATCAGTATTTCTTCATTCACGCTATTAAAGTTCAACTCATATTCAGTAAAATTCAAATGTTTTGTCTTTGCAGCAAGTTTCCCTTGGAAATTATTTGAGCTTGAAGCATCACCATGGTTGTTGGATGCGTAGTTGGAGTACCCGTCCTCAGCATAGTTTGTATCGTTTTCATCATCAAAATTCAAATCCTCATATTCAGCGTAGTTGACAACATTTTTGGTTCTCTTTGTGGATCTTGTTGGGGCTGCAGAGATGTAGAGCGCAGTCTGCTCGTGCTTGACTCTGTTGTAGAAGTTAGTGGATAGCCCCTGCGGCAAGACTGGCTTCTCCATTGTGACAATAACGATGTTGTTGTTTCTGACTTTTGCATGTAAACAAATCTGCTCAAAGACCCAAGAGCGTATAACAAAATCAAAATGTGTTCGCGAAAATGGTCTGTGGAATCCGGGTAGCACCTTCATTTCTGGCTAGCCCGGGTAAATCGAAGCCCTAACAAAATTTTATTTCATATCGACGTGGAAAAACCATCGACGGCCAGCATGTTAAGAAAATTTTTTTTTTCATCTTCTCTTCTTTTTACTATATATTTGTTCAAGTCAACCACTTCAATTGCACAATGTCTTTCTCAGATTTCTCAAAAGCTGAATCAATTGCTTCCTTAAACAGCTTCTTAGCTGATAAATCATACATCCAAGGGTAAGTTTCAATTCAATTTGCTGAAGAACAATTCATCATTCGATCCTTGATTCACTTCGTCGAACTTTTTAAAAAAGCACCATGTGGTTATTTTTTTTCAAAGTATCAACGTTTTGAAGAAAAGAATTGATTCAATCCAATGCTTTTGCTTTCAATCTTAATGATGAACACAATCTTTGGTCCGTGTTTATGAAACGGAGTTCAAGACCGTTGTATGAGTATCAACCCAATCAAGTTTCACTTTCCTGACAATAAGCTTGAAAGCAAAAGTGCATTTTTTTCATTGCATTGAGATGAGAATCAGCAATATCCACTATAATTCGTGATATACTGACCATTTCCTTCTAGTACTTCTGCCACCCAAGCTGATGTCTCCGTTTACAAAGCTTTCCAAAAAGAATACCCAGCTTTAACTAGATGGTTAAACCACATTGCTTCATTCACTGAAGAATTTGAACAATTACCAGCTGGTGAAGTTCCAGCTTCAAAAGAAGCCCCAGCTGCTGCTGATGATGAAGACGATGTCGATTTATTCGGTTCCGATGATGATGAAGTTGATGAAGAAGCTGAAAAATTAAAACAACAAAGATTAGCTGATTATGCTGCCAAAAAAGCTGCTAAAGGTCCTAAACCAGCTGCTAAATCTATGGTTTCATTAGATGTTAAACCATGGGATGATGAAACCGATTTAGAACAAATGCTTGCCAACGTTAAATCTATCGAAGTTGATGGTTTAGTTTGGGGTGCTCACCAATGGGTCCCAGTTGGTTTCGGTATTAAAAAATTACAAATCAACTTGGTTATTGAAGATGATAAAGTTTCCTTAACTGATTTACAAGCTTCCATTGAAGAAGATGAAGACCATGTCCAATCTACTGATGTTGTTGCTATGTCAAAAATCTAAGAAGGCTTTAGATCTTTATTTCACTTCAGTTCTATAGCTAGATATAGTCTTTTAATGTATTGGGTTATGTTTTTTTATGTTTGAAACTGTAGATTCCTATTTATAATTTTATGACCACTTGTGTTGTCTGTAGTCTGGGTTTGTTTTTTAAACTAGACTTTAGATGTGATTTCAAACTGGTTCAACCCGTGATTCGTGACAGAATGAAAAAAAAAACTACGATATATTCGATCTAAATAAAAGTCTAATGTTTTGTTCTAAACCACCAAAAAGTCAATTCCTGATTTCAACCATTCTTTACTTGATAAAATTTCCTCCCATGACTTACCTGTAGCCCAGCATTCTTCAGCAATAACTCCTATAGTGTGGATAGTACCCATCTTTGCATTTGTGTACAAGACATCTATAAATTTTCTGAAATGTCTTTTTTGATAATTTGTTTGACATGCACAAGACATGGTAAACACAGGCCAAACCATTTGTGTCACATGGGTAGAAGTGCTTTCCATAGACCCATAAATAGAGATAAATTCCAACAATAACCCATTGACGATTTCTTTTTCCTCAGGATGAACTAATAGATAGAAATTCAAAAGAACTGCAATAGACCAACATTGTGAACATTTCATCCTCAAGGTAATTTCATTTTCATCAGTATCGTTTGCAAATAATACAAATTCTCTGTACCTTAATAATTCGTTTTTCACCTTGACAAATATTTCATGTGCTTGTTTCTTGTTCAAATGTTTTTCTTTCAATCCTTTTCTAAGTTCACACAATCTAGCAATACATTTGAATATTTCACCTGGACAACCCATGACTTGGAATGTAGATATTGAACTATTCTTATCCCCATACCAAGTATCATCACAAAATGGAACTCTACAATCTGGTGAAACAACAGCAGTTATAGTGTCAAACCATGACAAGGTGATAATCAATGTTGCACTTTCTTCAATATTCTCCAGATATGTCTTAAATGTAGAATCCTTAACGATACCACTGAATAATTGGAAAAACGTTCTAACTAATGCTGATCTTCCAGATTCTAGCACACTGAAAAGTAGATGAACATGGATCAGTAGCAATATCACAAAGAAATTGGACCTTTGCTTCTCTAACGGCTGTTGCTTCAAATTCTTTATAATTTGGTCAACGTCAAGCCCATCGTCACCGATTGAGCCCAGTGATTTATCTCTCAGATAATCAATAAGATACTCCATGGTGTTATTTATATGGTTCATCCCAGTCCTGTAAAACTCTTTGGCCCCTTTAGTTTCATATAGATGGATACATGCTAAGGAAATGAAACAACTTTTGGCAACCTCAAAATCACAGTACTTCAATGCTAATTGAGGCCATGGTGTACTAGGATGTGCATCTAGCAATGGTAACAATCTTTTAAAGAAATGCTTTAACATCATGTTTTCTTCAAAATAAGACAATTTTGACACATCCTTGTTTTCAGTATTACCGTCATTTGCAGGTGATGTATTAAAATCATTCAAAAATGGGGGCAGATCACCACCTGAAGCAAAAGAAGGAAAAATATCTTGAAAGATTTGAAAATCATCTAGGGCTTCAGGCTTGTCAAAGTCAAGCGGTGTAGTTGGATCTCTGATTTTTGGATTTGAACTAGACGAAGTTAACTCGCTTATAGACAGAACTGAGTTCGAGTTTGAGTTATTATTATTCTGATGTAGCACATTTTGATAATTATAATTACCTTCAGTGTGACTTTCTTCAATGCTAACACCATCTGTATCTATAGCTTCATCAACATTTTGATCAATCATCGAATCAGTACTTGAGGATTTACCCATTTCAATCCCAGTTCTTTTGGCCAAACTTTCTTGCAATCTAGGTCTTCCTCTAAAACCATGTATCAATTCCCCCTTTGAATTCTTCTTCAGGGCTGTTGAGTTGCGGCTATCATCAACATCGAATGAAAGTTTAAGACCATATCCTTCACACTCTTTACCACTTTTTATGCAGTTATTACAAGAAGGTTTACCTTCATCACACTTCCTTCTTCTAGTTATTTAACAGATTAGCAGTCATATTCAGTATTTTAAAAAGTGCTCTCTACCTACCTTTTCTTACAGGTCCAACAGCCTGTCCTTACTCTTCTAATTTTTGTCATTGCTGGTGTACGAGCTCAATGACTCTTATAACTCATAAACTACTGTTCGACAAAAATGCTGAGTTTTTCTTATCTACGATCCTATCAAGCTTTCAACGTCCTGTCTTGACATTCTTAGTTCCGACCACTACCCCCGAGTTTGATATAAATTTGATTAGTGTGTACACAAAAACTAACCTACACAAAAAGGTATTGATTTAAAATTTGCTGAATATCATTTATTACAAATCTAAATACGTTAAAAGAACTGGAACTGCTAATTAGCTCAATAAAGTAGACTGGACATAGGGGCCGCTGATCTAATGATGGTAATAATAATAATAATGATGATGATGATGATCGTTTAAGGAAGCCAAAAAGAAAGCCTGGATCCACAATATAGGATTGTTTCAAAGAAGAAACTGAATACCTCAAGCTCATTATTGCTAATTGCTTATTCAAACCGTGTCATATTTGAAGCAATGAAGACAGAAGCATTCTATTTATCCTACCTATTCCCAAGCTGTTCTAATCCAAACCAAAGATGACTAACAATGAATTTCAATGAAACTCCAAAGCATCGCAAAATCACTCCATCATTCTTATCAGAATACAAAGGAAAGTTTAACGGTCATATTAAAAGGTTACAGTTTCTACATATAGAAGAATTATTGTGTGCATTGGAATTAAATTTTCAGTTCTGAATACTTTTTACCAGTAAGCATAGGGTATAGCCATACCTGAGGGGTCAAAAACTTCTATCTGAAAGAAGCAACAACCAAACAAAAGCTCAATAGTTAAATTTAATGAACATTTGAGAATATATCAAGCAAACACACATAAACTATACAATAAAAAATGAGAAGTAAATTGGAAAGGACTAAGATAGCATATGAATCAAAATAATTAATGGGACAGTAAGGCAGTAAATAATATAAAGGAACCAACGTATCAAAGACGACAGTAAAACGAAAACTACAACACTTCGATATAATCAAACATTACAAAGCAAACCGATTCAAATTGAAGACAAAGAGAAAAACTTCATCAAATCTCTGACACTGCTAGACATAGCGAGGGCGCACCAAATGCTCCCCCAAAACGGAGTATTTCCTGAAACGCTCCAGAAGTGTTTATAAAAGCCAAATTCAATACAATATTTGGCGAAGCACACTGAAATGACCCTCCGATGGGCGAAATTTGAAATTTAAGTGCGATATGCATAAGTTTTCATCGAAAATGATGCACACCCGAATCTTAACCCTTAGATTCAATCAACCACTGTTCGATCAAACAAATAAAGCTCCAAATTAAACAACAACCAAAAAAAAACTTGTTCTCTAAAGGAATTTGCTCAGTTAAACGAATTCATTGGTTAAGCTCTTAATCTCCATGAAGAACGAGGGAAACAATTGCCTGAGTGTACTTCTGAATTAGAGCCAGACCATGAAGCTTCAAGCCACAAACTCTTTCCATAGAATAGGGTACCCATTGCACAACAAATTTATTAAATAAAAATAGGTAGTTTAATGTCTGGACTGACAAGATTCTCCAAACATTGCAGTCGATACGTGTCTCCTTGGAGACTTCACTGGAACAACCGAAATTAGGGGATATATCTGAAGTCAAGGGGAACCTCTGAAGTCAAGGGAAACGACTGCTGTCAAGGGGAACCTCTGAAGTCAAGGGAAACGACAGAAGTCCTGGGAAACCACAGAAGTCAAGGGAAACCACAGAAGTCAAGGGAAACGACAGCAGTCATAGGTAAAGACTGCTGTCATGGGGAAATAATCACTTCAGCTCTCACCAGCATATAAAAAATAATGGACAAATGCAAATTCAAAATACATATTTGAAACACCTGAACTCGGGAAAAGAACAACAACTGTTCCGCAAAATATAGATCCAAACTGAATGCTCGCACAAGTTCAATTTAGTAAAGAATTTCAAGAACTTTCATAGATCCAGTCTACTCATAATTCAAATACTAAAACTACGGGACAGTAGTGCTAGAAGGAATCAGAATGGCTTGATGCAAGTCTATTGCTACAGTGACCTCGTATTTTTCAGTATTACTTGGGAGATACGAGAATACTCCGGAAACAGCAGCTCTATTGTCGAGTTCAAAGGTTACTGAATCTGTATGTGTAGCTCTGTCTGGTCAACTTGTCGATTAACCATACGATATCTTCCCTTTAAGTTTGCTAGAAGCAATGATATTCAGGGCCGAGATATAACTACACGATTAACCTATTGTTAACACAAACGTAACCCCGCTACGAACTTGTTTCCTAGGTAAATTTTCAAACTCACATATACGAGTGCCGTATATGTATTTACGCAGTCTCCTAGGGTATTGCTACGGTGATAGAAGGTTCAAAGAGTATTAGCATAGTAACATAAAGATAAAACATGAAAGCAAAGCAAGTTGAACCGCACCCAATAATTAGTTGTCATGTCCTAATTCTTTACTTAGTCTTTAGGATCTTAAATATAAACGTAGAGCCATAGATCCTGATCAGAACCGCCAGAAACAGGTATAGGCAGACCTCATGGGACGGTTTAAGGCTGTTCGCATATAGACATGGCTTTGGCCGCGCCTGGGAACTTTTGGGTCTTCGCTCTACGTTCTATAATGCTACTGGCAGTAGTAAGACATAATTGGCCTGCTCGTGTGTGGTAGCTTTACCGGGTGTTGCCGGTGGAGACGTGGTGCGGTTGTAGTCCTAGAGATTCACTGTTACAGTAACATCTATGACAACGCGTTGTCTGGAGCGCCTAATTGAAACCACAGTAATCACTCTGGTGAATTTGTTCCCCGTGTTATTGCCTCTAGAGACTGTTGGAGAGGTGATAACTAGGGTTACGATGCATACAGTGTAACTTTACGAATGTTTTTGAAAAGAAGCAGTGTTTTCCGAGAATTACATGCTGTTTTGATTTGTAGTATAGATTTCTATCAGTTTTGGGACTGACAGCTGGCTGTTTTAAGCAATTGGCCTTAAATGTGGTTAAAGGTGGCTCCATTACACGATATCAGAGCCTGTTTCTCATAGGGTATCCTTAGAGTAAGAGTCAGCAAGCAAAAAGGTCCTTTTGTAGCTACATTAGGAGATATCGTGGATATTTTGTACATTGTCCATTATATTTGTCAAGAACGATTGTTCGCCTGTTTGTCACACAGTCTTTGAATCCGAGGATTAAAGGCTGAGTTGCTGAATAGGGTGAAAAAAATAAAGAATTTGAAAAATCGGATCATGCTCAACATTAGTCTGAAAATGGTTGATTGTTCTTTCCTATGTCGGCCCAATGTGCTTAAAATTTGTATATTTACTGCAATTGTTAACTTGAGTCAATTGGCTTACCTGAAAATTTGGTGAATCCGGTTGTTTTTTGGGGTATGTGGTGTTTGGGGTCGATGTGTTTATGTTTTCTGTATTCCTTTATAGAAGACATGACCAAAGACCTTTTATCTTTTAATTTCTAAGGGTGCCATGAAAAGTAAGAATTATCACCCAAAAATTGTTGGAATGAGCTGGACTATAGCTTGAATGGGTTTACAACCGAGTGTTTTGGCAGTTTAAGGGCAATACTTTTTTTGTTATAGGCGATTTTGCACTTTTTGACTTTTGAAGAAGATTAATGTAAAGATAGCATGCGTTGTGGGGTTTGCAATTGTTTTCCGGGCGTTTTCGATATTAATCTTGTAAACCGATAGTTTTTGGCTCTAATAATATGTTTAAAAAAAGAGATCATAGCTACAAAAAGTTTTCTTGTCGACAGCAATAATTGCCCTGTTAGTGGTTTGCATATTCAAGTTATACAATCTTTTGTTTAACAAAAAAGCTTCTTAAATGCTTTAATTGCCAGATACAAGTTGCTCCTAAAACAACTAATTGAATAATAGACCAATTGACAACTTTTGAATTTGTAGATTCACTTTGATCTCTAAATTTGGACTCTCTTTCTCTGGTCAATTCTTGCTCTCTTCTGATATCTAGAATTTTTTTATTCAATGCTTTAACTTTCCCTGTCAATGATTGAACATGTTCCGTTTTTTTGCTATCCAATGTTTCTGGGTCACCAATTTCGAAATCAACAGTAACTTTAGTCTTTGTCTTGGCTAACCATCCTTGTGATTGTGGTTGGAAACATATTCTGTGCTCACCACTGTCGATAGCAGTAAATGTAAATTCACCTGTTGGAGAACCCTTTTGGTGGACAACTCTGTGGTTATCATCAAAAACTTCCTTTTTGTATTGTTAGAATTCATTGCAATGATGGAATTAGTGTGACCGTTTAAAAACATACCTCAACATCTATGATGATCCCAAGCTCGTTTGAAGCTGCTTGTTTAAATTGATTTAATTGTGGATCAAAAGCTTCGACATTGTATTTCCCTAAGAGTAAAGTACCTTGAGATAACTCCTTATAAAAACACTTTCTATCACCTCCAAGGATGTAAAAATAGAAGGCGTTTGCCACTGAGAGATATAAAAATAGGATTTGTAGCTTCATATCCCTAATTGGTTTGGTTTTTGTGGTTGTAAATTACTGCTTGGTTGTGAATTAGGTGTACGTTTTTGTGTTTTTTTTTTCATTCAAAACGCGATTCAGAAGTGAAAAGGCCACACACGAAGGTCTTGAACCTTGATCGAATTAATACTACATTTTATGTAAAAGATACCTTTGTGATGTGATGCTTGTATAATCGAAAAGCAACATTTCCTTGTATCACATATCGCTGATAGTGATTCTCGTCAAAAAGTTTCAATGTCCTTTTAGTTCAGACTTTTTTTTCGCAGCTTTCTATTTCCACGTGACTTTGTTTTTCAAGTTTCTTAACGCGAAACATGTAGCTATGAAAATTGAAAAATTAGCAAGTTCCAATAGCATTTAAAGCAACAGCTGTGATTCTTTTTGAGGTAACCATGAACCTATCTCTTCTAGATCCATTTGCTGTCTTGAAAGAGTTCCCGGAAACATTGACTAATACATTATCCTTCGGTCATTCTGTTTTCATCAAGTATAATGATACAGGTGATTACCTTGCGTCAGGTTTATCAAGTGGAACTATATTAATCATCGATAATGATACAAAGAACGTTATAATGAAGCTTAAGGGACATATAAGGTCTATTCAATCATTGTCATGGTCAAAATGTGGTCGGTATCTGCTATCGGCATCAAGAGATTGGAAATGTTTACTTTGGGATTTGAAGTTTAATAAGATCATAAGAAAATTTAATTTTAATGGACCCATTTGGAACGCTGAATTGAATCCTAATGATCTTTCAGAAATAGTCATATCACTTTATGATGATACTCCGAAGTTCATCAACAATAATGAAGTTAAAGAACTTGATGACAGTAAAACATTGGTGACAATTTTCCATCCAGATGGTGAACTTATATTTACAGGTACGAATAAGGGACTTATAAAGATCATATCAAGGACAAGCTTGAAAGTTTTATTTGAAGAGAAAATATCAAACTCCAGTATCAAAAATATAATCATATCAAGTAATGGGCGTAAGATGGCAGTCAATTCATCAGATCGTATCATACGACAAATTTCACTGCCAGATTTTTCAACTGATCCACAATTATGGGAACTTGAAACAGAGCACAAATATCAAGATGTTGTTAATAGGCTTCAATGGAATTCAATTTTGTTCAATAGTAACTCTGAATATTTAATTGCTTCAGCATTTGGATCGGCACATGTTATTTATATGTGGGAAACATCTATGGGTTCATTAGTCAAAATTCTGGAAGGTCCTAAAGAGGAACTAGTTGACATTGAATGGAATTTCAAAAAATGCATAATAGGAGCTACAGGTATTGATAGTGGTACAATTTATTTATGGACGTTAGTGATACCTCAAAAATGGAGTGCATTGGCACCGGATTTTGTTGAAATTGAAGAGAATATCAATTATGAAGAGAAAGAAGATGAATTTGATATTGTTCCAGAAGATGAGATTAACCAAAAACAACTAAATGCAGAAGATGAGTATATTGACATTTTAACAAAGGATAAAAGTGATGCAAGAGGATATGACCTAAAGAGTACGTTTGTGATAACGATTGACTATGAAGGTATTGACCTATCTGATGGTGATGATTGATGGGAAATATGATAAGTAAATGTTTTTGAGGTTTTTGTGTCAACATAACGTTTGTGCATGATGTTCTAGATCACAGAACATTGTCATTGTGAATGAATTCGGCTAATAGGACGGGCATCTCTATTAAAGGGTCAAATTTCAGTATTTAGTCAGATTTTATGCAAGGTTTCTGTTGGTAATTTATATACAGTGAGCCACTGGGCTTTATTTGTTTGGTTGTTTGTAGGACTAACCTTGAGGCAGGTCAACCTAAAAAGACTGGAAAGAGTATTCGTACTTGGATTGAAAACGAGATAGTGTGTGTTCTACCAGAAGCATTGGTCCATTTCGAAATTGAAGGCGATTGGTAAATAGACTTTTCATACATTTATTTCTTAGCTCATTTTATAAGGGGGTCAAGTTGGAACAATGTCGATGCCTATATGTCAATAAAAGCACTATTTTAAGCGCGACCGGCTAGCAAAGCTCGGAAGTAGAATGAAGACTGAGTCTGGATCCTTCAATGAATTATCAGCTAGGTGTTAGTGATAAGAAGATACTTTAATTACTTTTAAAGGGAGCTGAGTAAGCTTAAAGGGAGCGAAATAGATATACTTGAAAGCATGAGCATGATTTTTCCATACGTTTAGCTCTCGACACAAAATCATTTGATAGATATTCAAGGTATACTGGTTAACATACAAACAATATTCACAATATCCTCTATCTTTTGCCAAAATTACCAGGAAACAGAAATGTGCGTGTATTGAAACATTAATGATGAGGTCTATAATCTTCAATTGATCTATTTTCAGAGTTCTGCTTAGCTCGACATAAATAATAATAGGCTTGTACTTAGATCATATATGTACGTAGTTATTTTCCAGAACAAAGAGCATTCTGGCTGTTCTATTGAACCTCTGATAGAATCGATTGCAGAATTGGCTAGTATCTTAACAATTAATTTTCAGTTTAGATACAATTTTGAGAGACTTCTGCGCAGCCAATATATAGAGCTTCTTGTGTTAAATTATGGTTCAATACCAAAGCAGTGAAATTAGAAAGGATTCATTGCACCTAGTTTCTCTTGTCGAATGTGGATGAGGTGAAATTCGATAAGTTCTAGGTACTATGTGCACATATAATAAACAGTAATGGTTTTCAGTATTGATACCTAGTGTTTTAGTTTTGAGTTGAGGGTAGACTGTGGTTTCAACCTTGAGACAAAAGACCAACAGAAATCGCACTGTTAAAATTAAACAACTATCAAAGTGAAGACTCAGAAGACTGCAAAAGACAAAGAGACAAACCAATATTTTGGTAGTTTCTTTTGGGAAAGGGTAAACCGATCGAATTTATACAGCTGAGTGGAATACACTCACGGTTCACCTCCCGTTTCTGCCTAGCTGGAAGGAAGCTTGAGCAGAGGTCCCTTGGAAGGTTTCTGCCTAGCACCGGATCTTGTCTGCCTGGGGTCGAGAGCTTTAGGCCGGAGCTAAAGTCGACCTGGGTCCTGAACGTGCAGGATGGATTGGCACAGTTGAAAAAAAAGTCCCAACCCTAAAAAGCTCAATCATCATCATCACCAACATCACCAATTATCAAGAGTGAGTATTGGATATCTATAATGGCTTGCTGGGAGAGGCTCTCCCTTGTATAGCACCTGCCTTTTCCAGGTCTTCTTAGTAGAGTAGGAGCCAGTAGGCTCCCAGCTGGAGCAGCTTCTAGACCTTCGCGGTGGGATGCACAAAGGTCTTGCTCATTTGTTAAGAACACAACATTCAGCTGTTGATACTACAATTTCCATAGTGATGGTGAAACCATGGACAAATCCATTTCGAAGGTGATGATAATTACATAAAAGCGAGATTATTTAAATGCTGCGATTCCCTCCTTTCCTTTGATCTCGCTCAACACAACCAACACAGGCACAGCAGTACTACCATCCACAGCGTAGTAGTATCTCTGACCATACCAGCATCATCCCAAATACAGAGACTCGTTTAGAACAGAATGGTATGTAAACGCAGTGATTCCAAGGAGAGAGAAAGAGAGATCAAAGGACACATTCCTCTCGTGGGCACCCTCTTCAGCTTCAGCTACTAACCACAATGAACCAGGCGTATGACAAGATCAACCACCAGCAGAATCTCTCCATCCATTCACTCAACTCCATAGTGGAGCCTTTGACTCCTCCAGATCTTGGTGACCAGACTTTCAACTCTTCCATTTTTACCAATAACTCAAACGGTGCCTCTACAGCATCATCCACTCCTCTATCAAGTCTCAACACAAACATTGGAGGAAACACCTACAGATCAAGATTCAAGTCGCTACCTCTCGTTAATGAGTTGGACCAAAAATTCAACCAATTCAATATCAAGAACCTTCAAAATCTCTCCCAACCTCCACAACAATCTTTCCAAAAACAAGAATTTAACCTGACTCTTCCAAGCAATACCAAAGCTGGCTCTGGTGTTACTAATGGGTCTATTCCTCAGATTTCACTTCAACAATATCATTCTCAATCAGCCTTTGGAGCTGGAGGTGCCCAACAACCCCCAGTCCCACAGAGACAAAAATCACAGCCATTACTGTTGCAACAACATCAACATCATTCTTCATTACCAACTTTGACTTTCACTGCTAATTCATCTACTGCTTCAAATACATCTCAACCTCAAACCCCTAAGATAGAAATCCCAAATTATAAAAACTACGATGAACTAAATTTGATTCCAATTGAAAGTCTTGATATATTGAAACTATCAGTTGATCAATACGGCTGCCGTTTTCTTCAAAAAAAGTTGGATTTGGATTCTTCAATCAAAGATGTGATCTTCAACAAGATTTTCAATAACTTGATCAATTTGATCATAGATCCATTTGGGAACTATCTTATTCAAAAATTGATAGATCATCTTTCAACTTATCAAAAAGACTTGATGATTGAAAAAATCCATGGATACTTGTTTTTGATTTCGATCAATCAATATGGAACTAGAAGTTTACAAAAAATCATTGATAAGATTTCAAATACCTATCAAATTGACTTGGTTATCAAAGGTTTACAAATGAATGATGTTCCAAATGTTAGCATTGAAGATAATAACATTGTAAAACTTATTAAAGACTTGAATGGTAACCATGTTATTCAAAAATGTATTTTCAAATTTCCACCTGAAAAATTTCAATTCCTTATAGATTCAATTTGTATGGATAATAACATTGTTAGAATCTCAACTCATAAACATGGCTGTTGTGTTTTACAAAAATTGTTGAATAATGCAAATTTCAATCAAATTTTGAAAATTTCCAATAATCTGTTGATTTATTTGGATGATTTGATCAATGATCAATTTGGTAACTATATTATTCAATTTTTATTTGAGTTAAATTTTTTGAAAAGTTCAAACAGTATTAACTTTTTGATTGATGATTTCTTCAACAGAATCTATGGTAACTTGATCCAATTGTCATGTCTTAAATTTTCTTCAAATGTTGTTGAAAAGTTTATCAAAATTTTGAAACATAAACAAAATTATGTCTACTTAATTGAAATCATCAAATTTGTTGACTCCAATTTTGAGATCTTAATCAAGGATAAGTTTGGTAATTATGTCATTCAAACTTTAATTGATCAATTCTATGATGTTGTTGAATTGAGCACTGAAATGAACAATTTGATTTTGAATATCAAAAGTTACTTGCCAGTTATAAAATCTGCACCATATGCCAGAAAAATCCAATTGAAAATTCAGCAATTGGAAACAAACTATAACTTGATGTCTTCAGCTTCTTCAATTAATTCATTTGAAAGAAATGGGGGACATGGTGGGGGCAACTTTCACACAAACTCGGCGTTTCAGTTTGATAATGATCAATTCAGAAATCCAAAGAATCAGTATTATATGAATTATAATTCCAATCCTCATTTCATCAATGATCAACAATTCATCTCAAGCTCAACTCAATTTATATACCCACCACCTCCAACGAATTCAGATTTTCCTGCACCAAATCAATTCCAATCCCAATGATAGAATATTTCATGGGTCATTTGCCACCAAGCTCCTTGATAGAAAAAAAAATTGTACGAATTAATAACCTGAAAGACTGATGTGGGCTTCTTTGCTATTGGTTGATATGATACCTATTTTTACTTTATTTTTATTTTGAACAGGATTGATTGATCGAGGATTTTCTATACAACTGCCCATGCAGCCCTGGTTTTCTTGTTTTATATACTTATCAGTTGTCTATGTGTTTATGTTATGTGTTTTATTATTATTATTATTTTATTATGACTATTTTCTATTATGTATTTATGTGTTAAATAAATGTTTGGTTTTAATTAATTTGTTCATTTTCGCTTTTTGCGGTATCAAGAAAGCTTCCTGATTCGGAAAATTGCCCGATTTCCGACGTTGATGAGATGCGGCAGTTGGCACAAAAAAAATCCAAAACAAAAACAAAGTGGAAAAAAAAAAAAATAAAAAAAAAAAGGAGGGACATTAGTTGGTGTTCGGGTGGGACATAAACGAAAACGTCTGTTTTCTACAATTTAAGTCAAGCACAGCCAATTTTTAACCGTAAAATCCTATATTCTTTCCATCTGTAGTCAAAAGTTTTTGTGCACTACCTTTCAAACTTGAGCAGCTATCGATTGCCTGCTCGTCAGAACTGAACTCAATGGTTCTCAATGGAACAGGGTTTGTGATGTTGAAAAATTCACACAACGATTGGTTCTGAAGTCTTGCTATACGATCATCAATCATTTCTAACTGTTCACCAAAAACATTTTGGACTGATTTGGCAGTATTGTAGTCAACTAGTGGATTTTTAAACCCCATTCTGATATCAAATAATTTCAATTTAGAACCCAAATATGAACAAAGAACGCGATCAGCACTCAAACATTTTATATTTATAAGTGGCGAATTTCCCCTTCTATTATCATTTCCTTGAGAAAATCTCCTATAATCTAACCTATCATCCACAACCATAGCTTGCCCATTTCGAGCTCCTAAAACATAAATGTTCTTCTCTTTTGAATCTATCGACAAAACATCAAACCCTTTATAGATTACTTGCCTATTAGATCCAAATAAATTTGAGCTATATTTAAGCACACTCTTACTTCCACATATCAGAATGGAGTCACTATGATAATTGTAAATTGATTTGTTGAATGATTCATTTTTTGGACTTTGAACATGACTCCTTGTTGTCATATGAGGAACTTCGGTACTCAATTCAACTTCACTAGGTTCATCAGGACTACCACCAAACCATGTCCTTATAATTGGTCTTGTCTCGTTATTTTCAACTATTGTTAGATCTCTCAAAAGTGAAGTCACTTTATCAACTCTATGGAGTTTGAGCATTGGGAACAACTCTTGAGTTGAGTTGAATTCTAAAGATTCTAAGGGTATCTCATATATATTATTGAGACTACTCAATATCATACTTTGGCCATCACAAGTAATTTTCTTTAAAGAATCGGAGTTCAATCTGCCTCTTGTCTTCATTGATCCTTCAAATCGTAACTTGGTAATCTCAAACTCCTGAATGCTGGCTCTTATTTGATCTATGGGTCTCGAACTAATCATTGATTGGATATGCTGAGCTTCTTTAAGTGCGAATGGAACATTATTGGTAGGTTTGATTTCGAATTTGGCCCTTTTCCTAGATCTCTCATTCTTTTCATTCACTTTTTTTATTGAACTCGAACTGTATTTGCTAGCTCTAGAACCACCATCATTATGAGTTATCTTGAAATATTTCTTCTTTGTTTCATCGAAATAGTATCCAGGTATCTCCATCACTAGTTATTCCTAGTTTCATTTGATAGTTCTGGTTGTCATTTCATGAAATGGTGGAGCTCTTCTCTTATCCTGTGCTTCACTTTTTTTTTTTCTTCCGAGACCCATGGTTACGGGGCACTTGCAGAATATGGGTCTGGATCGTGGACTCTGGACTCTCGTTATAGGTACACGAGTTGTGATAACTCTACAGAACTAACTTCAAACAACCTATAAGAGATCACACATTTTATTAAATATATTTTTCATCAATCGTTATCTATAAGCTCACAGAGGCAACTAAGTATTCTTTCAATTCAAAGCAGTGTTAAAAATTGAAATACGAGATCTTCTAGTTGGAGGAAATGGGATCTCAGGGTCTTCATAAAGGTTATCACTTGCAGACCATGTTGCTGGGCAGATTGATCTATTTCTAAAGAAGCGCTGGTCTGCAGTAGCTTCTTCTGTAGCTTGTACAGGTTGTGCCTCAACTTCACGACGACAAAGAGGACATGAAATGTTTGACTTTAACCATTCTAAGAGACAAGAACGACCAAAGATATGGCCACATGGCATTTGAACAGGTATATGCTCACCTTCTGGTTCGTTGTCTTCTGGTTCCTTGCCGGTATCTTTGTGTTTTGATTGTTTTGCTAATCTATGGTATTCTGAATATCTTGAACCAGTTGGATCTTTAGGAAAAATAATTGGAGGGTCATCTGTTAGCAGTTCGCGTGTATCATTAATGCTTATAGTAATGGGTTTCGAGTCATTTGCACGTCCTTCATTCTTGGGTTGATCAAATTTATCATAGCAAATTGAGCATACTCTTTCTGATTCCTTAAGTGTTGTTGGATCTATTATCTTCAACCTCTTTATGGCATCTTTAGTAGCTTTTTTCTTTCTTGGTCGATTGGATTCCATTAATGATTGAACCATATCTCTCAAATTGTTTGGTAAATTTCCAAAGTTGAACACCGGTTCACCAACCACAGCACCATCCGAAGTAATATTTGTTCTATCTATTGTGACTGAAAAGCTTGGAAACCCTTGAGTAAATGATCCTCTGAATAAAACATCTGGACTTCTTTCATTATCAGTATTGGCTTCTAGAAGAGTTGCGTTTCCTGACTCCAGGTGTTGAGCTAGGGCGTCTGTTGCGACTCGTATATTCTGGGCCCCACTAGTTCTATTTTGACCATCAAAGTTGGTTTGACTTGACTGGCTTGTCACTGGTGTGTTGGATCCTGCAAAATTGGAGCTGTTCTCGCTTGATGATGACATTGTTGAGGAGCTAGTTGTTGATAAAGTTGTTAGAAATCTGACATATCTTTTTTCTTTGGCACTGAACGCCTCTTTTTTGCTAGATGCTTCTTCCACGAAATTTGGGCACAAGACATCTAGTAGAAATTAGGTAGACTTCGATGAACTCAAAATGCTTGCACATTCTTTGTCCGTTGTTTTACTGCGAATATGGCGGTGGCTATTGAAGGCCAGAGGGTTTTTATTATGGCGTAACTAAGATTTAGCATTTAAACATTATAATACACTTCTCATGACTCTATAAATACTGAGCTCTTATCGATTCGACCATTTGTCTTTGTTGTGGTGGTAGCCCACCAATATTATCAGGTGGTAATGTTAAAACTTGTGCGATCATGCTAGCTTCATTAGGATCTAATTTAGCCAGTTTTTCACCGGTGCGAGCCGATAGGTTTGGCCATCTTGGATCAGGTTGAGGTGCAAGTTGTGAATGAATTGGTGGTGGTGGTGTAGGAATAGCGCTTGATGGTTGAGAAGTCTGAGCTTGTTGTTGTATAGCGGCAGTTAATGTATTAATATCGATCAATCCCATCAAGATCATGGATTGGACCATAGTTATTGCTAAATTAGGCGACATGTCAAAAGCTTGTTGAGCAGACGCAACATTTGTTGCAGCCAGTTGTTTTAAAGTCGATATGAATTCGATCAATTGCACTGGGGGTATATGCTGTAAATTTTGTGATATTTTGTCATCAGCTCTAAAAGCTGATGGGTTAAATTGAGGTAAATATTGGGAAGCTTTCGCTAAAACTTCAGGCATTGGTTCTTGTTTAACTGGTTGTTGGAAAGGAGGCGGTGGAAGTTGATGAATTCCAGGTTGAGGAACTGGTGTAACTGATGAATTATAACCCATTGGAGTATTGTTACCTTGGTTTGGGAATCCCATTTGTGGAGGTTCACTGCTAGAATCACGCATACCAGCAGGAATCTGAACATAATACGGTAAAAAGTTTTTATTTAACTCTAGAACAGGTCTATTGATAGGATGCGTAGTTCTTAAACCTTCTTTTGACAATTCAACTCTTAGTTTTCTTTTTGGACCTAATTTAATTTCACTCAACAATTGTAAAGCAATAGCAGCTTCATGAGGATTCAAATATTCCACGAAACAGAAATTCTTACCTCTTCCTTGAGGATCAATTCTGGATCTGATGTCTACAACTTTCCCACTTCCAGCAACCACGCTGGAAACAATTTGTTCGTTCCAATCATTTGGAATATTACCAAGATATATAACAGATGAAGCGTTTGCTAACGAATTGGGGGTAGCGACCCCGGCTAATCTTGCTTTTTCAGATTGGATCTCGCCACTTGTTTCTCTTCTATTTCTGTCTCGTATCGAGTAGTTATTTCGTGACATTATGGATTCTTGATGAGCATGTAACGGTCTTGGGGTTGTTTATTTTGTTGCAAAACTTGAGTTTTCAAGTTTTCTGAACATTTTTCGTCAACCAAAAAAAAAAAAACACGACTTATGTAATACACTAAATTTTAAGAACCTACAACATTAAATTCAATACATCATCCTATGATATTACAAATCTATATCAAGCCACCATATACCCCGTTTTGTGCATTCTCCTTAATTTGAAGGATAGAAGCTCGCTGGTCTTCGGGAAGTTGTGCAAGCTCTTGATCTGAGATCTCTAAAACTTGTTTAATTAGAGCAAGTTTCTCTTCGTCTATTTGTTCTTCTTCTTGTACTTGTGGCACATCTCCATTGGTTTGGTTTTCTTGTATTGCACTTCCTAATAAAATCTGTGTAATGTCTTCTGGACTAGCTTTCTGTGTAATCAAAAGGGTTTCAACTAAAGCATAAGATAGTTGAGGGCATTGTGCTAATAACTCTTCCATTAAAATCGGATTCTTCTGTGACATTTGTTTGACATCCCTTATCAAATTGTTCAAGCGTGTTGGGTCAAGAGACTGAAGTGTTTGAGAAATTGCATCTGAATATGATTCACCTGGTCTCAACGATCTTCCTGGAGGCAATGGTGGTAATGTATCTTCAGATCTATTATTTCCCTTTCCAGAGTTGTTTCCAGTTCCATTACTTCCTGACAGAGAGTTTTCATTTGAGAAGTCACATTTTAAAGATCTATTACCAATTGAGTAGTTGTTCAAGTTTCTAACAGCAGAGGATGCGGTCTCAACATCTGAATAATGTTGTTAGTTTGGAACATTAGAGCATTCATGCATAATACTTACCTTTATACTCAACGAAAGCGAAACCTTTGGATTTTCCTGTTTCTTTGTCAAACATCATTTTCAAGTTCACAACAGGGCCGATTGATTTTGCAATGTCTAAATGTTGTTAGTCTCCATGGCTTCAGAGCGAAATTGAAAGCACATACCTAGCACCTGTTCCTCTGTCTGGTCATATGGGATGGACCCTATGTAAATCACCTTCCCTGGCACTTTCTCTGACATTTCTTTTACTGCTAATTGCACTTTCTCGCTGGTTGTTGTTGGTGTCACAAACAACTTCAGTTCAGCTTCGAATCGAAAACTTCACCACTAAGAAAAACACAACTGCACAACCGTCGCGACGCAGCGTGTGCACCGGCGTTTTTTTTTCCTATCAAAAACTGGGAAAAACACAAAAAACCATAACAGACACATCAAAAGCACCAATAGACAACCTGCTTCACGCGACAACTGTTCTGCTCCGAGTACGCTATAAAGCATTCAGTAGTCCCTACAAAGCCATACATACAACCGCGTGTAGCCAAGTTACGTCGTCTGCTTACAAGTCCGGAGAATCTGTGCTTTAAAATGGAGGTGAAGGAAATCAAAACACACATCACAAGTTTGGAGAAGGCGAAGGATGACAAAACCATCCTAAACATTCTCAACATTCTTAAGAATGAAATAAAACCAACAGAAAAGCTTTTGAGGGTGGGTATTTCAAATTTTTTTTGTGCTCTTGGTGACGTTTATGAATACTAACAATTTTGATAACTAGGAAACAAAAGTTGGGATTGTTGTTAACAGATACAAAGGATCAGAGAATCAAGAAATCTCTACACTTGTTAAAAAAATCATCAAGTTTTGGAAGGATGAAGTTTCACGTGAAAAGAAGGCTAAAGGTAGTACAACAACATCACAGAAAGCTGCTTCTCCTAACACTTCAACAACATCAAACAATACAACAACCACTTTACACAAAAAATTTGTTGCTAATGGACCAAGAAATGCCTTGAATGATGGTATCAAAGTGGATTTCTATGAAAACAAAACAAGAAACGGTGCTGTCTCAGCCTTATACAATGGGTTATGCATTGAATCAGAGCATCCACCTAATGCCTTACTAAAAGTTGCTAAAGAGATTGAAGCTGAAGTGTTTTCAGCTGAAAGATTTGATACAAGTTCGAACACAAAATATGCACAGAGACTAAGAACCTTGACATCCAATTTGAGACAAAAAAACAATCCAGAATTGAGAAATAAGATCAATAATGGTGATTTACTTCCAAAAGATTTCATAAATATGAGTCCAAAAGAAATGGCACCAGAATCGCTAAAGAAAGAATTGGAGGAGATTAAGAGAAAGAATTTGTTCAACGCTCAAGGTGCTACACAAGAAAGAGCTGTCACTGATAGATTCACTTGTGGTAAATGTAAAGAAAAGAAGGTTAGTTATTACCAACTGCAAACCAGATCTGCTGATGAACCTTTAACTACTTTCTGTACCTGTGAGAATTGTGGGAACAGATGGAAGTTCTCCTGAGAAGAATTACTTGTATAAACTTATAAATTTTGTAAACTAGCTGATTTTCGCTTATATGACATTTTGTAGAATCTGGCTCGGATTTTTCGAATGGAAGCAAAAAAAAAAAAAAAAAAAATGGAGAAATCTCGTTGACATATCAAGCCATTAGCCAACATACCTATTCAAAATGTTTAGATTTGCTTCAAGATCAATTTCAAGAGCCTCAGCTCTATCACCAAGATGTTTAAAATCAAGATTGAGTCCATCTTATACTGCAAGTTTCAATGTTGCCTTCAAAAGAACATATGCCTCTCAAACTGAAGGTGGTGATATAATCGCAGATTTTACACAAAAAGTTAAAACAATCCATCTGTATGTTAGGATTGTTATTCTTATCACTTCAAATGTGAAAATAACTAACCTTGAAATAGGTTGGTGAGGCCATTGTAAAAGTTCAAAAGCTTTTACATGAAAAAGGTATCGATACATCAAGTGGAGAACTATCACCAATGCAATATGTCAAGATCTTTAGTGATAAAGAGATTAGAGAATCATTTGAAACTTGTGAGTTAACTCTGCTAAGATAAAAAGTGGGCAAGACTAATTATTTTATCTAAAATAGTGAGTGTAGAAATGAAGAAAGCTGATATCAAGTTTTCAAAAGACCAGTAAGTATTGAACTTTATAGATCTTAAAGTATCATCAGAGACTAACAAGCAACTCAAAAGAATTGAATCATTAATGAAAGTTTTGGGTTTAGAAAAATAAGAGTAATCTAGTGCATTATTTACATCAATATCATTTCATTAAAACAAATCATTATTCTATAGTTAATTCTTATGTAATTAAAGTTCTTTTAGTGTCCATTGTAAAGTTTTGATCTTTGAATTTGATATAATCCAAAAAACCCCATATTTTCTGTTCAGTGTATGGTATCTTCTGCCACCAATACAGATCTTTTGAGGTTGGATAAATAAAAAGTTTATAAGTTAGATTGTAAATATTGAATGGTACTTCAAAATTTTGGAAAGTTACCGTTATTGATAACAATGAAACTAGTATTAAATTCAGTACCAGTGTCAGTTGATTGGGTGTTATTAATAATGAATAGATTCTGTTGAATAGTATTGTGAAAAAGATAAGACACGTTGATGTGTTCTTGTTTTCTGGTCTATATGGCTTCGGTGATTCATTGAAAGAGTTACCAAGGCTTGATATCCTTGAGTTTATATGATCGTCTAAATCTTTGAGTTGTTTTTCTTGAAGTGAGATTGTGTCGTTGTTCTCTTTTGGTAATGGTGAACTTGTAACCAAAGGGTACTTCTTGTCAACTTTCCCAATATTTGATGATGAATCTTCATTAACCATTTCATTAACTAGTGCTATAATATCCAGTTCAACAAGACCATTTATAAAATCTAATAATAAGACTTTCCTTATTGCAACGTCATAATATTGATTGATGAAAAGGTTAGATACTTCATGGATCTTCGCGTCAATATTTATTCCAAAGTTTAGCTCTATCAGTGTAAGCAATTGAGTAATCTGAGCAGCAAGGATGTAGCTTTCATCTTCATTCAAACAATTTATTAGATACTCGATCTTTTCCTTGACTTGTGTGTACTTCATCTGTTTGGATGACAAAAGCTGACGATGGAGCACAATTATGGTTCAGTTTTGTTTTTCAGATTTGATTTTTTTTTGTAAACAAACCTGACACATCGCTTTTTTACGGCCTTGGAGATGTTACACAGATTATAAAACTATTTAACTTAAAATTCTTTATGTTAGCTGTGACTTATAGTCTGTGGAAGGATAAAAACTAGTGCTTATAACTGTTGATTTCGTCTCATCAAATTGATTAAGTTGAATTTTTACCTCTTCAGGGCCATTTTAATCAATTTTGTCGCATTAAAGCCTACAATGACACCAACATGGCCATAGTTAATACTGAGAACAAAAGTTCTTTATGAAACGTTACCAGAATTGCAATTCTACCTCTAATTCTATAATTGTGATTCCATGGGCAAGTCACGTGGAATACGCTCATAGTGAGTGGGCTTTTTTCATTTGAGATTTGACACAAAAAGCAGTGGAAACGAATGAAAACAGTCCAATCAAGAGCACAGGGACTCCAAAAAGGCAGAACTACAACACTAGACACAACTCATCAACACAATCTCTTCATTTCTATTCCAAATGCTCAAACCCACGATAAGATCCAGCACTTAAGCTTATCCATCAGCATCCACAGTTTACTCTACCTGCGAGTGGCCGTAGCAGCTTGCCGTGCACTTGCACGTTACTTTTGAATCCATCTGATAGATAAATTTTATTTCTCTTTCTTTATTTATTTATCTTTATCCTTGTATATTTTGTTCTTTATACAATACTTCTCTAGATCATATCCTCAAAAATGACTGTCGACAGAGACTCAAAGATCCCTGAACTCAAAGATTCAGTCTTGGAACTAATAGGTAACACCCCTTTGGTTAAATTAAACAAGATCCCTCAATCATTAGGTGTTAAACCTCAAATCTTAGCTAAACTAGAGTTCTTCAATGCTGGTGGTAGTGTCAAAGATAGAATTGCTCTTCGTATGGTTGAAGAAGCTGAAAAAGATGGAAGAATCAAACCAGGCTACACTTTAATCGAACCAACTTCAGGTAACACTGGTATCGGTTTGGCTTTGTTAGGTGCTGTTAAAGGTTATAGAACTATTATCACTTTGCCAGAAAAGATGTCTAATGAAAAAGTTTCCGTCTTGAAAGCTTTAGGTGCTGAAATCGTTAGAACCCCAACTGAAGCTGCTTTTGATTCTCCAGAATCACATATTGGTGTTGCCAAAAAATTGAACAAAGAAATTAAAAACTCTGTCATCTTGGATCAATATGGTAATATCAATAACCCAGATTCTCATTATTACACAACTGGTTATGAAATTTACAAACAATCAAAGGGTAAAATCACCGCCTTAGTTGCTGGTGCTGGTACTGGTGGTACAATCACTGGTATTGCCAAATATTTAAAAGAACAAGATCCAAAAATTAAAGTCATTGGTGCTGATCCAAAAGGTTCAATCTTGGCTGTTCCTGAATCTTTAAACAAAACAGATACCGATCAATACAAAGTCGAAGGTATTGGTTATGATTTCATCCCAGATGTCTTGAACAGAGGTTTGATTGATGAATGGTACAAAACCGAAGATCAAGAATCATTCACTTTAGCCAGAAGATTAATCAAAGAAGAAGGTATTTTAATTGGTGGTTCCTCTGGTAGTTCTTTAGCTGCAGCCATCAGATATGCTAAAGATCATCCTGAATTAACAGAAGATGACACCATTGTTGTTGTTTTCCCAGATAGTGTTAGATCTTACTTGACCAAATTTATTGATGATGAATGGATGAAATCAAATGGTTTTGAAATTGAACCAGTTGCTAAATCTTCAAAAGGTACTTTTGAAACTGAAAAAATAAAGTCATTAAACTTGAAACCTGTTGTCGCTGTTCATAGTGATGAAAAAGTTGAAAAAGTTATCAAAATCTTGAAAGAAAATGGGTTTGATCAATTACCTGTTTTATCACCAAAGAGTGGCAAATTGATTGGTTTAATAACGTTGAGTAAATTATTAGGATCATTATCTTCAAGTCAAATCACAATTAATGATGCTATAGAATCAATTATCATTGACTTTAGAAAACTAAACAACTTTGATGATGTCAACATTTTCAATGAAAATAAATCAAGTAAGAAAAAATTCAATAAAATCACTGAAGAAACTACTCTTGGAGAATTGAAAAAGTTTTTTGAAAAAAATGCAAGTGCTGTTGTTACTGATAAAGACATGAAACCAATCCATGTTGTTACTAAAGTTGATCTATTGGATTATTTTATTGAAAATTAAGAAATGATGGTGTTTTTTTGTTTTGTTTAACTGCATTAAAGAATTTGATTAATAATTTACTACTTTAAACAAAAACGTTTGTAAGTTCATTCGTAACTTTGTAAATTATTCTCTATATTTAAACTATCTATAAATGCACTGTCCTTTCTATCGCAACATAAGTGTCAGAATATATTTTTCTGAAACTTCCTGCTCATTGGAAGCTTCTATGTTAAATTTCTCTAGTGATGCCAGTGTTGAATCTTCATTGCATAATGATTTCAAAATCATGAAGGAGGATAATGTTGTATTCAAGAGTTCCTCATTACCATCAGTCTCGTAAATTCTTAGTGAAGTTTCCTTGCCATCAAGTGCCCAACGAGAACGTGCTTGAATAGAAGTCAACTCTGACGATGTTGAGGAAGCTTGAGCTGTTAAACATATTTTGATTGCAGTTTGGATATTTGGAAACATGCTTTTGAACTTGGTGTCAGTCAAGTAAAACTTCATTAAATTTTTGAAATAATCAGTATTTGTATCAAACGTAGATGGCAAGTTATAAAACTCTGCGGATTCAATGAAATTGAAAAATCTCATAACTTCCTCTTTAGCAGAAGACTTTGTGAATGTTTCTTTAGAATGAGAACCGTCTGTTGATTTTTCTTTTTCAATGACATCCATGATTTTTTGATACTCTTGAGATGACATTAAACCACTTTTCAGTCTTTTCTCAATGACTTTTTTCAAATCAGAAGCTGGTTTCCTTGGACTTTTTGGTGTAGCGGAGGCAGAAGAACTATCATTGATATCCACTTTATCCATTTCTCTTTTTCTACTTCTTTTGATATAGCCATTGTTCATCAGAAATTCAGATATAATGTTCAAGCATTGTGGATCTTCAGTTATAGTTTCAAAAATAAAATTTGGACAGATATCTTTAATCTGAGGATTAATTAAACTTGATAATAGTACCAAGGGATCATTTTTTATTCTTTTATAATACCTCGACGCCTTTATTGCCCCATGCCGGGCTCCTTGCCTCAACACTGGAGTCGCGTTAGCCGTCTGTTCTAGTTCCTTCATATTCATTATGACCTCTTCTATTATAGGGAGAACGAAATTCATTGAAAACTTTTTACTTGTCAGCCTGTCAATGAACGTGTCAAAATCCTTTAAGGCTAAATCAATGCAATAAGCAACTTTATATTCAGTTGGTGAGACCTTTGGTAACATATTCAAATGGTCACGTTGAGACAGTTGTACCAATATTGCCTTGTTTCTAGTCAAGGCTTTTATGCTGCCTAAAAATGAACTCAACGACTCTTCATTTGGTTCCACGATATCAGGAACATACACGTCCTTGTTTTGAGCTTCATAATTTTTCTTGATTGTAGTGTAATGCTCCTTCAAATCAGGACTGTTATTGACCATTAAAGCAATTCTATTCATTAGAGAAACCAGATCATTGATACTAGTACTAGTATTACCTTCCTCATCTCTAGAAAAATAACTCAAAATACCAGTTACCACCCTTCTTAGCTCAATATCACTTTTTGTAAAGTGTTCAAAGTTTGCAGTACTTTGAATCGTGAAGTCTCTAATAAATCCGCTAGCAACCCAGTTCAATAACTGCCTTGAACAGCCTGGCATTTGACTAATGGAAAGTGAAGGAAATTCTTTTTCCTGGATCAACAACTCACGAGCAAATGCTGATGATGATTCCATTTCTGTGGTGATTGAAATAACTTGATCTTTCAAACCTAACAAACCAATTGTTTTAGAGACAGCTTGTTTCAGCAATGATGCAGATCCAAAAGATGTTTCAATAAATCCAAGGGTTACTTCATTGACAGTAGCATCATGGATGAAATGGCTATTAATGGCAACAAAACTATTACCATCTATATTAACTTCATTAAAACTCAAACTTATAGGAATATCATCGTCAACAAGAGTTTGAGCAACCTCATTCAATAATCTGGCGCAATTCTGAGATAGATCAAATGCAACTCGTGCTGATGATGGTGATTTAAATCCCGGTATCGCACTGAATAGTTCTTGAGTAATCTCATCATCATAGAAGTTTAACGGGTTGTTATTTTTAATGAGCGACTTTTGAATCAAAGTTGAGTAACGCTCTTGAGATGACGTTTCTTCTCCATGCTGGTTTTGATTCTTTCTATCTGGGGTTGACAACCTCACTCCGGTCAAACTCACAGCTAATGTTGGTTGCAACCTTTCCCCCGTAGTAGCTTCTCCTTTCTTCAACTGAGCTTGATATTGATCACATGACTCTTTACTTATATCATGCTTTACTGCAAGGTGTGAGAATAATTGAGAAGTAAGTCCTCCACTAGGAAATCCTTCAATGACGGTTTTTTGATCCACTTTCAAGCATTCATTACATATTGCCCTTCCAGTTTCTCTATCATAATTGTAATACAAGTATGATGAGCTTTGTTTTCTAATATCACTTCTTCTCCTTTTGGTTGTTTGACTTGAGCTCATTACCAACACCGATCCCACAATGGCAAAGCTATGGGCTAATGTCAGACTTGTATTAATTTTTTTTCACAAATTATGACTGAATCTTTTTCAACGCGACGCGTTTTTTAGCACTTCTTATATTTTCGCACAAATGCTCTAAAGAGGTAATAACCACACTGCCTTTTGGCGCAAACTTTCAATTTTTGCGCAACTGTGAAATATTTTGGCGGAGACATTTTTTGTGTCACAAAAATTTCACAAAAACACAAGGAAAAGATAAAACGTTGGCCACGTCGCCATATCCAAAGATACTAGTTGATGGTGAATTATAACTCACCGATTGAGGCCAAAAGTTAGTGCTTTCACAACTTTTGAGATTACTGTTGAGATGGAGTTAGAGTTGGTCTTCTTAGCCACTAGTGCACTGGTTTACTTGGGATACTTGGGATACGAGTGTCATCACCGATCCTAGATGAATATCATACTCTTTTTTTGATGCTATTTTGAAGCTCAGACTAGTATCCAGTCATTTGGTGATGTTTTAGTTGGTGGTGCTCTAGCCATAACCATAATTGCAACTGTTGGAATAGAATTGTTGTTTCTGATGAAAGTAATGAATCCAAAAGAAGGCTAGTACTTGAGTCAATGAGTTCTTGAAGAAAGATGAGCCCCAAAAGCTGAAAAGTTAAAGTCCTTTTTAGTTACTTCTGAAAGACTAAATAATTTTGCAAATTAAATATTCAGCTGCTAATTTGTCAAATTAATGAAAATAAAAATATTGTGGTATAAACTGATGATATTCTTAATTGAAATCATACAGGTGACCAATATATTGAGCAAACTTCTATTAATATCAAATATTAATGCATAAATATATTGAGCTAGCCTAATTTGTCAACTATAAGTTAATTACATTAAAGTAATTAATTTTCATGGTAATTAAATATTGCAGGAAAATTATCAATATAATTAACATGAACCACAAATCAGACATTTCATAATAGGCGACCTGGCTTGGACTGGCCATGATCAAAGACTAGGACCTACAGCTACAAATTGATGTTATCATAGCTTATCACTTAGGGACCGACTGGCAGAGCTCAAAGGTGTGTACAACAAGAGTGGAACATATTTGAAGAAATCCAACTTGAAGCTACTACTGAATTTCATACAGAGATAACATTGAAAAAGATGATAATACAGACCTTAAGATCAAAGGTTTGTTTTGATATTAACAGTGAACCGCTGAGATATTCATCTCATAGTTTACAGTTGTTGTGCTCTCTACACATACATCTCTTTTATTCACAGTTACTTCAAATTTATGTCCTTGAAATAAAAGAACTTCCGTCAAGTTTAAGACATACAAGTGAACTAAACCCAACAGAGCTATACGAACTCATGATTGGTTTTTCCTGTTTAGTTTAACATATCTACAATTATGCTTGTCGAATTGATAAATATGGTTCATGTTTAGATTAAAAGAGTAAATTACTTGCATACACGATGATTTTTACAACTTGTTAATTTGTGCAAGTGGAAAGCTATCATAGTACTTGACATGTGACATCCACGTTAGATCATGATATCACACTTAATGGAGAACGGTCTCCTCAAAACTAATCAAAGATGCAGACAAGTTCTCAATAAATTTTCCTTACTTTAAAAGATTGTGTTCATGATTCATGATGATCAAGAAAAAAAATGGCTGGCTCGAACCACCCGCGCTTGACACAAAAGCATTAGATCCAGACAATCACAACGAGCTAGAGGCAATCAAGAAACTTCTAGGCGCTAGAAGGAGCTCTTTCATCTTACATTAGTAGCTTTTGATGAAGGTTATCTTTTCTCCAAAGATTTGAGAATAATTTTTTGGAATCTCAGTTTTCAACTCTATTGTTTTTTTTTCAGACCACGCTATGCCGCTCTCATCTGTATTGCAGGAGATTGCATACACTTGAGCTTTTTGTATATAAATCATGCATAGATTGTTTCAGATAGAGTTTGACCATTTGCTAGTAAAATATGCATTATCAAGCACTTATCTGTATGCAGTGGCATAAATCTGCAACAGAATGGCAAGTCATCTCCCAAAGAAGATAAAGATGATGGGAAATTTAACAAGAATGGTAATCTGCATGCTGTTTGAACGTTCGTACTTTTGAAAAAAACACTTGATGCTATAAAGAACAAGATAACAGTAGAAAAAAAGTTTGGAAAGCCCACATTTCGAAAGAGAAACTAACCAGCCAAACCTTAGACGCTATTAAAACATCATGAAATGACTTTTTTTTATTTTCCTTCTAATTTCAACACCATCAACTCATACAGATACCCTTCAAGATACATTGATCTTTTAACTAATTATCAAAACAACACATTCAGGTAAAATCACCAACTAGAATTCATTCATTTTTCCCCAGCTTCAGTCACTCGTTAATTCAAATATTTTTTACTAGATTTTCATTTTGATTAAGCATCTATATTTTTTCCCATAATATTTAAAAGATTGAACTTATCAACATGGATTATTACAAACCGCCAGTTTTATTTCGCCAAAACGCCATCAAGAAGGCTAGATCAGATCCTGGGTTTTATTTACAAAAGAACAATTCAAGTGAAAAATGGCTATTGAAAGATAATGTCCAGAATGATATTTTAAACAAAACTTGTTCTTTGAATAAGATTAAAATTGCTTCAAACTATTGGAGAATACCAGATGATGATTTTTATTTAACAGCAGTTTCAGTCAACCAACAAAATCCTGAACAAATTGCTATAGCAAGTGGTAAAAATGAATCAAACCTTTTCATCTATGACATGAACTTTGACCAAGATGTTTTAACACATCAGCAAACTGTGTCATTACCAAATATTGAATCTATGGAATGGTTAGATTATGATAAAGAAGAAAGTTCTATATTAACTGGTCATAAAAATGGTGTTGCCCATATGGTTTCAATTCCAGAATCAAATTCAAATGAATCTGCCAGAATTTTGAAAAGATTCAATCATAAAAAACACTTTACAAATGATAAATACAGAAATTCATCCATCAAAAATTTAGACATTCCAAATTGGAATAAAAATTCATTTCTCAGTCTTTGCAATGAAAACATTTTCCTTTGGGATTTAAATCATAGGTCAGATTTACCAATTTTGAAAAACCAACATTTAGGTATACGGAATTTTGATTCATCATTATCTAATAATGGTATTGTTGCACTTTGTGGTGAGTTTGGTATAGCACTAAATGATTTAAGAGCTCCAATTAATACACCATCAATTTTCACTCCAAAAGATTCTGCAAATATGGGATTTTCAAATAATATTAAATGGGCACCATATGACTCTAATATTCTTGCAGCTTCTCATGTTGATGGTGTTGTTAGACTTTGGGATATTAGAGCACAAAGCTCTTTTGCTAAATTAAAAGGACACAATGATTTGGTAACTTCAATAGAATGGTCTGAAGAAAGTTCAAGTGATTTATATACAGGGTCTAGAGATGGTAATATTATCCATTGGGATCTTGATTTTGATGAAGACTTGAGTAATTGCTGCTTAAATGAAGGATTAGATTCAATTAATTTCCACAAAAATCAATTCTTAACAGACGATTATGATATTTATAACATTGTGAACCAAAGACAATGTGGAACATTGATACCAGCTGCAAAGGATTCAATTATTGGATTAACAAGTACAAATGGTAATATTTTATCAATTGATGGGTCATCATATTTGGGAGTTCATAGAAAGAGAGGTATTGATTCATTTAGAGTGGAAGAAGGTACCTCAGCTATGATTATTGATGATATGTTGAATGAAATTCCATTCAAAAGACAAGTTTCAAATTCTGGAAGCTGCACATTAACAGATTCAAGTGACGAAGAAAGTATATTTGAGCAAAGCATTCAAGTTGACTCTGCTCCATCAACTGTTAACAATTCACCAGTTCATGTTAAGACTAGAAGTATAACCAAGTTGTTGAATAATAGTGATCACAGTGTAAACACTTTAGTTGGTTCACCAATTGCAGAAGCCACTAGTGGAAAGATTTTGAAAGCTCAAAGATCAACCTCTGGATCCACAATAAATGATGATGATCAAGGTGTTTGTAAAGATTTCACATATGAAAAGGTATTGCCATTGAATAGAAAACTTGCTGAAATAATAAATATGGAGAGAACCCAGCAAATGCAGTATGTTTAAAATTGATTTTTTTTTCTTTTCCTTTTATTTTAATTAATGAATAATAATGAGTGTTTTGTAATTCTTTTGTAACAGAATGTCTCTACCCTGAATGGACAACATTTAAACATATATATTTATAATTAAAATACAACATCATACTATACAGAATTGAATTGGAGACAAAATATAATATCAGCACAGCTCATAACTAAGCATTTTTAGCTTCTGCTTCATAACTTGGAGAGACATTTTCATAACGTTTTAAAAAGAATTCTTTTTTGTTCTTATCCAAGAATTTGAGGAAATCTTCAACATGGTCTTTTAAAGTACCAACACTTTGTTGATCCATTGTTGTTTGAGCAATTAGACCTGGTAAAGTGACCATCAATCTCATTAAATGTTCAGCACCATAAACAGAGCTCAATTCTCTATCGTTGAATTCTGGATCTTTTGTCAAGTTCAAGTACTGCTGTCTTTCAAATCTATAAAGAAGTAAATTTCCCAAAGATCTATTGAAATAAACTTTCAACCCTGAAAGGAATTCATCCATAATTTCAGCCTCTGTGCTTCCACCTTTTCTACCAACAAATTGTTTATATTGTTTTATGATATCATTAACAGATGGTTTAGAAGGTAGTTGTAATAGTTGATGTTCTTTAGTGACAATTTCCCAATCGTCAACTAATAAGGATTTCAAAGGATCAGGTATCAAAATGTTAATTTCAGGTCTTCTCAAGTAATCTTCTTCTTTTTCCAAATCCATTTCACTCCTTCTCTTTGCCGATCTAGAGGATGAACCATTACTTTGTTTTGTATCCACGTATTTTTTACCAGAAGAAGCTGAAACAGTTGAAGTTGAACTTAATGCTGCTTTCTTTAATTCTTTTTGCAATCTCAAATTCTCAATGTTATAAGCTCTCAGACGACGTTGTGTAACCCATTCGTCCCAGGTAGACTTCCAACCTTTGTAATGAATGAAATAACCATCTTCACCAAACAATTCCTCAGGGATATCTTCATCCTTCGCGTTTTCAATCTTGTCCTCCTTTTTGTCCTTGGTCAAAACATTCTCACTGTTAGCCTCATGGAACTTGACGATTTTGGCTTCGTACAACAATGGGCCATGGTAAGCCAAGCATCTCCCATTCACTTGAAAGTCACTCATCGTATCAGCTGTGTTGAATAAAGAAATGCTACGCGTCAGTTCAACCACTTCAGCTTCAACAACAACAACATCTGTAATTTATTAATCAAAACAAAAACATCACGACCGGGTAACGGCATTGAAAATCGCAGAACGTGTTCGCGGAATTCGCGCCTATCCGCGAAATTCCAGCAAAAAACAAAAGTTGACGATTTAAAACATCAACATCCCAAAAACAACAACAAAAGACAACAAAGACACCATCAACACCAACGGCTATCAAGCAGAGAAAGCAAGGCCAAACAGCTGACTCTCCATAGTGCTATCTATCAACACTTCACGCAAACACTGCTACATCGAAGAAAGGAGTATTCCAATTGAGAGTGTTCATTCCGTGCGCATTCCCTTCTCCAGAGTCACAAAAAAAGAAACCTCAAGCTGGCTGAATTACAAAGTGCCCAAGATTCACAACAACTGCTGCTGAGTACCACGGTTTTTCACTTTTGATAAAGATTAAGAATCATCTACACATCCCACTGGGTCTGTTTCTGTTGCTGTTATCACCGTTTGAACCCTGAATTGTCTCCCCCATTTTAGTGTCGGGTTTTTTGCTACAGATTTTTTTGTTATCATTTGACTTTTTTTTTGTGAATCCTTCATTCTCGAACCCAACCTCAAAGAAAGACAGAAAACATAGAAACATCTCTTAGCATTCGTTTTTTAGAAGGCTACTGTTAGAATTAGAAAGAAAAGAGTCCTTTATCCAAATTAGTTTTTCTTGTGTGTGTTCAAAACAATGTCATCATCACAAGCTCAATCTGCCAATGTTATTGGTATCCATTATCGTGTTGGTAAGAAAATAGGTGAAGGTTCATTTGGTATAATTTTTGAAGGTGTTAATCTATTGAACAACCAACAAGTTGCTATCAAGTTTGAACCAAGAAGAACTGAAGCTCCACAGCTAAGAGATGAATACAGAGCATATAGAATACTAGCTGGTTCCCAAGGTATACCAAGAGCTTATTATTTTGGCCAAGAAGGTTTACACAACATCTTGGTTATAGATTTATTAGGTCCATCTTTAGAAGATTTGTTTGATTGGTGTGGACGCAAATTATCTCCAAAAACTGTTGCACAAGTTGCCAAACAAATGATTACCAGAGTTCAAACAATCCATGATAAAGATTTGATTTTTAGAGATATTAAACCAGATAATTTTTTGATTGGTAAAGCTGGATCTACAAATGCAAATACAATTCATATAGTCGATTTTGGTATGGCCAAATATTATAGAGATCCAAAGACTAAACAACATATACCATATAGAGAACGTAAATCATTAAGTGGTACTGCTAGATATATGTCAATCAATACTCATTTAGGAAGAGAACAATCAAGAAGAGATGATTTAGAAAGTTTGGGTCATGTTTTCTTATATTTCTTGAGAGGCTCTTTACCATGGCAAGGATTGAAAGCTCCAACTAATAAACAAAAGTATGAAAAAATTGGTGAAAAAAAGAGAAATACACCAGTTAGTGAATTAGTTCAAGGTTTACCCTCACAATTTGGTGATTATTTAACTTATGTTCGTAATTTGACTTTTGAACAAAACCCAGATTATGATTATTTAAGGGCATTAATGGATGCTGCAATAGAATCAGTTGGTGAAACTGCTGATGGTTATTATGACTGGATGTCATTAAACGGGGGTAAAGGTTGGGATGCTCAAATCAACAAAAAACCAAATTTACATGGTTATGGAAACCCAAACCCAAGAGCAAATCAAACAAATCCATTACAAGGTCAACAACAAGCTCAACAAGCTCAGCAACAACAACAAGTCCAACAAGCACATTTGAAACAGAAAGTTCAATCCTTAAACAATTCAAGATCAAGAACTCCAAAAGTGAATCAAACAAATTACTTGCTGAACTCATCACAATATGCAATCAATTCAAATAAAGCTAGTGATCAACAACAAAACCTGATTAATGACCAAACAGACATTAGATCAACAACATCTGAAAAAGGTTTCTGGAGCAAAATTTGTTGTTGTAGTTAGTGAATAGATGAGGTTAAAAGTTATTGCATTAAATTTGTTTTGTTTGTTTGTTTCACTGTTGTTATTGTTTTGTGTTTTCTTATGTTTTTTCAAATCATCCCCAATCTTTGTCAATTTTTGGATGCTTCACTTCTAATATCTAATTTACACCAAATTCATGTCCATCTTCATCATTATCATCTTCATCATCGTTAAGGAAGCTGAGAAAATAATAGAATTGAGGGATGGATCAAATTGTACCATATTTATTTTAATAAACTGTCATAAGTCATTCTATTCGTGATTGTTGTCATCATTCTTTTGATTATCTTTTTTTGTTCTTTTTATTGTGCTGTTTCTCTATTTTTTACCTGATTTTTTTAACGATACAAGAAGAAATAGATAAATAAGATTGTTATTATGATGAATTTTTATGTATAGACCTTTGTCTTTCACTTTAATATCAACATACATTTAGAAAATATTATAATTGAGTACTTTTATTTTACATGTAGTGTTAATCAAGAAGAAATGTATTAAAATTTCCTAATGTGTGTCTATACGTTGGGGAACTGATGTTGGAATCAAGTTCAGTTTTGGGTATGATGTTGGAATCAATCCAGTTGAATAATAATCATTAAAATCATTAATAGTGAAAAAAAGTTTGTTGTTGAAACTCTTGTTAAAACTTATGTTGAATAAATAAATTAAAAGAAAAATAGGTGTGGAAGTCCTATTTTGTATGAAGTGAATATTAAAATGGTGAAGAAAAAATGAATGCTAGAGCCTTTTTATCTGTTGCTCTCTATAACTTTGCAACTTGTTGTTTAACTAATTTACCATCAACTAATTTGGCAATACCACTCAAAATTAAAGCATCTTTTAAATCCTCAATTAAATCATCGATATTTTCAATACCGAGACATAATCTAATGATATCTTCTGGTAAATTTCTTTCTTTTCTAATTTCTGGATCAATTGCAGCATGAGACATTCTACATGGCATTGAAATCAATGAATTGACACAACCAAATGAAACAGTAACACCAAAAATTTTAGTACCTTCCACTATTTTTTCACTTTTCAAAATAGAACCAGTTTCAAAAGATAAAACAGCACCAAAACCTTTGTTGAAAGATTTATGTAATTCATGTTGAGGATGAGATTTTAATCCAGGATATCTGACTTTAAACCCAATAGATTCTAACCATTCAGCCAATTTTTCAGCATTTTGTTGCTGTCTTTCAAATCTGATTGATAAAGTTTTTAAACCTCTCAATAATAACCAAGAGTCAAAAGGTGCTAATCCACAACCTGTTGAATTTATTATAAAGTAAATATCATTACCTAATTTATCATCATTAACTGCAATTGCACCAGCCATAATATCATGATGACCATTCAAATATTTTGTAGCAGATTCATATTGAATATCAACATATTGTAAAGGACTTAATAATAATGGAGACATCATGGTATTATCAAAAACTATCAAACAGTTTGGATAATTTTTTCTAATATATTTAGAAATCTCTGGTAAATCAACAATTTTAATTAATGGATTAGTTGGACTCTCCAAGAAAATCATCTTTGTGTTTTCACTTAAAGTAGATTTAACCACTTCAGTATCAGTTGTATCGATATGTTTTAAATTAACAGCTCCTTTTTCATTCAAAAGAGTCAATAATCTATGAGTACCACCATAAAGATCATCACCAGCAATAACTTCATCCCCAGGTTTCAATAATCTTGTAATGACATCTAAACAACCCATACCACTTGTAACTGCAAAAGCTCTTTGAGCCTTCATGATCTTGGCCAATTGACCTTCCAACTGGGTTCTTGTTGGGTTACCAGATCTTGTATAGTCATATTGACCCATATCGGTCACTGATTTTTGTTTAAAAGTTGTTGTTTGATACAATGGGGGAACTGAAGAGTTGTGCTGGTCATCGTTGTTTGAAGAGACAACCAATGTGTCTATGGAGATTTCTTTAACCATTGTTGAATGTGATGAATTAATGAATTGGAAAGAGTTGAGAAAGGTTCAAATCTAAAAGAATTTATTGTTTCGAAACTTTTCAAAGTTATACAGAAAAAAAAAAGAGCTCTGACTCAATTGATAAAGAATTCCTCGCCACAACTGCTCTAGGCAGAGCTTAGGCAGAGCGCAATGGTATCTAGGCAGAGCTAGGTGGGAGTCACTAGCCACTGTCCGCCTAGGGTCTCTCCTGTCCAGGCAGAAAATGTTGCCGCAGATAAGCCAGCGCACCAGCCACAGACAGCACCGCTGATTAGATAACATTTCGCTCATTGCACGTGACCTGAGAGTGCCCGGAAGCGGACCGGCTTCGGGTAATTAGTGCGCAAACCGGATCTATAAGAATTAGGTGAAAGCACAATTACAACTCAAAACACTAGACATTACTCAACAATAAATGTGTTGATTTGTTATTCCTTCGAGGAATAGCGTCTTTATTGCCTTGTGGGAAATTAAATTTGAGAATAGATTAAAATTCCATCAAAAATTCAAAAAAAATTAAATATATAATTAGATGTACTATTTTATATAAAATTCATAATTTAATCATTAATTGATAATTATGAGCTAACAATATATTTAATGGGATTATTCATTAATATTAATATGATTTTATAATTAATCTATTAATTTACATCATGAATAAGTCAGACGACATTGTTCCTTGCTTTGTTTATAACCGGCAATATGGTGGTCTACATATCTTTGACCTGTATTATATGCTAACGTTGTAGGACTATTCGATCATGTAATTCACTACTAGTAAAAGTAAAATTAACCAATTACCACCGAATAGCATGGAAAAGACGAAGTCGCCATATTGTCTAGACTCTATAAGTTGTACAAGTTATTCACAATGCAGTGGATTGTTAGCACATATAGGCAGAAAGAATGTTCACATCAATTTCTCAAGCTTAACCAATCGATAAAACAATAGTATAATTGTTGAAGTGAGTACGACCGACAAAGCTGTTGAAAAGGCTAAACTTATTCAAGAAGGCTTCTGTCCAAATTGAAATTTAACTCTAAAGTCTATTCTTAATTTCTGCTGAAAATATAGCAACACTAAAGTACAAGCTTCAACGTTACACAACCAAATTTCACAATTCAACATACACATTCACTAATTTTGCAATTCTCTTTCCTTGTGTCAAATAATTTGAGTTTTTGACGACATCCCTTTTCACAACTTGTGTTTACTTCACTGCCCCATCTTTCCTTTTTGTATTAGAACCATAGCAACTATGGGTAAGGCAGTTGCCTTATGGAGTAGGTGAGCGAAAGGTTAAAGCTGAATATGGAGAATTTGATTTACAATATTCTATAAGCCGATTTTAGAGACTACCAGACGTCAATTTGAAAGAACCAGATCGAAGTAATAAATCAATTTTTGTGCAATAGAATCAATATTTCTCTTCTCTTGAACTCTCCTCTACCCAGTCAACTCGCTAAGCTTTTTCCTCTCGTTGAGCCTCCTCCTCCATCACTTCTGTGCCTTATATGTCCCCTTCCCAGCACCTGCGTTGGTACCTGAGTCTGACGGGGCAAAGCCCGTTTCTAGAACCGTGTTTACATCGAGAATCATCATTCGCGTAACCTTGAATTCTGAAAAAAACCGTGTAACATGTAAACAAAAAACAACAGCCACTATTTGGATTGAAAATCACCATCCTCGAGGATGTGAAATAGGAATACCACAAGTCCTGGAAATGCTGGCACCTGAATGAATATAAATATGAGCTGGTTTCCCAAATCTTAAACACTTTTTCTTCTTCCCTTTTCTTCAACATCATTAACCAATAATTTTCCATATTAGAGGTCAATCGTTCTTTATACATTCGTTAAGTCAAATTATATCAATCAATTAAATTCATTATGTATTCCAAATCAGTTGTTGTTTTAGGTTTATCAGCTCTTGCTATGGCCCAACAAGCCAATGTTATTTCCCAAATTGGTGATGGTCAAATCCAAGCTTCTCAAGCCACTGGTGGTCAAGGTGGTGGTGCTTCTGCTCCTCCAGCTGCTCCAGCTTCTTCTGCTCCTCCAGCAGGTGGTAAAGGTTCAAGTGCTCCAGCTGCTCCAGCTTCCTCAGCTCCTCCAGCCGGTGGCGAAGGTTCATCTGCTCCACCAGCAGCTCCAGCATCATCAGCTCCTCCAGCAGGTGGTTCAAGTGCCCCAGCAGGTGCTCCATCAAGTGCTCCTCCAGCTGCTGCTGCTTCATCAGCTCCTCCAGCCGGTGGTGAAGGTTCAAGTGCCCCAGGTGGTGCTCCATCAAGTGCTCCTCCAGCTGCTGCTGCCTCATCAGCTCCTCCAGCTGGTGGTGAAGAAGGTGGTAAATCAGGTTCTCCAGGTGGTCATAACACTGCTCCTCCAGCTGGTGGTAACCAAGCTACAACCACTGCTGCTCCAGCTGGCTCAACTGCCGGTAAAACTACTCCATCAGTTTCAGCTACTCAAGGTGGTGGTGCTCCAGGTAAAAACGGTACTAGTCCAGGTTCTCCATCTTCAATTGCTGAACAATCTGAAAATGCTGGTAACGTTTTGAGTTCAGGTAAATATGCTGTTGTTGGTTTAGCTGCCGTTGCTGGTGCTTTGTTGATCTAAGCTTTCAATTAGAGCTAAACTGTACAGATGAGAAAAAAAGTAAATACAATTGGGTAAAATGTTTATAGGTTAATGGAATTTTAGGTATGAACAAAGGTTTTAAAAGATTGGAGATTGTAGATGTTTCAATTGTAGTTGTCAATTTTCTAATGATTCTCAACGTTTGTTGTGAAGTGATGTTCATTCGAGAATGTGGAATGCTACAAAAAACCAAAGGTATGGAAAAAGTATATTTTATGTACAAGACCCGAATGTGAGAGAGAAAATATATCTGAATTTTATATTTTTTTTTTAAAAACAGAGATCAACTCATGCTAAACCTTCAGCACCATATCTTTCAATAATTTCTTTTAATTTTTTACTCAAGATTGGATCATTCTTCATTCTTAATTGAATTTTTGAAGCTTCAGCAAATGAAGTTGCTTGTAATTTTTCTTCATAAGTTCTTGTTAAATAACTAGCTTCTTCAAATAATTTAATAGCATCTTCAATTTCATTTGATTGTAATTTTAATTGAGCCAATGTGATTTTGGATAATTCATTCTTTGGATCTAATTTAACAGCTTTTTCTAATAATTCAATAGATTCTTTAATATTTTCTTCAGTTGGTTGTTTTGCCAAGATTGCAGCTTTATTAACTAAAGGTAAAACTCCAATAGTAATATTTGGTAAAGCATCTTGTAATTTGAAAGAAATTTCAAATTGTTTTATAGCATTAACTAAATCACCTTTATCAGCTAAAATTTCACCATAATAATTTGGTAAATCTGGATTAGTTGGGAATTTTTTCTTTGCATTTGCAAATTCTTCATCAAATTTTGAAGAACCTTCTCTATAAGAGATACAAGCTAATTGAATATAAGAGTAAACATTTTCTGGGTTTAAAACTTTAGCTTTTTCAAAAGCTTCTCTTGCTTTTGTTAATTCAGCAGTTAGATAATATAATTGACCTTTATGATAATAAACTTCAGCAGAATCTGGATTTAATTTCAAAGCTTCATCGAAAAACTTATTTGCAGATTCAAAATCTTGTTTATCAGCAGAAATCAAAGCATTAAAGACATAAGTTCTTGATCTTGGGTATAGTTTCAAAGCTTTCTGGAAATCAGTTAATGCATTTAATGGATCATTTTTCAAAAATTTAAAAGCACCTGAATATTCTAATGCAATTGCATATTTTTCTTTAATTGACTCATCAATTTTGTAAGTCAATTCATAATTTGCCACAGCTTGAGTGAAATAAGAATCAGCTTTTTCAAAAGATTCATAATTTCTTTCATCCAATTGTTTTAAACCTTGATACAAATAATAATCAGCAGTATTTTCCTCATCTTTTTTCAAGCCTTCAATACTATCCCATTCTGTTTCAAAAGCACCAAAGAAAGAACTAATTGAAGAAGCAGAAGGCAATTCATTTTGATGTTTTGATAAGTTTTTCTCCACAATTTGACTTGAATGTTTTTTCAAAACTCTATCCAAGATTGCTTCAATTGATTTATTATTGAAACCTCCAAATAAAGTTAAAGCAGTTAAATCATACATTGATTCTTCATAATTACCCAATTGTTCATAAGCATTTGATCTTCTTAATAAACATTTAGTATAATCAGGTTTTAATTTCAAAGCAGATGTAGTATCTTCAACAACTTTTTCATAATCTTCCAATCCAACATAACAAGCAGATCTATTTGAATAATAAACAGGATCTTGACTTAATTTCAAGGCTTCAGTGTAAAATTTGATAGCTTTTTCGAAATTTTTATTTTTGAAAAAATCATTACCATCTTCTTTCAAGGCTAAACCAATTTTATTCTTGTCATCTTCAGATAATGAATTGATCAATTCTTGAGTTAAAGAAGGATCACCATTTGAATCAATTGGGTAAGCTTTTTCAGTAGGAGCATCAGTAGCAGCAGCAGGTGATTTCTCATTAGCATCAGCACTATGCTTCTTCTTTGATTTCTTCTTTTTGGATTTTTTGGATGGAGAATCAGCACTTGGTTTAGATGTTGCTGATGATTGTTGAGCTTGGAGGTAGTAATAGGTGGAGGCAGCGGTGACGGTGACCCCCAACGTGGCCAGGATGGCGACCTTGTGCTTGGCGACGAACGAGCCCAAGTTACTTGAATCTGACATGGTCAATTGCAAATTGGGTCTTTTAATGTATTTGTGACTTGATTCTTTACGCCATTGATCAATTGTTTTTCTTTGCAAAATTGAAAGAATTTTCAGAACCGGATTTCGACTGGCCCACAAAGACCGGGTAAAGTTATATACAATTGAATTTATAAATTTACTCTTTTATTGTACAAAAGTTATAAAAAATGGATCAGTTTCTTCATTTCAAATCATCAAACCATGGATTAGTTATAGCCTTCTTGGCACTGATTCTTTTATTTGGATTGAATAATAAGAATTGTTCCAAGAAATTCAAAATTTCCACATCATTTGGATTATTTAAATTTTTGAAAATCCTTGATAATGGAATTTTTTTAATAATTGGGAATTTATGATCTGTATAGTTATTATTCATGGAGATGATATCTTCATGAGTTGGAGTACCCAAGATCTTGATGATTTCAACCAATTGATCAATACCAGATTCACCAGGGAATAAAGGTTGACCAATTAATAATTCTGCAAATACACACCCGGTTGACCAAACATCAATCTTTGTTGTATAATTAGTTGCACCAAAGATTAATTCTGGGGCTCTATAGTATCTTGAACATATATAACTAACATTTTGTTCAGTTGGAGATAAAATTTTAGCAGAACCAAAATCACAAATTTTGGCAATACCTTGTTGATGGTCAACCAAAATATTTTGAGGTTTTATATCACGATGACAAATTTTAAAATCATGTAAATAATCTAAAGCTTTTAATATTTGAAACATATAAGTTTTAACTTCTTGTAATGGCATGTTTAATTTCTTAATTGTAAAGAATTGATTTCTTTTATATAAAGTTGTTGGTAAAAATTCCATCATTAGATTCAAATATAAGTTATTATTATTTGAATTTGTTTGACTTGCAGAGTCATTTTCATAATTATAGTAGAATAATTTAGTTATATGCTCATTATTCAAAGTCTTCATTATTTGTAATTCTCTATTTTTGAATCTTTTATCTTGTAATACCTTCTTGATGGCAATTGTTTGGAACTGAGGAGATATCAATTGACATTTTGAAACGGTACCAAAAGAACCATGGCCTATATCTATTGGGTTCTCGTAAGAGATTTCGACTTCATTGTCGGCACAGTCATGGACCTTAATTGTTGTTATCTGAGCATTTGAGGAGGTTGACATTGTTGAAGATGATCCATTACCTTGTTGAGGGTGTAAGTATAAATTGGGAATGGGATCTGATTGTAGGTATCTCTTTGGTTCCAGCCAGTCTTTTCTATGAGTCTGGTGTTGGTTGACTGATGGCGAATGAGATGAATGGATTGTGATGTTAATGATGATGTTGTTGTTGTTGTTGTTGGTTTGTTTTCGTTGTTCACTTTTTCTCAGCTTCGCGGGCTAGACCCGGGGCAGAAAGGGTCAGCGGGGGGTTCACACGGCCTAGGCCGTATCACCCTACCATAAATAACACCCTAGACCACTAAACCACAGAGACTAGCCCCATTTTAACTTGGTCATCACCGAATGACATTTGCTAAAATTTCATCCAAATACAAATTTTTTATTTCGAATTAACTTCAATTTTAGTACATTTTAAAGATTAAAATACGATATGGATTCTAAATCAAAATAGCCTATTTATTCCTTAATGAAAACACCTTTTCCTCGCTTTTTTCAGCCCTTCCAATGGCATTTTTGTGGAGTGCATTCCCTCATCATCGCTTACATAAGAATTATAATAATACCCAATTTATTCAAATTTATTCAATAATCACAACTTACTCTTTAATTTATTAGCAAATAACACACCTTTTTTGATATTCTGTTCCAAAGTATTAACTGCAATTTTAAACAATTCAACTTCTGTAGAGTCCAATTTATCCAAAATTCCACTCTCGACAGTGTCAACACCTTCAGGACCTAATCTAATTGGTAATGACAAGTATTCAACATTAGTACGTTGTTTAACTTTTGAAACACCTGGTAATGAAGAATCTAAATAGATAAAACTATCTTCAACAACACCACGTTCACCTTTCAAAGCACGAATCAAAGCTTCTGCAAATTTATAACCGGAATAAGCCATAGACAAAGTAGCCGAACCTGCACCATTCTTTGCCTTGACAACTTCATCACCACCAAATTGAACTCTTTTAATTAAAGCTTTCTTTTGGTCTTTTGATAATTTTTGGAAGATTTTGGAACCTTTTTCTGAAGTTGAATAAATTGGAACAATGGTTTCACCAGAATGACCACCAATAACGTCAACTTTAACATCTTCCACACCATTTAATGAAGAATCATATTCTTTGATAAAAGTATTTGCACGAACAATATCTAAAGTGGTGACACCAAAGATTCTCTTTGGATTGAAAACACCATGTTGTTTAAAAGTTTCAGCAACAATTGGGACAGTGGAATTAACTGGATTTGAAATAACCAACACAAAGGCATTTGGAGCAGTTGTGGCAATTGCAGTAGCTAAACTTTGAATAATACTAGCATTAATATTGAATAAATCATCCCTAGTCATCCCAGGTTTTCTTGGAACACCAGCTGGGATAATAACAACATCTGTACCTTGCAAAGCTTGTTTGATAGCAGATTGATCTTCTTTAGAAGAAGGTTCAAAACCTGTGACTTTGACTTTTGTGTTTATATGGGATAAATCAGTAGCAACACCTTTTGACAATCTGATATCGTAAAGAGATAGCTCATCGACATAAGAAGAGAGTTTCAATAAAAGAGACAATGGCTGACCGATACCACCGGCAGCACCTAGAACAGTGACTTTGACCATGATTTAATTGAGTATTAGTTGATACAAGTGCAAATTAGTTCAAATTCTGGGGTTGCGATAATTCGTGTTTTTAAATACTTTTTCGAAATCAAATTTTTTCATCCTGGACGCTCCGGTTCTCGGATTTCAGATTGAGTCAGATGAAGGCTGAATGGTGAAGAGACGAGATTGGCTTGAAAACACAGGGAAAGAGTGGGTTTATGATGGATTGGATAGCACCAATGTATTCTAGAGGTGTTTTATGCCCATTATCCAGTTTAAACCACCACTTTAGCACCAAAATCGACTGTTTCCATTGAAAAACCACAACCAGTTCTCCGGGGTAATATCTTTAACCAAGTACAATCCATTCCAAACCTTTGGCAACACTATCAACGTCATGGGCACTGCTTTCAAAGATCCTCCATTTATCACTCTCAATCTGATCCAACTCCAACACTCTTGTCACTTGTTCTTTAACTTTGGGGATCTCTTCTTTTGCAACTAAATCCATCTTGTTTAAATAAATCAAGATCTTTAACCCAATCAATTTCTCATTATTCAACACTTTCCTCATCTCTTTGAAATTCTCATTCAATCTTTGTAAATTACTTAAATCAATAACCCAAATCAATGCATCTAATCTATCAAAATAATTGAACCAAAATGATCGCAAAGTTTGTTGACCCCCAATGTCCCAGATATTCAACTGGAACCCTTCAAACGCCACAGTATTGATCTCGAACCCCATCGTAGGAATCACTTTGTTTATATCTTGATGAAGAATCGTCTTGATGATTGTGGATTTCCCAGCATTATCAAGTCCTCTGTTCAACAGAAATTAGTCAAAACATGTCCAAAATTCACCAAAAAAAAAGCCCAACTTACAACATAAGGATCCGTAATTCTTTATCCTTCAACTTCTGCTTCCTTATAATACTCAATAGACCCATTATTCACGCTTTATTCTTTTTCCCATCAAGTTCTTTTTTTTGACACTTTTCTTTTCAATTTTTTTTTTCGTGATGTTTTCATGTAAACAAAAAAGCAAAAAGTAAACATTTGAACCCAAAAATTTCCACCAACAACCACAAAATGGCTTTATAAATGGGTCAAAGTAATCTATTGGACTTGCTGCTATTGTCCAAGAGGAATCAGAGATCGAACAAGAGAAATTATGACGGTGAGATGATAGATTTGACCAGTGATGGTGAGGATGAATGCTCGATGGCAAATGGTGATGAAGAAGTGATTCAAGATGAAGAGACAGAGAAAGGCGAAAAGTTATTTGTTAAAGAGGAAGAAGATGGTACCAAGGAGAATAGTGTTGGTTTGGATCAAGTTACACCAGAAGTTCAAGAGTCAGATCCAACACCAGATCTTAATGAAACTATTCCATGCCCAGTTTGTCAACTAAACATCTCAAAACTTACTTTATCTGATCGTGAATCACATGTTGAGCTTTGTCTATTGCAACCAACAACTCATAAATCAATAGTGGCACCATCTCCAAAGAAATCAAAACCAAAACAAGAATCATCAAAGAAACCTAGACAACCAAAACCTAGAACAAAACCAATACCTGATTTTAAAATTTTAACTTTTAAAAACAATCACAAGATTAACGTTGATGGATTCCAATTTATGGATCATCCCGAAGTGGATCAATATTTCTTATCTCATTATCATTCAGATCATTATATTGGATTAGGTAAAAATTGGAATCAAGGTAAAATTTACACTTCGAAAACTACTTCAAACCTATTACAAACAGTAATGAAAATTCCACAAGACAAGATAGTTGCATTACCATTTAATGAACCTTTTAAAATTCATGAAAATATAGAAGTGATACTATATGATGCAAACCATTGTCCTGGTGGTGCTATTTTCCTTTTCCAAGAATTTGATCCTGAAAAGAAAATCATCAAAAGAATTTTACATACTGGAGATTTTAGAGTTTCATTAAACCACATCAATTTATTCAAATCCATCTTTATTGATGAAATCTATCTTGATACAACTTATTTAAATCCTGTTTATACATTCATGCCACAAAGAAAAGTTGTTTCAAGATCATCAAATTTCATTGCAAATATAATCAATCAAACTATAAAGAAGAATTCAATCTTAAATTATTTTAAAGAATCAAATGATTATTTAATTATAATCGGTGCTTATTCTATTGGTAAAGAAAAATTATACATAAATTTAGCTAAAACTATTAAATCCAAAATATTGATTACAAAAGATCGATATAAAATGTTGAGTTGTATTGATGGATTTACAGATCTAGATATTTTCCAATTTGAAGAATCAAAAGATTGTAAAATTCAAATTGTTTCCATTAATAAATTAACAGATTTGAAATTTTTATCAAAGTTTCAAAATAAAAAAATTATCAAGATAAAACCAACAGGTTGGTCATTCAATACTTTTAAAAAAGATACAAATATTAAAGATCTTTCATTTGATGAAATTTTACAGAAAACATTCATAAATAATGAATTTAAAGATTTTGAAAATCAATTATCAAATCAATTTCAAAAATCTTCATCTTTAAGTATTCCATATTCTGAACATTCAAGTTTTAAAGAATTATCAATATTTGCAAGTTTTTTAAAATGGGGTGAAATAATACCAACTGTTAATATAGGTAATGAATATTTCCCTAAATGGTTTGAGATATGGAAGAATTATGAATTGGATGAATCTGTTGTTAATGAATACTTTAAAGAATAAATGATCCTATTCATTCAAGCTGTCACAAGGATTGAAAATGTTCCAGAACCATAAAAATCAAAATCATAAAGTCCGTCATACATAGACCCACATATTCAAGTACCCTCAAAACTCCCGTCTATCCTTTGCACTTTAGATAATAAAGTTTCTAGAATTTCATACCAGATTGTAGTAAGGATAGTATTAATGTCCCATGATCAAAATAGGTCTAGTCGCTAATCATGGATATTGTAATTTGAACCTCCTTAATCCCTAATCCTGATCCTTTTTTTCGTATAATTTCCTACATGAGAATATTAAGCGAAAAATGTACAATTTCAACTCAAATTTTAAGGTTTCATCTAACATGAAAATTCATCGATGCCATCACCCACATTTTCACAGATCCTTACATTCGCTTAAATAAAGCATTAAAATCCAGTTTGATAAGTCATTTCGATAGAAATGAATAAAGCTAATTATTAAAACAGTATAAAAAAGATAAATACAAAAGAATTGAAAGTAAAAAAGTATAAAAGTTTTCTTGCAACACAAATAAACGAATTGAAATAAATAGGGAAGAGTGTGTTTGGGTATCAATCAGTAGGAATTCTTCTATCATCACCATGACCTTGATTTTTACGTCTCATCATAATTTTAGCAGCTTCTTCATAATCATATCTTTTAATCAATTTACCGAAAAATAAACCACAAGCATTACATAAAGATCTTGAGCCATATGGACCTCTTCTCCATTCAGGTGTATCATCAGATCCACATTGTTGACATTTATGTTCAGATTTCATTGATAATTCTTCATTGAAAACTCCCTTTATTGGTGGGGGTTGAGTTATTGATGAATCTGTAACAGGTTTTGGAGGTTTAACAATTAATGAAATATTGTCATTCTTATTATTGGTGTTATTGGCATTATTTGAAGATCCTGAAGAATTTGATGATGAAATTGATGAAAATTTAGTTGTTGTTGAAGTACTTGATTTTCTTTTCTTATTAAAAGGTTCTAAAGGTTCACGATCTTTTTTATTAATATTTGTAAATTGTGATGGAGTTGGTCCTGAAATAGATTGATGTCTATTATGATGATGTTGACGAATAGTTCTATTTCTTGAATTTTGACGACTATGTCCTTTAACAAATGATGGTGTATTTGAAACAATTGGTGTTGAAATTTGAGATGAAGTTCTTGATCTTTCTTGCTTTTTAATAGTACTTGAAGAACTTGAATTCATTGATTTCAAAACTTCACGTTCTCTATAAAGTAACCAAGAATCTAAAATCATTTTAATTTCATTAGTCATTTGAATTGAAGCTTTCAAAGCAGGTATAGGAATATTTGAAATAAATTTTTTCAGAAAAATTACTGAAATACTCTTCATAGCTTCATTATTTGAACTTGTATAATCAAATAATAATTTAACGTGTTCTTTATATTCTGGATCATTAGATTGAATATTTTCATCTAATGAATGTTCCACTTGAGTTAAAAAATCATAATTAATATCATTGAAAATGTGACTTAATGATCTAAATTTTTCAAGTGCTTTTTCAATAGAATGTATGACATTGATTAATTCATCTTCATTTTCACCTGAACCTCCTCCAGAGCTTGCGATATCCGCTAATGTACTTAATGAAGTTTGAGAATCATAAGAATCCTTCTTGGAATGATGTGAAGGATATGGAGGAAATTGCATAGATAATCTTCGTTCATGTTCAAAATCAACTGGTTGTCTTGGAGTTGTGATTGGGGTTGGTGAAATCACATAATTTGGATCTGATGGTGGGAATTGAAATCTATTCAGTTCAGGTATTCTCTGTTGAAAAGAATGACTATGTTGATGGTGATGATGATGATGGTGTTGTTGCTGTTGTGGATGGAATTGATGATGTTGAGGAGGAGGAGGACCATGTTGTGAAGCCTGCACAAACTGTGGAGCATATTGTTGTTGAGGTGTATGACCAGGTACTGGAGGCAAGGGTATTGGAGGCCCCAGTTGAGGAGGAATAGTTGTAGATTGTTGATGTTGCTGGGATTGTTGATGTTGTTGTTGAGAAGAAACACCTGAGCTTGGTTGAGGCGTTGCGTTTGACGAATTTGCCAGACTTTGTTGGTGGCTTGAACTATCAATCTGTAAAGAATTTGAAAATGTTGATGTTAGCTCATTAAAGGAAGGCAGCCTTTTTGAAGACATGGTTAGTTATGTGAATTCTCAGGCACTTCAATATATCTTCTGAACATTAAAATTTCTAGTCTCTATGGAAACCATTATAATCTCCAATCTAAGCAAAAAAAAAAGACACGAGAGAGATGGAAATGCACAAGGTAGAAAAACCAAAAAAAAAGAGGAACCCAGGAAAATATAAAATGAGGCTCATATTTTAATGTAGATGCACTGGAATAGATGACTTACCTCACATGGTTGGGTCTATTGCTTTGATATCCCATCATAATGGTTGTATCCATGAGTGAGTGTATGTTGTTGTAGTTTGAAAAGATTTGAAAACTGATTTATGATAATTTTTGGAAATTTTGATTGATTGAGATTGAGTTGTGAAGTTATATGAGAAAAATTGAATTTGTGGGATCAACCATAATGATTTGTACGTTCCAGATTCAAATTAAGGAATTTCATTTTCTCAACCTGGGAATTTTAATTAATGCCATTCTCGCTTCTTTGTTCCCACAATCTGCAACCTTCAGTTAAATTCCAAAGCAATCAGAAGTGAGTCCAACAAACTCTTTTTTTTTAACACAGACACACCAAGTAGACAATAAAAAGGACAACCTCCTATAGTGTATGATATAGAGATAAAGAACCGACAAGCAGAGAAATCACCATCAGATTAGGATCAGATATAAAAACTCTCATGATTGATCCGTATAATCATCTAGATTTGCGGGAAACCCCAGTTTGTTACCATTTGGAGCCATGTTGTTGAGAATATATTGCCTTATTAAAAGGCCCTTTAAGACCGTACCCGCCCAAAAAAATTCTAAAAACCATATAGAGCATCACCAATCACCAGTATATCAATATCAGCAACCCTTTGAATGGGTTTGAAATCTTTCTTATATAAAAATTTCTCAATTTCCCAGTATCCCACTCTTCACCATCCTTCAACCGCATTGATACTTAGCTGTAGCCCGCCTTTCTGCACCCAGTCTCTTGTCCAGACCCTATTAAACCATCTACACCCAATCAATCCACATACTTTTCACACCAATTTGGTGGTGTAGCTGAGGCATGAGAAGGAGAAGCAACTCTGGAGCCATACTTAAGGAAAGATGAAGTATTTGAACAATTCAGTTTTTTTGGTTTTTTTCGTCTTCAGCTTTTTTTGCCTGAAACCGCATTGAGATCTGCCCAATTGGGAAGCGCGCGACATGGCTTGCGAGATCTCAGATCTGGGGGCTGGAAAGGGTGATTTTTGTATGACAAGGGTGGTTTTAATTGGAAAAATGTGCTTTAGAGTGTTTGGTTTAGTAGGGAATCTCTTTTTCACTCTGATTTTAGCCCATTTACAAGGTGTAAGTCGGTTGTTTCCATCTTTGGCTGAGATCTGAGAACCAGCCAGCCAAAATCAATCTCAAAGTGAAATAAGAGAGAACAAATAGAAGTATTGATAGTTGAGCTGATAGATTGTTAATGAGGAGAGGATTCAAGCGTGTTTTGATGTCGTCGTTGTAAATTACTAATCCAAATATGGTCAATGGCCTTTAAGATTGGCTACTCAATATACGATCATATACCATGGTTTCCATATACTTTCTGTTATATTAAGAAGTAACTACAATGACAGGGTGCAATATAAATCAAAACGATCAACATTTCTAGTAGCCCAGATCGATTTGTCCTCTACGTTGTAATCATATCAATGCAAAATCATTTATTTGAGTTGAAGTAAAAATGTGCCAAACTTGATCATAAAAATTCCAGTGGTAAAAAGACTGAACTTTGTTTCAAACCCATAGCGCAAAAATCCTACTAATTGCTGTAAGTTAAAACAAATGACAAGTAATGGCAAATTTCTTTAGGCCTCGCTTTGAATCATTATACCACGGAGGAAAAGGTATAAGGATCTTCGAAGAGGCCAGGTGAAATCAACCGTGGAGAGATTGAAGCACGTAGATGTTTAAGTATCCCAGAGCAAAGAGTAAAACAATGACCATTAGAATAGCCTTATCACTCAAAAATCATTGCAAATATACTCTTTAACAACCCAAAATTTCATTTCTCAAAAAAATCCAGAATTTAACTCAATTTCAAGCAGAAACTGATCTCATTTCTTAGCTCTCATCACTCTCATCACCAAACAGCACCCATCCAAACAACTACCATTCTCATTCTCTTCACGGTTCGACGATTTGACCTTTGGAAAGTTGAGAAGTTGAAAACTAAAAACTTTTCTGAAAAAAAATTTAGTGTGTGGATTTGCGGGTAAACAGCCCAGAATTCGCGAACAATTGTTGATATGATTTTGTTAGGGCAAAATCAAGTTGAAACCGAATCAACAAACTTCAACTTCAACTTCAACAACGTCAATTGGGCAGTTGTTTACTGAGAATCCAATTATCAATTAATCCATAGAACAGAATGCCACCAGCTCCTCCTCCTCCACCACCCCCAATGGGTGGGCCTCCAGCTCTAGGAAACAGTTCAAAGCCTCCAGCCCCAGCAATGGCCGGTAGAGATGCTCTTCTGGGTGATATAAGAAAAGGTGCTAGGCTCAAGAAGGCAGAAACTAATGATAGAAGTGCTCCAGTGATAGGTGGTTCCGGTAACGCGTCTTCGGGTGGTGCTGCTAGTCCAATGGGGTTACCTCCTTCTATTCCAACTTCAAGACCTCAAACTACAACAGGTGCACCTTCTCAAGAAGCTAACGCTGCTCCTCAAATAGGTGGGCTATTTGCTAATGGTATTCCCAAGCTGAAGAGACATGTTGAAACAAACAAACCATCTTTGGCAAGTGTTCCAAGTGCCCCAAGTGTTCCAAATTTACCCACATCAAAACCTTCAGTTCCTTCTACAAGACCTCCAAGAAGAACACCATCTAATACAGCACCATCAATTCCAAGTATAAATGCACCTCCAATTCCATCAGGTGCACCTCCAATTCCTGGCATGGCTCCACCTTTACCAAGTTCCAACAATAGTTTGAAAGTACCACCAAGAATTCCAAAAAAGAGCGAACATGTTCGTAACAAATCTACAAGTTCAATAAATTCAGTGTCAAGTCAAGGATCTGCTCCAAGTATACCAGTATCAGGCCCACCACCATTACCAACAGGTTCAGCTCCTTCTATGCCATCATCTAGACCACAAAGAAAAGCTCCAACGATACCAACAGCTCCACCTACACCACCAGGTCCACCTCCATTACCAGGATCATCTGCCCCAAGTATACCTTCATCTAGACCAACAGCACCATCAGCACCACCTCCTCCACCATTACCTAGTTCAAATGCACCTCCACCACCTCCTCCAATGCCATCATCAAGTGCACCAAAATCAGCACCAGCTCCACCTCCATTACCATCTGGAGGCGCTCCTTCAGCTCCAAACCCATCTAAATCGTCATCAGCACCAGCTCCACCAAATTTGGCAGGTGGCTTGCCATTTTTGGCTGAGATTCAAAGGAAGAGAGACGATTCATATGTTGTTGATTCGGTTCCTTCTAATTTTTCAGCTTCAGAACAGGTTTCAGAAGATGTTACACCAGCTGCCTCAACACCAAATAAACCACCACCATCAGCGCCTAGTCCAGGAGGTGGAAGTCTTGCAGATATCATTGCTGCTAAAGTTGGTAGTCGAAATCAATCCAAGGCACCTACACCAATTGCACCACCAATTCCATCAATATCAAAACCATCTACACCTACTGCTCCACCTCCACCACCATTACCTACTGGATCAGCACCATCTATTCCATCTGCTCCACCACCTCCACCGTCATTACCAACATCAAGTGCACCACCTCCACCATCAATTCCATCACAGGCACCTCCACCACCAACAGCAGCAGGTGGTTTACCATTCCTATCACAGATTCAACAGAAAAGAGATGATAGATTTGTTGTTGATGAAAGTTCTCAAGGCTCTTCACCTGTTCCAAAATCCCCGGCTCCAGCACCCCCATCAATTCCAAGTTCTAGTGCACCTTCATTACCAAAAGCACCTGTTCCACCTCCAGCACCACCTTCATTACCAAGATCAGAAGCACCATCAGCTCCTTCATTACCTCCAGCTCCAGCTCTACCAGCTCCTTCATTACCAAAAAGTTCAGCACCCCCTCCTCCAATGGCACCACCATCTCCATCACCTTCATCTCATTCATCTAAGGCAGCTCCACCTCCTCCTCCTTCATCATATGGAGCACCATCATCACCTCAACCTTCTGAATCAAGTCATAATGATAATAACCACCATCACCATCATTTGATGGGGGGTTCATTCAAACAAAGATTATTTGGTAAATCATCAACACCAACACCTGAAGCACCTGCAGTTACTACATCTTCCAATTCCAAGATTGATAGTTCTTCATACACTATAAATGGTGGTAATTCACATAGTAAGATTACGATAGATGATTCAAGATTTAGATTTGTTAATCAGAATGATTTACCAAAACCTAGAGTATTCGAAGGGAAGCAAAAATTATATCCATCTGGTCGTGGAAGTTCTGTTCCTTTGGATTTATCTTTATTTAACTGATGTTTTTTATTTTATATATACATGAATGATTTTCTTATTTCTCTATGTACTTATTCGTTCTCTATGTGTTTTTTAATCACAACTTCCATCATCCCAACCATCTCTCCATCTTTGTTTCCAGAGATTACAATCGAATTTTGGTTTCCCTAATTTAACATTAACTTCATTATGAGCATCACATAACCATTTACCAAACTCTTCTTGATTTGTAACTTTTGGTTTTGTTTCAGGTTTTGATATATAATTTTCAAAATCTTTTGCACAGAACCAACATGGGTAAATTTTAGCAAATATGTTCAAGAACTGAACCATATTTGTTTGTTGAGATTCAGTTGGTTTTTCAGGGTATGAAGCAGCTACTGAATGTAAGAAAGTCCAAGTTGAACGACCAAGTTGTGTCACATCTGGAGGACAATCTTTTGGGTATACTGATGACTCCGTTTTGGAAGATGAAGTAGCAGCAGCAGCACCGGCACCTATGGCAGCAGAGCCAACAGCAGCAGCACCGGCCGTTTTGGCCTTTGTTCCAAAGTTTGCCATTTTGAAATCTAGTAAAGTGTTACAAGAACGACATCTTGATGCTATTAGTAATTCTGGATCCCATCACCATTTGAAGACTCAAACACTCACGGTTTCCCGTCCTTGTCATAAATTATCTTTCTGCCCGAGGCACCGAACTCTGGCTTCTTCTCAGACTCGTTGGACATGTTTTCTCTATGGATTTCAGAGCCAAAACTCGTTGAATTTGGATTTTGTTGAAGTTGTTTGCAAAGGCGAATGCAGATTTATCTTTTTTTCTCGATCTGCCAAATTTTTGAAATCCAAACAGATAAGATTTGGACTAAAAAATTTGATATTGAACAGGAAAAAAAGTTCATTATTTATCATCAATTGCTTATGTTCCTAAAAATATGGGTCTAATAACTACGTTCTTTTGGTATATGGTATCCTTTGTTTATTTATAACAAAGGTAAATATGTACTGATCTTTTGTTGTTTCAAATAAAACTCATCACCAACACTAATAAAATATCCAGAATCATGATGAATTGCATAATCACCCAAAAAGATACCATTCTTATCGCCAGGATCAATTCTTCTATAGGATCTTAGAGTTCTTGTAACTGAATTTGATTTATCAAAATCACCTTTATCCATGCGAACATTACCAATTGAACATCTTGGAGTTTTCTGTACAACAGACCATAAATGACCATTAATCAACACTTTATACCAAGAATCCAATTCAATTTTGTCATTCCCACCAATGACAACATTTGGTCTAAATTGCAAAGCTTCAACGTATCTATCCTTAGTGCCTGAATCTTTTATACGTTGATTTAATTCATCAACATTACGTTGAGAGATTAAATGGATCGGATAATAATCATGGAATAACACTTTACGCATTTGTTCTAAATCTTTTGGATGTGCAGTCTTGACGAATTTCCCCTTTGATGAATATAATAAAGTTGTACCTTCTCTGTTTAACCCCATTGAATCATAAAAATCTTGTGGGATTAAATCTGAACCAAGGTTTATAGAATCAAATTTTATCCCCCATAAATCTGTAATTTTTTCTTTATCTTCACCAATTGCATGAGTCTCTAAAAATGTCTTTGAAACATTACATGGTAATTTGAAAAAAGATGTTGAGCCATCTAATTTTGGATAAGTAAATTTGAACCAGTTTTCCTCTAAATTATAATCAATTGAGACTAATGCCAATCTTGGTGCATTTCTCAAAGTATAACCTTGATAACAATTCCCTTTTGAATCCCAAAATCCAATCATATATTGTCTATCATGTTTTAAACCGTGTTCATCAATTTCCCATTTTGTTGGTTGGATATATGCAACTGATTTCAATGGGTATACAAATATTTTATCAATCTTACCAACTTTTGCAGGGTATTTGAAGAATAATAACTTGGAAATTAAATAGTATCTGAAGTTTAATAACCATCTAAGGATATTCGAAAGTTCATTATCTGGGGTGGTTGTTGATAAGTTCAAAGATTTGATCAATTGTGGGAGGAAGATGAATGAGACCAGCGAGGAGAGGAATAGTAAGGAGACAAGAATCATGATTGAAATCGTTTGACTGATATGTTTATGTCTAAATTGGCTGTTTTATGGGTTCATTTGATTAAATTTTCAAAATTGTTTCTGGAGATAAGAATCAAGGGGACTTTTTTTTTTCAAGGTACAAAACTTTTTTTTATCGATAATTACACCAAAAACTAAATTTATACAACATAACAGCATTTAAAAAAATAGATTAATGCTCAATCATAACGATAAAATACATAACAATGTAATTAAAAAACGGGGAAACGCCCGAAGCAAAAAAAGAAGTTTGCGATTTCTGTGGATTGAACACAGGACCTTTAGATCTTCAGTCTAACGCTCTCCCGACTGAGCTAAAACCGCTTTCCGATGTTCTGGTTTGGCCTCTGAAAACCCGGACTGTGCACAAAACGTGGCCCTACCAGTAAATTTTATATGGCATATAAACTTATTGTTATCATGATGTGATATTTAATTGTTTATTATTTCTATTGACTAAGCTTATATTGATGTTGATATTTCCAGATTTAGTATTTACAGCCGTTGATTCCATCAATCATGGCCGATGTACAACATTTTACTTTACATGCAGAATTAATGGTTTCTAGAAGTTCCTATGGACCCAAATCATAAATATTGGCAATTAGCTGTCTACTTTTCTATATAATATATTGAATTAATTTTATAATATTAATGTTAATCATATGAAGCCTTTATAAGAAATTAACGGTACTCTTTATAAGAAATTAACGGTACTACATAATAATATAATTTTTAATAATAATTCATAAATATTGTGATGTGAAATTTGAGCTGTTAATTTTATACGTTATAAACTCCAGACGTTGACTGAAAGACAATTTATAACGTCGATCACCAGCTATATAATTAATCATGTAGGATCAGAAGTTCCAGTCTGGCCAGATATCTGCAATATTATCGAGCAGCTGATCAATCACAAGTACAAACATTAATACTGTGTGCAGAAAATATATCAATTGCAGGATTATTAATTTAGGGGATTAATTAATTAGGTGACGTACTAGTTTTATGAAGTCATCATTAAGGTGGAGACCAAATTGACTATATTAAAAAACGATATAAGGAGCTGTTAATCCGGTTATGATGCTCTATACATTGTTCACCAGCGAAGTAAATGATTCGCTTAGTCCATATCGTATAGTAATTGGTTATTACTAGAAGTTCGATTCATTATTCTTACACTCTCCTCCCATTAAATTCTCGATCAGGTTGGGTTCCCGGTTGGTGGACGAAAAAAACTTGATCAAATTTTATGAACTGTTGATTTCATTTATTTGATACAAACGAATGTCTTTTCTTAGTTGAAGTACGATGGTATCGCTCAGCTACACCGTTTTGAAAGTAAAATGTGGGACAGTGAGCTGATGGTGATTCCCTTTAATTAATTCATAGTGAAACAGTTGATCAATTTTATGAGTTCCAATCAGAGTTTTTGAAGGTTTCTCTAATAGATCATGTTTAACATAATTGAATATTGATATTTCACATTTCTGCTCTCAGGTTGATTAATTGATCATATGGTTTTGTTGAAAGACTTTTGACAATTGTTTCAGCTTGAATGATTTGTTTGATAATAATGGAATAAACAGTGTAGCTGGTATAGAAATATCCAGAAACTATCTACGAGTCTTTATTTAGCTAATGTCTAGTTATTGAATATGTAGCTATTTCCACATAGAAGTAGATTAACACAGTGATTATGAGATATCAAACTGGGTATTATATGGGGATGTAATCAAAGTAATCGACACTAAAATGATGATTATGCAGAGAACGGGACCCTTAACAATGTAGATCTTTGGATCATAGACAGAATAAAGAGACAATACACACTATACATTATACACTACCAATACTTCAATACATTAAAACTCTACAAACCACACCAAACCAACCTCAATCTCACCATCAACACCAGATTCTTCTCTGTTGAGGATATGACGTCATACACTATCTATTCCACCAAAACACGCTATAAACACCTCCAAAATTCAAACCTATTAAATCCACAACAACCTACACTCTCCAAACCCGTTGAATCCGTCACTCCAACAGCCACTGATCATTTAAATTCCCAATTCCAATCCAAAAATCATTCACAGCTTCGCCCAAAACCTGAAAAATTGGCATTCGCGAAACACCAAATTGTGAAAAGTTACGCCTCGAAATTATTCTCTTGGAACTGAATGAGCCCTCGAGCAACAAGAACCACATTCTCTGACTAATTCACACTCATCACACTCTACTACAACTCTGCACAGCTCCAATTTGATCAGGTTCCATAATTATCCAACGGTAAAATAAAACTCTTACAACCCGGGTATTATTCAATCCAAGTGCATCATTATAATTATAGCCACGAGGAGCAAAATAAAAAAAAACTTTACTTGTCAAGTTACACTATATATATATTGTGATCAGATTCATCCCTTTGTTCAAGATAGATTACTTGCATTCGACTCACATACACAATGAAGCTAAGTTTACTGGTTGGTATAGCCTCTGTTTCAACGTCGGTCATTGCAAAGAACATTGCACCAGGGGTACATGGTTTCAACTTTGATGTTACACGAGGTGATACATATGAAGATTCTCACAAGGATAAACGAACAAGATTAGTGAAAAGAGCTTCCCCAGATGGTACTGTTGAGACTACGTTAGAAAATCAAAGAAGTTTTTACTCGGTGGAGATTGGTATTGGTGATCATGATGAAAACGTTACGGTATTGATGGATACAGGTTCCTCTGATCTTTGGGTTACCGGATCAAATAATCCATTTTGTTCATCAGGCTCATCTTCATCTTCGGGTTCTTCATCCTCAGGGAGTAGTAATGGAGGAGGAGGAGGTGGTTTTGGCTGGAAGGCTTGGAGAAGGATTGAAGATTTCAATACTTCAAACATTCCAACGTTAGGTCATCGTCGTCCTGTTATAAATAATGCTGAGCAAGATGATACAAATAAAGATTCAGATTTCGGATCAACTCAACCTTTTGGAACTGCATCTCAAACTGGTCGAGAAACTCAAACTCAAGTTTCTTCATCTCAAGCCACTATAGATTGTTCAGAGTATGGTACTTTTGATGTTGACTCTTCTTCAACTTTCCATTCAAATGATACTGAATTCTATATCGTTTATGGTGATAGTTCTTATGCTTATGGTACTTGGGGTTATGATGATGTTACCGTTGGTGGTACAAAAGTTGGAAATTTATCATTTGCAGTGGCTAATCAAACAAACTCCACTGTTGGTGTTTTGGGTATTGGTCTTGAAGGTTTAGAAACAACTTATTCAGGTTCCACTGCAGCTAATGGTGGTGGATACACGTATTCTAATTTCCCTGCTAAATTGGTTGATGATGGTTTGATTCATAAACGTGTTTATTCATTGTTTTTAGATTCAAGTAATGCTAGAAGTGGTACTATTTTATTTGGTGGTGTGGATCATGCTAAATATAATGGAAGTTTATTAACTGTTCCATTAGTTAACACATTAGCCTCTCGTGGTTATGACCAAATTATTAAATTGGAGATTACATTATCAGGTGTTGGTTTACAAGATGTTTCATCTGCAAATATTGATGAAAGAACTATAACAACAACTAAATACCCAGCTTTATTAGATTCAGGTACCACATTAACTTATTTACCAAGTGATTTGATTAGAAGTATTGCCAATGCATTGGGTGCTGAATATTCAAGATCAACTGGTTATTACATTACAAGTTGTTTTAGTGGATCTAATTCAGGTTATCTTGTTTATGATTTCCAAGGTAAATTGATTCGTGTTCCATTATCAGATATAGTTTTACAAACAACTTCAAGTTCATCTTGTGTTTTGGGATTATTCTCATCTGGTGATAATTCAATCATTTTAGGTGATTCATTTTTACGTTCAGCTTATGTTGTTTATGATTTAGATGATTTAGAAATTTCATTAGCACAGGCCCAATATTCTGATGAAGAAGATATTGAAGTTGTTACAAGTACAATTCCATCAGCTTCACGTATTGCAGATTATAGCAACACTTGGTCACAATACCAAAGTGCAACTAATTCAGGAAACATTTTCACAAATACTGATGATTCAGAAGCTGCAGCCACTTCGAATGGTGGTGACACACCAAGATCTAGTCAAAATGCCAGTGGTGGTAGTTCAAGAAGCTCATCATCTTCAAGAGCAAGTTCTAGTTCTTCAGGGTCAAACCAAAGATCAAGCAGTGCTTCAACTTTGAATATTTCGATTGTCAGTGTTTTCTTGATGTCGTTCTTTGTTGGTACAGGATTGGCTTGTTTGTGATGCTATCCTTATTAATTCTTATGCTTCATGATTTTACACAGACAGCTAGATGTTCTTTAATAAAACCGTTAACTATATGCTTAGTAATCACACACTGTAACGCTGACTAATCACACCATCCGAATTCAAGCGAATGCCCCTTCAAAAACAAAACAAAACAACTTCAACGACAACTTCATCATCAATAGTATCATCAATCCCAACTTCACCAGATCATGACGTTGGTGTTTGCCACAAAGTCCAGCACTGCAGTGAGGCTCTCAAAGAAACTCCTTTCAAGCCAATCTCTCATCCAATCTCTGAAGAAGAGCTCTAGTCGCAACTTGTCCACAACTTCAGCATTATTGAAGGCAATCAACAACTCCAAAAAAATATACAAAAACAAAAAATCAATGAAAGATCTAAACATAGCATTGGCATCCGGTATATTATTTGTTGCATCATACATCTCATTATCTTCTCATTACCTAAGTGATTCAGGTGATCCTTTTAGAAATTTCTCAACAACTCAATCAAATTCAACGTCTAAGAATTCAAATAAACAAAACATTTTCCTGTTAAGTGAAGATGAAATAACAAGGCGTTTAAGAAACCTGGAGGAAAGCTATTATGTCAATAGAGGAAAAGGTGTTGTACGTTATGATATTTCTCAATTACCAAGTAATAATCCAATAGAGGATGATCGTTCAGAAAGTGTCATAACTGTTCCAACAAGTGAATCTGAAAATGCAGATTTCTATTTTTGGGGGATTTATGATGGTCATTCAGGTTATCATACAAGTTTGAAATTGAGAGATGAATTGATAAACCATGTTGTTAATGAATTGGGTGCTATTTATAAATCAGATCCAACAAATGAATCAATTAGATTAATTCCATCTCAAGATGCAATTGATACGGCTATTAAGAATGGGTTCCTAGGTTTAGATTATGAAATTGTACAAAAATCTTTACAAAATTTATTAGAAGATCCAAATAATAAAGAAAAGGCTATAAATGCATTACCTGCTGCTTCAGGTGCTTGTGGGTTATTAACTTTTTATGATTCAAGTTCACATTTGTTAAAAGTTGCAGTCACTGGTGATTCTCGTGCCTTACTAGGTTCACTAAATGATGAAAATGAATGGACTGTTAAAAGTTTAACTGTTGATCAAACCGGTGATAATCCAGAAGAAGTTGAAAGAATCCGTGGTGAACATCCTGATGAACAAGGTGTTATTAGAAATGGTAGAGTTTTAGGTTCATTACAACCAACTAGAGCATTTGGAGATTTTAGATATAAATTGAAAGAAATTGCAGGGAAATCAATTGAATCATTACCTGAACATTTAAAAATTTATTTTAGAGCTCCACCTAAGAATTTCCTTACACCTCCTTATGTCACTGCAGAACCAGTTATAACTACTACAAAGATTAATCCATCCAAGAATGATTTCCTAGTTATTGGATCTGATGGATTATATGAATTATTATCAAATGAAGAAATTGTTGGATTAGTGGTTAAATGGTTAGAAAATCACAAGATTAATGATAATTCACCAGCATTAAATTCTAAATCATGGAAATTATTTGGTTCAAATTCAGATTCAGAGAAAAAATTACCAAAAGTTTTAGATATTTCTGATGAAAAATATAAAGATTTCCAAAGACCAGCATTTAGAAACAAGAATAATAATCAACAACATGAATATTTATTAGAAGATGATAACGTTGCTACACATTTGGTGCGTAATGCACTAAGTCTTGGTGGAAGTAAAGAATATGTCTCCACATTAGTTTCAATCCCTTCACCAACTTCAAGAAAATATAGAGATGATTTAACAGTTACTGTTGTGTTCTTTGGTGAAGATGGTGTCATTAAAGAAGATGGGAAATTAGAAGTGAACTTACCAGCCACTAAAGGGGGTAAATTAACAGAACAGAAACCAAAACTATGATCTTTAGAACTGTTTTTTATATATATTCAAGGCATTTACATTCGATTGTAGTTTATCATGGCTTCAGGTACATCCCGACACCAGCAGCCAGCACAAAAAAGTCCCAAATGAATTGTAAAAGGGAGAGATAACAATAAACACAATCATTTGCACAATACACTTTTGAATTAATAGTAACATGAGTACAAACAAATCAGTCACTGCTGTGAAGCTAGTGCTATTGGGTGAAGCTGCCGTGGGTAAATCCTCATTAGTGTTGAGGTTTGTCAGTAACGACTTTCAAGAAAACAAAGGTAAGAATGCTGAAATGATAGAATTAGACCAATATCACTAACACAATACACAAGAACCTACAATTGGTGCTGCATTCCTTACACAAAGATGTGCTATTGGTGACAAGACTATCAAATTCGAGATATGGTGAGTATATGAATTACAATTAGAAGATTTCTAAGTACTAACTGACAACAGGGACACTGCTGGACAAGAAAGATTTGCCTCATTAGCTCCAATGTATTATCGTAATGCCCAGGCCGCATTGGTTGTGTATGATATAACCAAACCTGCTTCATTCATTAAGGCACGTCATTGGGTTAAAGAACTACATGAACAAGCATCAAAAGATATAATCATTGCATTAGTTGGTAATAAATATGATTTGGTTGAAGAGAATGAAGAGGAGAATAGAAAAGTTGCATATGAAGAAGGTAAACAATTGGCTGAGGAGGAAGGTTTATTGTTTTTTGAAACTTCTGCTAAAAGTGCATTCAATGTTAAAGAAGTGTTTTTAGCTATTGGTAATAAGATTCCAAATCCTGAGGATGTTGCTAATAATGAAACGACGAGAAGTGATGCCAATAGAGTTGATTTGAATGTGAATAATGATTCTCCAGAGGCTAATGGTTGTAATTGTTAGAGTTATTTAAGCTTTTTTTTTTTCCTTTTCTGATATTATTGGGATGTGATTCTTGTTATTTTTGATTGTTTTTTAATACATGTGTTTTGGTCTATAATGAGAACGATAAAACCAACGTAATGTGTTTTATTTAATGTAAATTTCATCTTTATCAACGGTTTTGCCTATTTTGTTTATGTCCCATTTCCATAAAAACGTTGAAAAAAAAGATATGGCTTTCAACAATTCCAGCACATAACTCCAGGAACAAGAACCATGAATGGTGACAATGAAGAATATAATGCTCTTACACGAGTACTGTGAGTATCTCAATCACCTCCAATCTCTATCCTCAACTAACCCTTCAAAGAAATGCCTATTATTTATATGAAGACTACGCTCGCAAAGAGTTATTATCACCAAGAAGATTAAAATGGAAAAGTTTAACCCAAGAAGAACAATCATTATTACCATGGTTTCCTGAATATCTTCAGGTACTTGAGCATTGTATTAAACTAAATGGAGAATTCACTAGAAACTTAGCAACCACGGTGGCTAATGATTGGGGTGCAAGTTCTGATCCAAGTCAATGGGCACAATGTGGATATGAAGATTATGATAAAGTTAAATATGTTTTCAAGCAAATGTTACGAGAATGGTCAGAGGATGGGCATGAGGAAAGAGATGTATCATTCAATAGGATTTTCCAATATTTAGAGACAAAATATCCAAATGTTGTTGAACGTCAACATGTCAAGATTTTAATACCAGGTTCAGGATTGGGTCGATTGAATTTTGAATTAGTTAAAAGGGGGTTTTGGTGTCAAGGTAATGAATTTTCATATCATATGTTGTTGGCTTCGAATTTTTTATTAAATCATTCATATACAAGAAACCATTATTCGATATTCCCGCTGATTCATAATTTTTCAAATCAATTGAATAGATCATTACAAACAAGACCAATTTTCATACCAGATCTTCATAATCAAACCGAATTGATTAATTTACAAACTGAGTTCCCCTCGATCCCCGTGGGGGAATTAATGTCAATTGCTTCAGGTTCTTTTACTGATCTTTATGGACCTGATGATTTATCTATATCTGATCATTATTCCAAAGATCAAAATGCAAGTGAATTTAGATTACAAAATGCAAATCAGTTTGATATAGTGATTACACATTTCTTTATGGATACTGCATCAAACGTTATAGAGTATTTGAAAACTTTAAATCATACAATTAAACAAGGAGGTGAATGGATAAATTTTGGTCCATTATTATGGCATTTTGAAGATGCTGAGGATGTTGTTGAGATTATTAAACAAGATGGAACTAAAGTCCCCACACCTGTCAAGGGTTTAGAATTAACAAATCAAGATTTTTTAGAATTGGCTCAAAATTGGTTTGAATTTAAACATCATGAGAAACAGATAGAAGTTGGATATAGTTCTGACCCTAAAGGGTTAGGAGGATGGAAATATAAATGTGATTATTGGATAGCTACAAAGAAATAATGCACATCACATTCTTATTATTTTTTCAACTCCTCTTTCAATTCTTTATTCTCTGCAACAACCTTCTCCACCAAATTTGTCAATTGATCAATTTTTTCATATAATGGATATAATTCCCAACCGACACCAACAGTAGTTCCTTGATCCACAGGAGGTGCGATTGATTTAACTCTTTTATACCATTGTTTACCCACGTTAAAATGCGGATCAACCCTTTCAGCATTATACTGAGCTCTTAAATCTTCATTAACCCGTTCATTTGAAGACTCAGCACCACCCGTTGCGAAAATACCTTCATAATCATCCTGGTACCCATCAGTTAGGTCCCATTCTCTATCAAATTCATTAGCATCATCAGCTAGGCCTTTGATTCTATTATATTGGATTCTTCTTGATTCACGAGCCTCTTTCAATGCGATCCAGGACAAATATGGGGAATAACAAATAACCATGATTCTATAATTCAAAGTTGAATAAGATTTTGGAGATAGCACTAAAGCCAGTGGTGAAAAAATCAATTCAATAATGTTTAAAGGTGGGACATAAACACAAACATCAGGTGCTCTGATATAACGTAAAGTCTTTTGGGCAACTAAAGCCATGTATTCATCAATAGCATTATCATAAATCTTGGAATAGGCCGATGAGAACAATGCAATCAAGATGTTTAACAAGATGACAGAGATTAAAAAACTGTAGAAATAGTAAAGAACAGCAGCATAAGGAGGTGCAAATCTTTTAAAAGCATTGAAATCACCAGCACCCAACACGGTTTTCCCCAAATTTTGCACAATTAGATAAGTTGCATCTCTTTTACCATCTGCACTATCCAAACCTAGGAAACCTTGTAAAAACCCTGCAATGACAATAGTCAACAATACAAAAAAAATCATTGATTCTCTAATCATTGTCTTGATAACAACAATCATTGCCCCGACGAACCGTTGAGCATCAAGGTATAGCAACAATCTAATCCACATGAATGGAGCAGCCAACGACAAGATTCTAAACGAAGCTTCATCTAGATGAATACCCGCAGGGGAATCATGAGCATGTGTTAATGACAAGAATCTTAGAATGATGGACCCCGAGACGATTGCATACATTGTATCATTAAAGATATTCCAAAAACTTAGATAGTTTAGCCCCACATGGTATAGTTTTGTCAATTCATCAATGATGTAGGAGCAAGTAAAGAAATAATAAGCACCTTCCCAAAAATCAACAGGCATCACTGTGCGGTCACTTTGGTTAACCACGATGGTATATAGTGCCAAGTAGATCAATGAGAAGAAAATCTCCAAGGAGTATTGATATAATGGAGTTTTAATCCGATCAGGGTTGAAATGGGAAGATAGGTTTGATTTTGAAATATCTTTATATAGGACATAACTCTGAGGGTCTTTAGCAGATTGAACGATCCAGCCTCTCCATAACCACTTCATACATCTTTGATAACCAGCTGACCCGATAACTATAGTGGAATGCATATCCACAGCCAATTCCAAAGCGTTTAAAGGTTCAGAATCAACCGTGTTCAAGTTAACAACGTAACGACGACACAACATTTGGATAAACAAGTACTTATCATCATTTTCTTGCTCAATGATTAATTTGGCAAGGACCTGTGCAGTGGATGCCCTAAGGTCATATAGTTCCGAATCATGGATCTCTGTACTGGATAATTCCCAATACCAACCACAAACTTTCAATAGGGCAAAGATTAGGACAGCTCTGTATTTAGAGGAGGATGAACCTGTAACACCATCGCCTTGCCCACCTGCAGCTTGTAGAGCTAGTTTCAGGACACGATTGTTGATGATTTTGGAGTCTGGTGAAAGGACGACTGATGGGTCAAATTGGACTGGGATTATTTCATCAATTAGGTATTTCAAGTTGAGACAGATTTTCAACACTTGACGAGGAGAAGGGGGAGTGAATGTGTTGACTTGGTCCTCTGTTAAGGGGAGTAAGTAGTCTTCAGCCATGGTTGGACCTTTTCAACTTAGTGGGAATTGAATTGAAGTGAATTGAATGTTTTAAGGGTCTTTTATATGGAAATTTTTTTGATATGAAATTTGACAGGCCCTGAAATTTGATTTGATTTGATACGCGAATTGAAACGTGATGGAAATTGATAACGTGAAGAGAGAATGATTAAATAGGATGTGATTAATTAAAATAGAATATAATTAAATAAGTAAATAGATTAAATGAATTGATTAAATAGATCGAATTAAATCTCATAATTTTCAATTCATGTCAATATGCACCCCTTAACGTCCAGGTACAATTCATTCTACACCTAATCAAACATATATCAATTTATTCTTTTTACTAGTTAAAGCCCCTTCACTCCCTCAATGTTGACAAATCAACTGGCTCACCAATAGTGGAGATCTCATCATACAACAATGTAGTTAAAAACTCACTAAACCTCTCACCTCTAATTTCCGGCTTGAAATAACCAGCAGCAATTTCAAATTTATTATCAACAGGAGCATTCTTCAACAATTTAGCAGTCTCCTCTTTCAACAATCTTGTTGTCAATTCAGGTGTAACCTTCTCCCCCGTGTCATCCAAAACCACACCATGTTTAACCCATTGATACAATTGAGATCTTGAAACTTCAGCAGTGGCAGCATCCTCCATCAGGTTATTTATCGGGACACAACCAGACCCTCTGAGCCAGGCCTCCATGTATGATAACCCAATGTATAAATTGATTCTTATCCCATTTTCCGTGATTCTTGCATTGTCAATCTTGGTGTTTGTTAAATCCTCAGCATTTGTTTTATAATCAGGGATGAAATGGATCTGGTTAGGAGTGCCCATTTCCTGGAAAACCTCGTTACAAATGGGTGCCAACGCTGGATGTGCGACCCAGGACCCATCATGACCTTTTGTCAATTCTCTAATCTTGTCATTTTGCACTTTGGCCATTGCAGCGTTATTAGCCTGGATGTCATTCTTGATGGGGATATGAGCAGCCATCCCACCCATTGCGTGGACTTTTCTCGAGTGACAAATCTTGATGAGTTGCTCAACGTAGGCATTCATGAATGGTGAAGTCATTGTGACTTGGTCTCTATCTGGCAAGACATGGGATGGGTCGTTTCTTAATCTTTTGATTGTGGAAAAGATGTAATCCCAACGACCACAGTTTAAACCTGAGGAGTGTTGTCTCAATTCCCAGATGATTTCCTCCATTTGGAAAGCGGCTGGTAGGGTTTCAATAAGAACAGTGGCTCTGATTGTACCCCTTGTGATACCCATATAGTCTTGAGCAACGTTAAACACATCATTCCATAATCTAGCCTCTAGGTGATGTTCCATCTTGGGTAAATAGAAGTAAGGACCATGACCCAATTTTATCAATTCATGACAATTGTGGAAAAAATATAACCCAAAATCAAATAAAGAAGCAGAGATGGGTTCATTATCCACCAAGATGTGATTATCAACCATATGCCAACCTCTTGGTCTTAGGATCAAAGTTGGGGTGGTTTTTTCCTTGTTGACTTTATAAGTCTTACCAGTTTGTTCATTTGTGAAGTCAACTTGACCTCTAATGGCATCATACAGGTTCAATTGACCATAAATGACATTTTCCCAAGTTGGAGAAGCAGAATCTTCTAAATCGGTCATATAGGTCTTGACATCAGAGTTTAGAGCATTAACCAACATTGATCTTGAAGAAGGAGGGCCTGTGATCTCGGTGTTTCTTGCAATTAAACCAGGAGCTAAAGGAGGACCAGTCCATGTTGGATCATTTCTAATTTGTTGAGTCTCTTGAAGGAAAGTGAGTTCGCCACCATTGTCTAAGTGTTGTTGAACTTTTTCTCTGTTGGATAGTAGTTGTAATCTGGTTGGGTTGAAAGTACGGTGTAGCAGAGTGATGAATTCCAAGGCACTTTTGGTTAATAGGTGCTGAGGTGTAGTGTTTGAAGGGTACTTTGGAGAGGAGTCTAGCTTGCCTAGGAGCTGGACATTGTCTAGAGTTTTGCGAACCATTTTGGTGATAGTGATATTGAATAAAGGGATAGCATTTTGCAATGGGTTGTAGTGTTTATATAGAGAAAGGGTATGGTTTGCATTGCGGATTGAAGAGTTGGTTTTAAGGAAGTTTTCATATGGGTTGGATTCCACGGGAGGGCGATCCGGTGGCTCGGTCCGGTGTTGGATAGAATAGTTAATAGAGAATAGACTTGGAAGTATTAGGTATAGTATTAATATACAATTGATATACTATTAGATACTATACTAATAACTATTCTATTATATACTATGCTATACTATAATATTATCTATAATCTATACTATTCTATACTATCCTATACTATACCATTAACTAGACTATACCATACTGTTCTTCTACACCTTCTTCACCTCCACGCTTCAACGGAGGACTGGTTGGCACACGCCTGGAAAAGAGAAATGATCAAAGGGAATTTGATTTGAAGATTGAACGATTTGATCAATTGAGAAAAAGAGATGTGGTATAAGTTGTAACCTTTGTTGATTAGGTAATTGAACTCTCTACCATTATCTACTTTGGCTAGCAGCTAACAGCTAATTATTGGACTCGTTTTCTAGTGCACATGCGGTTAGCGTCTGTCGTTTTGTATTTCCAGTTCTAATGCTTTGTTCAGTTTAATATGAGATGGTATATGTCCTTCACTAGTCATGGTTACATGGGGGTATGGAATATCCCATGACTCATATAATTGTACATACTACTATTGTTTTGAAGATATGAAATGACATTATCATGATTCTCAACATATAACAGTATATGCTCTATTTCCACTCTATTCAAATGTAGACGTGCTCTTACAATAGATTTTAATACACAACTAAACTCATTCATACGATCCCAAACTACAATTATGTTTTCACTGTTATGATTGTACCCCTAAAACGATCGCAAAAAAAATATAAATAGAAGTTGAAATCCCCTTTTCAACCTCCGGCAGAAGACATATTATAATACTTTAAGACACCGATAAGGGAATTCCTTTATGTCGCAAGTAATATTGGTTAAACGTCGCTATATTGTTCATTGCCAGGCTTACATATGAGTTTTCTTCAATTGGTTACAACTGATGCCCATCTTTAATGGGAGCACCTAGTCAAATCATGAGGAAAAGTATACATTTGTTAAAGGTTTAGTATTCAATGTTGTGAAGATATGAGAAGACTTTTAAATCGTCATTATTATGATTCCAGCATTAAAGAATACCATGTTATTTTCTTTATTCAATCCATGTAAGCATTAAAAGATACTACTCAACCTGTTCTAAACTGACTGGTTAGTTAGTGTCACGTGATTCATTCGCGAATTTCGTGCTGAGTAGGGTTGAGCAATTTTTTTTTGACTTATGTTCAATTTGAATTGAACGAACATTCAAATCAACTTTGGAAGGAATACAAACTTACGCTTGCTGATCAACCCAAAAATTAACCTTCTGGACCAGACGATGTCCAGTATCAAGTTTTTGTCTAGCAAAGTTCTCATGTTCACCTTCTATACCAACTACAGGTATAGCTGGAAAAACATTCAAAATTTTAGGCTTGTACGTATTTTTTTGAAATGCCTAAGCGTTTGACTATATTATGAATTGGATTTTTTGGCTATCCCTTCCAGCATGTTGTGCATGATATCTAGAAAGTGGCTTCTTCTATTAGAAGTTCACCTAAATGGATTGACTTGATGTGCTATATGTCTCATTTACTTGCCACTTTTCAACCTGCTAAACCCTTGGTTCTAGTTGATACAGCCATGTGTCTTGGTAAGTTGTTCTTGCAAGTCTGACAAGAATCAATTGGTTCAATTTACAAAAATGATCAATATATTGATGTGGTTGATCCAGTTGTGTCATGATTGAAAAGACACATTAAAACATGTCGGCGTATCTACATATGTATTAGAATACTGTGATGATATGGAGCAATATATTATATATTAACCATGATTCCAGTGATATTCACAATACAAATTTTTTTCCCAATACTTTGTGTAGTTGATGTTGTTCATTCTTTTGTTTAGTAGTGCAATCAATATCTTCAATTTTTAAACCTGCATGTTTAAAAGCTTTTGGAACTGTTATTAATGGTGCTGTTGTTTTCTAGATTTTGTACAGCTTCACCTCAACCCAAGCTTCTTGCAATTAATGGTTTTAAATTTAATTCAACATGAGAACCTTAAACTAATAGTGAACGTCCACCATCATTAATTGGTGAAGCATTAGCAGCTGTAACAGTGCCATTATTTTCCTTTTGGCTTTCCAATAAATTACCAACAATTCATTTATAACTCTCCTCATCAAATTCCACAGTTGTTGATGTTTTAACTTTAAAGCCACGAGGAATCATAACTGGAGTAATTTCATTTTCGAATTTACCAGATTCATGAGCTTTTTGAGATCTTTGATAAGATTTCATAGGGAAACTATCTTGATCTTCTCTTGCTAAATTATAATATTTAGCACATTTTTCAGCAGAAACACCCATACAGTAGCACCATCATAATCATCAGCTAACCTTCAACTAAAACAAAATCACCATATCCAACACCAGGTCTTGCAATTGGAACGTTAATAAAGAGTCTTGGTCATTGATTTAGCACCACAGACAACCACAATATCAGAATTAGCCAATAAAATGGGTTGAGAAGCCATTTTAGTAGCTGTCAAACCTGAAGCACAAACTTTATTAAAAGTAGTTGCAACGGGTATCAATGCCTAATTTTGATTATAGGGCAACTAATTGTCTAGCAGGATTTTGACCAACATTACCAAAGACAAGTTCTTCGTGTTTAACCTTTGGAACTTTTGATAAAGCAGCAGTGACGGCATGAGCACCAAGGTCAACATAGTTTAAAGCAGAGAAATAGCACCTAGAAAAGAATCAATATTGGGTTTGGGGTGGTGTACGGATGTTTAGAAAATTTCGGCGAATTTCCAAGGTTTTGTTGTCAAAACAATCAACTTCAGTTTCATCAACAGTCAACATGGTGGTTTGGTTGTTCAAAACAAGCATTAGATAGTTAGATAACTTACCCATGCACAAGGACTATTATTTAGACCGATCGGTAGCCGTCTGTGTGACAAATACATTCGAATCCTTGGGTTGATATTGCTCCTGGTTGGGGTTGACAGACTCGCTAAAGGGCGTTCGTTCTTCTTATTTCACCAATAGCATGCGGGTTTGTATCTCTCCTCCACTCCAAATGCTAGTCATGGTTACATGGGGGTATGTAATCCCATGACTCATATAATTGTACATACTACTATTGTTTTGAAGATATGAAATGACATTATCATGATTCTCAACATATAAATGTGTATGCTCTATTTCCACTCTATTCAAATGTAGACGTATTCTCACAATTGACAATAGATTATAATACACAACCACTCTCATTCATACGATCCCAAACTACAATTATGTTTTCACTGTTATGATTGTACCCCTAAAACGATCGCAAAAAAAATATAAATAGAAGTTGAAATCCCCTTTTCAACCTCCGGCAGAAGACATATTATAATACTCTAAGACATCGATAAGGGAATTCCTCTATGTCGCAGATAGAATTGGTTAAATGTTGCAACATTATTCATTTCCAGGCTTACATATGAGTTTTCTTCAATTGGTTACAACTGATGCCCATTAATGAGAGCACCTAGTCAAATCATGAGGAAAAGTATACATTTGTTAAAAGTTTAGTATTCAATGTTGTGAAGATATAAGAAGACTTTTAAATCGTCATTATTATGATTCTAACACCAAAGAATATCATGTTATTTTCTTTATTCAATCCACGTAAGCATTAAAAGATACTATCAACATCAACCTTTACCTCAAACTGGCTGGTGAGTAAGTTCAGTTAGTGTCACGTGATCCATTCGCGGTTTTCGTGTAGAACTGTACTTTTTAAAAAAAAATCATTGTTTTCACCATTTTTAGACGTGTGTACTATTTTGTAATTAAAGCAGCTTTCTGGAAATCACCGATTATCATTATTTAGCGTTCGATATGACAGTGTGACACCCCTGTGATTTTTCTGGTTTTCAATATCAGTCATCCAGCTGCCTTGCATGAAATATAATGAGTGGTGTTTTCAATTTATACCGCTTGATTTCATGTTTTGGTTACTATGATGTATTGATGGATGTGCCAGACAGTTTTGTTTCTCATTTTTTGGGCGACTGGGGCTAGCTGATACAGCCATGTGTCTTGGTAAGTTGTTCTTGCAAGTCTGACAAGAATGAATTGGTTCAATTTAAAATAATGATCAAATACATTGATGAGATTGATTTAGTTATGTCATGATTGAAAAGACACTTCACAATAGAGCATTTTGGCGTATCTACATATGTATTAAAATACTGTGATGATATGGAGCAATATATTATATATTCTAGCCATGATTCCAGTAATATTTACAATACAATGATTTTCCCAATTACTTTGTGTAGCTGATGTTACTCATTCTTTTGTTGATTTGGTAGTGCTTAAGCCAATCAATCGCGAGCGAACAACAACTGTTGAAAAAAATCACGTCCCTAAACACATTTTGTATCTCGTCTGTAAACCCATCATCACTAATTTCTAACTGCCCTTTTGACAAGTTGATTGTATTACCGGAGCTTATTTAAGTATTTGTTAGGCATCACTCGTTTTTATGTTGGTATGCTTGTGAAGCGATCAAACTACGTCTGCTTTCTGATGGGTAGCGTGTTTTTTCCACTATATTGACGCCTTTTGGGTCATCATAATATTGGATAAAATGTTGTTGATGTCGCACAAAATTCCGACATCATCAATCACAAATTCAAATCAAGACCAACACCATTTTTGCTGATATCCTTTGTTGGTGGATATGATCAAGATGGCATGCAGGCTTATATTGACAATGTTGATTTTGAATGAAGATATGAGAAGAATTACTAAAATAATTCATTATCATGATTCTAAAACAATTGACATATTCTATTTTTATTATACATTATCGTTGTAGAGTTTCAAAGGTATTAAATCAATATTATGATTTTGGCTGGTGTAAACAACCACCTATATGAGCTCTCAGTCTAAATCACTTGCAACGTATAGTTTAGCAGTGGCCTTTCAAGATTGTAATTAAAGGACAGGGCAAATAGGTTGCTTCACTGGAAGTGTAAGTGAAATTTCTTCCAACAAACCTATGGGACCAGTTACTTTAGAACAACTAAAATCTACAACAATTGCAAGTAATTGAAAACTCATTTTAAACAACACTAACTATCCCCTCTTTCAATCTAGATTCAATCAAATCAGATGATTCCTCCAAAACTCCAGCTTCAACAAGTACTTTTGAAGTGTTTTCAACAACAGTTTCCCAATTCACTGTATCAACTTTACCTTCATTAAATTCAACAGTTTTGATCCATTCTTTTGCATCTTCTTCACTATAATCCAAGTTTGTATAAATATATTCAATGGCCTCTTGTTGATTCTTGTTGAAATAATCAATACCCAACTCAATTGCTTTTATGAAACCATCCAATTGTTCCCTTGCATTAGAAACCAATTCACTTCTAGCATTAATAACCCATGATGGCCATGGTGTATAAATTTCACCAATTTTTTTAACCTCTTTATTATCATAATATCTCTTTGTAGTGAAATGTTCCCACATGAACGCATCTGATGGTTCCACATCATTTTGTAAATTTACTGAATCTCTTAAATTCTTAAAATTGGACAAGATTGGGAACCCACTATAGAAAGGCTTTGTGAATCCTTGTTGTAATGCTAGGACAAAAGACATAACATGAGAACCTGACCCAATTCTTGAGATTGAAATACGTTTCCCTTGTAATTGATCTTGAGTTGTTAATTCATCTCTGTTGTAACCTGTACTGATTGACCAACGCAAAGGACTAGACACATAAGTACCAATCAATTTATAGTTCTCTTTACCCTGAGCAATCCCTCTAACGAAAGCTTCAGTCAACCCAATGGCTATATCTAGAGAATTGTCTTCAAGAGATTGGATCAAATGGCCCGACCCCGAAGGATATGGGATCAGTTCAACTTCGATTCCAAATTGTTTGAAGAAACCTTTCGACTGGGCAAATGCGATTGGAGTGGAGAAATGCTCTGGAACGTAACCAACTTTCAGAACCATGTTTAATATAGCTTGATTAATTTCTAATACTCCATTACATTGTTAAGCCTAATATTTATGGGTCAGTTCAAGGGTATATTACATTCGCGAAATTTACCCTCCGTTGATGGTTTCAGTTTTGGCGTCGTTTTGCGACCAGCCCAAAAGTCAATGACAAAAGGCCTCTTCACAACAACAACAGCCATCTTGCGAACCATCAATTGACCACAGATTTGCTTATAGAAAAAGAGAAAAGAACCAAATCACAAACCACTATATTATTTTTTTTCGCTATCCAAAAACGATGTCCATTCCTTTACAAAATGGGTTCCAGAATCAAACTCTGGAGCGAGTACTAGAGGACATTTTGGTTCGTTTTGTTATAAACGCCCCACCAGTGGATCTTTCAGACAATGCTAGAGTGTTTTTCCTTTTCGAAGAGGCTCATTGGTTCTATTTGGACTATGTGAGGTCCATCAATCCTTATTTACCAAATCTGAAAATGAAGGCTTTTTCTAAAAAATTGATTGAATTATTCCCATTGATTTGGAATGGTGGTGATCCTGATGAAGGTTTAAAAGAATTTGGTAATTATAAACAATCAATCCCAGTTAGAGGTGCTGCTCTTTTCAATGAAAGTTTGAGTAAAATATTATTAGTCCAAGGTGTGGAATCACCCAATTGGAGTTTCCCAAGAGGTAAAATTTCCATTGATGAAGATGATGTAACTTGTGCCATTAGAGAAGTTAAAGAAGAGACTGGGTTTGATATAACATCTTATATCAATAAGGATGATTATATTGAAAGAACTATTAGAGCTAAGAATTATAAGATTTATCTTGTAAAGAATATCCCTGAAGATGCTGAATTTAAACCTATTGTTAAAAATGAAATTAAAGAAATTGGTTGGAAAGATTTTAAAAGAGTTTCTAAAAAATCCAAGACAAATCCAAATAAATATTTTCTTGTATCAAGTATGATTAAAGCAATCAGTAATTGGATTAAAAAGAATAAAGGTGAAGTTAATGAAAACCAAATCAAGAAGGAAGTTGAAGCTCAATTAAAATACTTGTTAGGTATAGGCCAACAAGAGGCAAAACCAGCTATAGATCCTGGAAGAGAGTTATTAGAATTCATTCGTAACTCAACTGCAAAGAAACAACAAAAAGATGCATTAGAACAACAACAATCTGCTACACCACCTGTTTCAAATCTTCAACAATTTCAACAGCAACAACAACAATTTGCTTATCAACAACAAGCTCAAAACCCTGTCCCAAATTTTGGCTTCCAACCTCCATCTTTCCAACAATTACCATTCATTAGTCCATTTGCTCCTCCTCCACCTTTCATAAATGGTGTTCCAAACTTTCCATACCCTCAAATGTTTGCTCCATATCCAATTCCTCAACAACACTTTATGCATCATCAACCATTCCCACCACCTCCTCATCAACAGCAACAAGAACCATTCCCTGAAAGAGCTCCAAACCCTGAACAATTATCAACACCATCACAAGGTTTACGCCAAAGAAATGAACAAGAGAGTAAAGAGCTTTTATCTATATTGAATGGGAAATCTCAAACCAAGAAATCAAATAACTCAAGGGATTTATTGGATTTGTTCAATAAGAATAAGAATGATACTGGTGATTCAACTAGAAAAGTTACACTATTGAAAAGAGAAGATGCTCAGAAGAATGATGGTGGTAAGGATTATTCCAAGAACCTACTGGCTTTGTTGAATAAGAAACCAGAAAAGAAGGAAGAGATTATTGAACCAAAAGTTGAAGCTAAAGAAGAAAAACCTAAACTTAGAATGCTTAAAAGAGATGAACCAATTACTGAACATACACCTAAACCAGTTCTTGAAACAAAGAAACCAAGACAGGAAAGTCATGATGAAGATCGTTATGAATCACCACCTCCAAGTAAGGAATTATTAGAATTGATTAAACAATCAAAACAAGATGACGATGATGATATTGAAATTTTTGAAGATTACACAGATGATGAAGGTTATGATCAAGGTGAAGATGACCAAGAACAATTATACAGTGACTCTATAGCTTCAGTTAAAGATCAAAATGAAGTGGATCAAGATATACAACCAGAAGAATTTAACGATATTGATCCTGAATATGAATCTGATCAAGATATCATTAATGAACAAGTTCCTGAAGTTGAACAAGAACAATACCCTCAAACTTTTGAGGAGAAACCAAAACCAAAGCCAAAAAGCAAATCTAAACCAAAACAACAAAAACAAGAACCAGTTGCACCTACTGCAGTTGCTCCTCCAAAAAAATTTAAACTGTTGAAAAGAGGTGAAGATCTGGATGTTCCTAAACAACAAGAAGAGCAGCAATCAACACCTGAACCTGAACCAACCGTTGAAGAACAAAATGATGCAGATGTCATTGATGATGCTGCTAGTGGTACTTCAACCATCCAATTTTCAGATGATGATGATGAAGAGGAGGATGAAACAAAATACGATGAAAGTCAAATCACTGAAGAACCTGAAGATGTTGAAAAATTCAGAGATGAAGAAGATAAAACTCCAAAACTTGTTGATTCACAAGCTACTCACAATCTATTGAATTTGTTGCACAAATCAATACAACAACAGGAAGAAGATCCAATTACTGAAAACCAAGAGAGTGAACAACCTATATCACAAACAAGTTCATCAAATGGTGACCATTCTTTTTATTCAGCAGATTTGTCAAATGGTAAAGGTTCGAATGAATTGTTGAATTTATTACATGGTGGTAAACCATCATCACCAAAAGAGTCTGAGTATGCAACACCTGTTAATGATTTACCTTCAAGTTTTACCAAAGCTATAGATCCAATTGCTCGACCAGCTGAAGAAAAGAAAACTCCATCAAACACTTTATTAGATTTACTGAGAAATCCAAAATTGAAAGATATTGAACCTGTTGAACAATCAGAACCAACACCTTCAACTTCACAAAACTCTGGTGGTGCAGATTTATTAAATATTTTACACAAGAATAAATCACCAGAACCAATTCAAGAGCCTCAATTACAAACACCATCAAGTTCGAATAGTGGTAATGCAGGTGCTGACCTTTTAAGTCTTTTACATAAAAAGAAATCACCAGAACCTCAACAATCACAACCAGTTTTCCAACATGATAGATCTACAACAGGATCTCCAGCTAATGATTTATTAAACATGTTGCATCAGAAGAAACCAGAATCAGAATCAAATAATGTTAATAACAATGACGACGCTAATAATAATAATGGTTCTGCAAAATCAAATAATTCATTCTTTGAATTTTTAATGAAGAAATGATATTGATTTTTTTGTTTTTAGGGTTAAACAAGTTTTATGTATACTATAGTGTAGATTAATATTTTTTACGGGTACTGGTGAATATTATACATCATATTGTAGTACTGTCGATTAAAATTCGTACAAGTTATTCAATATCAAGCATTCATAAATATCATATCAACACCAAGAAAATTGTAGGATGTGCTTATTTGGTTGATATCTCAAGAGGCTAGTTAAACTAGAGCAGTTCTCCTGATTGTTATGATACAACGAAAATCAGTATCAACTTAATAGGTACCTGACCATGAATACCACTACATTCAATTTCGAATAATAAAAATGGAGGACCGAAACAGATCAAGAGGAGGGAAATTATTTTGCAAGATCCACATTCCTTTGATTGAATCGTCAATGTATTGATTTCTAAGTAATAAAAAGTATAACCATAGATGAATCTGATCTCACATATAAGCTAAGTAAATAATTCATGTACCGCTTGCATGGCCTTCTTAATAAGCTAAACTATATCCATATTAATGATTTTACGTTATGTGGATGATTGTTTTTTAGTACTAACCAGCTTTCATGTTGTAACTGCGAACAGCTCACAAAACTAACAAAAAAATATGTCAACAGCTCGCAAGGAATCCTTACTTTCACAATCAGAAATTGCGACGTAGGTAGATTCAAACAACCTCTAAACCCTTTTTAAATTCATTGTTTTTGGTTTTTGGTACTTACTACGTGAGTTTGATGGTGAGATTTCATCTTTGATTAAATGGTGTTAGGATGTATGTCACGTGATAAAAATTAAACACAGAAAACCAGAAAAAGTGAAATTTTTGTAGATGACTCCGTGGCCAAGCTGGTTAAGGCGTGTGACTGTTAATCACAAGATCGACAGTTCGATCCTGTCCGGGGTCGCTTATTTTTTTTACTTTTTTTTTACTATTGATTGATAGTTTAATAGTCAATTATCAACATATCTTGTTTGTAGAAGTATAGCTTCTGTTTTGGGCGAGTTATTAGCGTTCAAAGTGTGAAAAATGCTGGAAACTCGGGCCGTGTTTTTACAGGAGCGCGAAGTGGAAAAATAGAAAGAGTGTGCAATTTGAAGGCTTAAAGAAAGGAGATTTAGTATTTAGTAGAGATCAATTGAGCTTATGACCATTATTACCAGCTGAATCAATTGGCTTTAACGACGTTTATTAAATTCCCAAAGCCAACAAGCGAATTATGAATTCTGATTATTTTGGTCTGATCTGATCTGATTTGCTTTTCCGCGTTCGAGAAAAAAATCCTCGAGAATTCGTTTAAAAACAACAACAACAACAACAACAACAACGTTTCATTTGATCCAAACGGTTAAAAGAGACAAACAAAGATGGCAAAGACAAAGTCCACCAGCGGCGGTCTTCCAGAAGGTAGATACTTGAAACCAGAAGAAATTGAGTATGAATTCGGTGGTGTTCCAGGTGTCATTGGAATGGTTATTGGATTCCCATTGTTGATGTATTATATGTGGATTAGTACTCAGTTCTATAACGGTGCTCCAGCGCTTCCTGCTAAAGGTGAATCATTTGGTGATTTTGTCAATCATTTGTATCAATTGTTTTTAGAACATGGTGTTCCATCATGTAGAGCTTGGAGAATCTTTGGTACTTTTGTTATTGTTCAAGGTGTTTTCTATTATACTTTACCAGGTGTTTGGACTAAAGGTCAACCATTGAGACATTTGAAAAACAAACAATTGCCATACTTCTGTAATGCTATGTGGTCTTTTTACACAAGTGTTGTTCTTTCATTAGTTTTACATTTCACTGGTATTTTCCCATTATACACAATTTTGGATTTATTTGGTGAAATCATGACTGTTGCAATTGTTATTGGATTTGCTTTTTCAATTTATCTATACTTTTACACCTTATTTGTTTCATATGATTATCATCGTATGACTGGTAATCATTTATATGATTTCTTTTTAGGTGCACCATTAAACCCAAGAATTGGTATTTTAGATTTGAAAATGTTCTTTGAAGTTAGATTACCATGGTTTATTTTATTCTTTTTAACTTTTGCAGCTTCATTAAGACAATATGAACAATATGGTTACTTGACTCCACAAATGGGTACCTTATTATTAGCTCATTGGTTATATGCCAATGCTTGTTCAAAAGGTGAAGAGTTAATTGTTCCAACTTGGGATATGGCTTATGAAAAATTTGGTTTCATGTTGATCTTTTGGAACATTGCAGGTGTTCCATTCACTTATTGTCATTGTACTTTATACTTGTCATATCATGATCCAAAAGAATATGAATGGTCAACAGGTTACAACGTTTCATTAGTTGTTGTTTATTTAATTGCTTATTATTTCTTTGACACCACAAATGCTCAAAAAAATTATTTCAGAAAGCAATTAACTGGTGATTTCTCAGTTAGAAAGACTTTCCCATTCTTGCCATATCAAGTTTTGAAAAATCCAAAATACATCACCACTAAAACTGGTTCTCATTTATTAACTGATGGTTGGTATAAATTAGCAAGAAAGATCCATTACACTGCTGATTGGACCCAAGCTTTGATCTGGGGTCTTGCTTGTGGTTTCAACTCACCATTCCCATGGTTCTTCCCAGTTTTCTTCTTTATTGTCTTGGTTCATAGAGCTTTAAGAGATCAAAGAAAATGTGAAAAGAAATATGGTGAAGATTGGGAACGTTACACCAAGGAATGTCCATATTTGTTCATCCCATATGTCTTATAAGGAGATGGAATATACTTAGGGTTACTCTAGCACCAACTTTATATATTAAAAATAAAAGTAAAATATCTAATTATTCAAAAATTGTGTATTATGAGCGTCCCCGAACCATCTCTTTTTTTTTTTCTTTGGCGAAATGATTTTTTCCTTCTGGGAAGTTTTAACAAAAAAGTGTCAATTTTTTGGTCTTAGACGTCTGGGATCTTGAGCCGTTGACAGTTGTTAATCAGAGAGATTAGAGCATAAACTCCAACGCCGTCAAGGATCTAGGAGCAATTTTAGGGATTGAAAATACTTCCAGTGTTTTGTTTGGAAAGGACGAGACAGAGACCTCAAATAACAAGATAAATCATAATAAAGTCCGCTTAAAGGAAAATGTCATATTATAGCACACTAGAGGTGCTAGCTCTTTGTGATGCCCTAGATAAAGTGCCACACATACGACAGGGTGCAAATGGTCCGAAACGTTCAATAGGCGATTCAATTGAGAATGGTGAGGTGAAAATACCTAAATTATCCAAACCATACCAAAAACATGATTTCTTGGAGTTGGATTCAGTATATAAAGACAAGAAGCAACATCCAGTTCCCAAGGCTTATAACGATGATGTTATAAAGCAACAGATTTTATCTTCTTCAGAGGCTGCCAACTCATCACAATCAAGACCTAGTTTCATGCCTCAACAATCAGGTTCATTAAATGATACCCATCAACAACAAGCTAGAGCATTACAAAACAAAAAAGCACTTCAGCATCAAAATTTCCAAAACTCATCATCTAGACTCCCTGGGTTATCCACCCCAACTGCCTTTGCCAGTCCTCAAGCATTGAATAGATCATCTATAACGTCAACACCAACTACCCCTACACTTCACAAACACTTTGATACCTATACACCAAGAATAAATTCCAAGAACAATTCTGCATCAACTTCAAGATCTTCTACACCAGGAATTACTCCACATAATGCTGGACAGACTTTGAATGATGATGGAACTCACGAAGAATGTGAATTTTGTCATAGAATTTTCAGAGGTCCTAAATCATCAACTCATAAGCAGCAACATATCAAAAGAATACATCCTGATTCTTATGTGAGGAAGAAAGGTGGTATCAAAAGAGATAAATCATTTACAACAATAAGGTTTGATTAATAAAAGATTCTAATGTACATTTAAGTTTTGGCAAAAAACACACACAGTATACGTAGTTATTCTAATCTTGTTCAGCAATGGATACTAAACGTTCATCAATTTCATCAGGAGTCAAAGTGAAAAATTTCTCTGGAGTTGCAACACCAATTTCAATATCATTTTTTCTAAATTCAGTGTTTAAAGTATTTGACAAAGTGATTATAGCAAATTCCACAACTTGTTTCCAATCACCTTCAACATGATCCTTCTTTTTATATTTCTTCTCCAATGCAGTTGTCAATTCTTGTTGTTTTGGACCAGTAGCATTAGCTTTTGAACCAACATAATAACCAGCTGGATCTGTCTTGTATAATAAAGGACCAAATTCATCATCAACTGAACAAAACGTCAATGCAACACCTAAGGGTCTCATATATGCTCTTTGTGTGTATATCTGGGATAAGTTGGCCATTCTTTTGGACAATGCATCCACAGGCATTTGATAACCATTTTTATAATGGAATTCTGCAGCTTCAGCTCTAGCTCTTAAAGCTTGAGATCTAGCATCAGCAATTGAACCAGTAGCGACAAGACCGATCTTTGGTGTTATTGGGAAGATGTATGACACGGTTTTTGGGTCCAATAATTTATCAGGGACTTTCTTTTGGGAGATTATTACAACAGAGTCTTTACCTGTGACACCCATGGCATTTAAATTTGAAGAGTTGATGGCTTTGAAGGCATATTCGACTTGATAAAGTCTTCCTTCTGGTGAGAAGATGGTGATGTGTCTATCGAAACCTGCTGCTCCTGACATTTGGGATTATTTGGGATGAATTGAATTGGGAATGAATTGAATTGGAGCTGAAATGTTAATTCCTTGCAGTTGCCACTGATTTGATTTGGTTTTTTGAGCTTTTCGAGATTTCTATCACCATTTGGGGACAGGGCCGTGTAACCATTGGAATAGAGTGGATAATATTGGGGGTTTCATGGTGGAAATTATATTGAAATAATGGTAATAATTTAGAGAATATAATGAAAATACTTTATATTAGTTTAACATAGCCTTACGACGCTTTATTAAGTGAAATACACGCTTTTACATACATTTCTATTGAATTCGCGAATGTTCAAAAGACGGGTAAAATTCGAGGTGAGGAAATACTCAAATTGCAAAAAAAAGCATAAACTAGTTTACATCAAACTTCATCCAAAACACTGTTCCTATAAAACACTGGTGTTGATGTTATCAAGATGACAGAGGATACTTTCTTTACCGACGCCAAAACACAAAAGAAAAAACCACTTTATCAGCCCAATTCCATATATTCTCCTCATGTATCTTATCATTACAATCCAAATGTTGGTGAATACCATTATGGTGTAAAGCATCCAATGAAACCCTTCAGATTAATGCTTACAGATCATTTAGTGATCGGATATAAATTATATGAGAAAATGGATGTATACATACCCAAACCTGCCTCTAGAGATGAATTATTAAATTTCCATTCAGAAGACTATGTTGATTTTTTACAAAAAATTACTCCAGATAATTTATCAAAATATTCAAATTTATTAAAAGATTTCAATATAGGTGATGATTGTCCCGTGTTTGAAGGGGTTTATGATTATAGTAAACTATACACAGGTGCTTCATTAGATGCCACTTCAAAATTGATTAGTGGAGCTTCTGATATTGCAATAAATTGGTCTGGTGGGTTACATCATGCTAAAAAATCAGAACCAAGTGGGTTTTGTTATGTTAATGATATTGTGTTATCGATATTGGATTTGTTAAGATACCATCCTAGAGTGTTGTACATCGATATAGATTTACATCATGGTGATGGTGTTCAAGAAGCTTTTAATACAACTGATAGAGTTATGACTGTGAGTTTCCATAAATATAATGGATTGTTTTTCCCAGGTACTGGTAATGTTGATGAAGTTGGTGTTGGTAAGGGGAAACACTATGCTATAAATGTTCCTCTAAATGATGGGATTGATGATGAATCATACATACGGTTATTTAAATCTATTATGGACCCTTTAATAACGTCTTTTAAACCAACAGTGATTGTTCAACAATGTGGTGCAGATTCTTTAGGTTGTGATAGATTGGGTTGTTTCAATTTAAACATTAAAGCCCATGGTGAGTGTGTCAAATTTATTAAGAGTTTTGGTATTCCTTTATTAGTTCTTGGTGGTGGTGGGTATACTCCAAGAAATGTTTCAAGATTATGGTGTTATGAAACAAGTATAATGACTGATGTTACATTAGATTCTAAATTACCTGAAAACATACCGTTCAGAAATTTTTTCAATCCAGATTGTTCATTACATCCGAATCTAGGGGATAAATTAGATAATAAAAATTCAAGAAAATACTTGGAAAATGTTCGTACAAAGATTTTGGAACAATTAAGGTTTTTGAATGGTGCTCCAAGTGTTCAAATGAGTGAAATCCCACCAGATTTCAGTAAGTTGTCTAAAGAAGAAGAGGATGAGATTAATGAATTGAATAATGAAGAAAGAATGATCATAGATGCCAAAGATAATGCTAGAATCGGTGAACTAGAAGCATGAACAGAATGCCTTATTTCTATATTATTAATGATATATAATGCCTAATGACTAATTATAAATAAACTTACATTGTACTTTTCAAAAAATCTTGATGCACTTGAATATTTGCACAAACTTGTGTAATATTTTCCTTTTCAAATAATTTCAAATTTAAATGAGACTCACATAATAAGTAATGCATATTATTCCATTGGAACATTTCAAAATCATAACCTATTCTTGATGCCATATTTGGTCCATACATTCTAACTCTTTTATCATTATCAAACATGGTTTTCTCATTCTCCAACTTGACTGGATCCAATTTAGGGAAATTCGCATGAATGAACAAAATTCTTGGATCAGTTCCATCATCTTGTCCAGTTTCATGTTTATTAAAATCTTGAACAGGATCAAATTGTCCCATACCAACACCATGGAAATTACCTTCATCATCATGTCTCCCCAAGGCAACCAAATTTTCATGCATTTGATAAAAAGGTTTGTTTGAGGCAACTGCTGCAGACAAGAAAGTTTCTTTATCACCTTGACCTAACCCACCTTGTGATAATAATGGATAATAATATAGTGGACCATAGATGTTATAATAGAGCGAAAGAAACATTGTATCCAAATGCATAGTTTTATTTATCAACACTTGGCCAGATTCACTAGTTGGATCTGGGATTGCACCTTTGAAATGATGGAAAGGGATATCAGTTTGAAGTTTCTCCTTTTCTGTAACGCCATTCATGACTCTGGTGTTTTCATCAACAGTTATATTAGCAATCTTGTAATAATCTAATGAAGTTGCTCTTCTCCAAAAATCTGGCCAAATCACTAAACCTTTTGATTTTAATGGATCTTGATGGAATATATGATCTGGTATATATGCAGGAATGTTATCAGCATCTAGTAACAATACTGTCTCGAAACTTGAAACTAATATAGCCAATGCCTTGTATTGGAATCCACCAATTTCAAATTTATTCATAGTCTCTTCTCCAAGGACATCAGGCAAGAGCAAACATTTGGCATTCATTGACGGTAGTACAATTTCACATAATTCTTGTTCATAATCTTCGTTTGTAGGAATGAGAACTTCAACAGGTAATGTTGATCCAATGTTTCTTAGAGTTCTTATTGACATTAATGATAACCAGTTAAACTTACCACCACCAACATAAACTATCCCCTCGCCTTTATATAGTTGATTAGCGTGTTTAGGGAAATTAGCAACAACTTGTGAATGTGATTTTTGTAAAGCTTCAACTTCTTCAGGTTTGACATCTAGGAAGCCTTGAAGGTATTCTTTTGTGAAGACCAAATCAGTTTCTTCATCAAACCTGATGTTTTTCACTCTTTGATCTGTTTTATATGTATCTAATCTTGGTATTTTTGGATCAGCTTCATTAATGATTTGGAAAAGTTTACTAAATAGCTGCTGTTTACTGGAAAATGTCTCTGATTTATCTTCATTCCCGAAAAATGGGAAATCAATATCTGGTATATCTGGTAAATCTGGTAGTTTATCCTTGAGTTTGTCAAGATCTGGTAAATTTCCCTTTATCGAATCTATTGTTTGATCATAATCTTTGAACGAGACAAAATTGATGATGAGAATGATGATCACCAGTACAGTGGAGACTATGACTAGCTCTTTGCGACGTGCCAGACGCTTGTACCCGTGAAGAAACTCTCTAAACATACGAACTAGTCTCTCTTCTCTGGATCTGTAAGGCGTGTAATCTCAACAATGTCTTGCTATTGTTCAAATAAATCTTCAACTTTTGATCTCGAGCAAAAAAAAGTTTCGCGACAAAAAGATTGCTGTTGTAAGACTCCGCGCATATCCGGTACCAAGAAACCGTTTGCAAATCGAAAACTAGATTATACAGAAACATACACAGAACAAAGATTCTAAAAGGGGTATTGTATAAATAGAACTAGCATAAACATCAAAAGAATATAAAAATATAAAGTACACATAATCAAATCAAAAAAAAGGTTCATGGATGCTTAACCAGAAAATCAACATGTTGATGAATCTCTTGACACATTGTGGTTCTATTCTCCTTTTTAAAAGTATCAAGCTCAATTCTCAAATCACACAACAAATGCTCCATATTTCTAAACTGAAACAACTCAAAATCATACCCAACAAGCCCCTTCATCGGACCAAACATTCTAACTCTTTCTTCCCCTTCGAACAACTTTCTTTGTTCTCTCAATTGTACAGGATGTAATTTTGGAAAATTTGAATGAACAAACAACATTCTTGGCCCCTTTTTCTCTTCTTCAGTTTTAGCAATAGAGTTCAAGTGATCTTGAATAGGATCAAACTGACCCATTGCAACACCAACGAAATGACCATCTTTTTTAAATCTCCCCACTGCATGAACTGATCTTCTGACTTGGAAATATGTGTTTTGTAATGCAACAGAAGCTGCTAAGAATGTTTCTTTATCACCTTCACCAACAACACCTTGAGATAATAATGGATAGTAGTATTTAGGTCCATAACTGTTGTAATATAGTGCTAAAAACATATCATGTAAATGAGTCTCTTTGTTCAATATAAATTGACCAGATTCACTAGTTGGATCTAATAATGAACCTTTCATATGGTGTAATGGGAAATATTTTTTATCATTCTCAGTGAATCCAGGTAAAACACGTTCATCAGAACTAACTTCAATACCAGTAATGTTATAAAAATCTGGAGATGTTGAACGTTTCCAAAAATCTGGCCAAACAATCATACCTTTTGATTTGAAAGGTTCATTTCTGAAAATAACATCAGGGACATAAGCAGCTAAATTATCAGCATCTAATAACAAGACATTCTTGAAACTTGAAACTAATAAGGCTAATGATTTATATTGATAACCTCCAAATTTCAACATTGAATAAGTTTCATTACCTAAAATCTCTGGAAGGTATAAACATTTAGCATTTAGAGATGGCAAGACATTTTCACATAAATCTGCTTCATAATCAGCCTGATTAGGTATCATAACTTCAACTGGGAGTTCTGAACCGATGTTTCTGAGTGATTTAACAGACATCAAAGCCATCCAGTTGAATCTACCACCACCGACAAAGACAATACCATCACCTTTATAAATATCTTTAGTGGTGATGTTTTCGAACTTAGGAACAATTGAAGAATGAGATTCTTTCATTTTTTCCAATTCAGTTTCATTCAATTGTAAAAATTCAGATAAGTATTCTTTTGAGAATTGAATTTTGGAATTATCATTGAACCCAACGTTTGGGATTCTTGCTCCAGATTTATATCTATTAAAAGGTGCTACTTTTGGGTCAGCATCTCTAATGAGTTGGAAAACGGTGTTGTAAAGTTCCTTTGGCTTAGTTATCACATTTTGAGGTTCAGGTTTGACTCTGACGGTTATTTCAACCGATTCAATAGGTTCTTTTGGCTCTTTTGGTTGTTCTTCCTGCTTTGGCTTCTCTTCTTTTGGTGTTTCTGGTTCCAGTTTTGTGATATTCTGTGACTTTTCAATAATGACACTAACCGTGTCAGTGATATCAATAGAGTTGTAAACAAGCACAAAAGAAATGATTGTAGATAGAACAAGTAGGGCAAAGATCTTTGAACGATTGACAGATCTGTTGAATGAGTGAAGAGAGCCTCTCATGATGGATGTGATTAAATTGTATGACGACCAAGAGAAGCTGCAAACAGGCCAAACATGCTCCTCTCCCCAGCTATTTATAATGTAAATATCCGTATCAGCAGCTAAAATAGTGGAGGGAAAATAAATTCTGAGACTACCATCGTATTGATAATCCGTTTGAAACTGAAATCGAAAAGCCCAAAACAAGCCATCAAGAAGAGATTAGATTTCTTTGGAAAGAGCTTAGCAGCCAACTAGAATGAGCACCATTAGCAACCATCATATTGACCATCCATACATTCATCATCCATAGTACGTACCACTTGTTCCAAGCCCAAGGTTCTCAAGCCATGATCGTTCACTTTGGAAAGCTTGTCTGAGACTAAAAATAAAAAACCACAACATCAACATCAAAACTCTAAAAGACGCGTCTGTGCACTTTTGATGCTCAATTATACGGCCAACCAGCCAAACAGAGCTCAAGGAATCGCGTATCACAGTTATTCTTTTCCGCTTAGTCAACCCCCAACCACGAGTAAAGAGCTTATCTCTACAAACTGAACAGATACAACAGCATACAACCAGTAAATCAACAGTATATCCAACTCCTCTCTCCATCACCATTCAATCGATGATACCTCATGGTTTTCCAGTTGTAAAATGACAGGTTCAAATTCAAACCCCCGAATAAAGTTCTTTGTTCGTAAAAAATGGTGTTTTTGACACAATCTTTTTGTCTCGCGAAAACCAAAAAAAGCTTTTTTTTTCAAGTGGTTGGAACTTGGGCTAGGCCTGATACACAACTACAAACTAGGTAAAAAAAAATCACACATAAATACAACTAAACAACATTTTAATCAATATACTTCAAATCGGCCTTTGTATTTGAACAAAGTGTCTTTAAAAGATGGAAACAAAGTGTCTTGGTTAATGGTTTCCCTTCATAAAGCTTCAAAAGTAAAAAAGTACCCAAACACAATTTTTCCAATTCAGTAGTGAATTTACAATAACCTTCTAAAGCTTGAGCATCACCACCTCTAGATGTTTTCAAGGTCAACAAATATCTATTAACAGCCCAAGCAACAATATCTTTAGTTTCCTCTTCTTGTCCTTCAATCTCAGCCAATTTTGCAGTTCTAGTTGGTCCTAATAAATCTCCATAAGATAAAAACTCATGTTCAGCTTGATCAAATGAAACGGTTTGACGAGTTAAAAAGGATTTCAATTCATTACGACAATTAACAATTTGTCCTTGAGCAGAATGTAAAACCCTTTCAAATTCATATTCATCAATGTTAAAAGTTTTAACAAAATATTCAGCATTTTTAAAATCACTTTGGAAAATTCCTCTTGCAACTAATCTTGCAGCAGTTTGTTTCAATTGTAAGACACCATGATCAAAATTGATATCTGAGATATCAATGATTGATGCAACACCAAATAAAAGATTAGTTTGTGCCATGTTATCAACGTTACCACTTTCAATAGAAGACATGATTAATGTGTACTATTGTTCTCAAGATTGATTGACCTGAATGATGAAAAGTGACAGGATCTTTGGGAAGAAACTATCATTTTTATAGACATTCTTCACTCTCAGCTATTGAACAGAAAATGATAATTAGTTTGACACTTTCTGTTATCAAAATGGTGATTGTTTTCTGTTCAGTATACAAAATCGTTACTGTCACGTGATCTGCACTCTACATACAAAAACAACTCAGAGAACTTATATCAATTACGTCTACAATGAGATCTTATCAAATCTAGTGCGATGAATATTATACATTGTAATGCTTAGTTTAATGGTCCAAAATACCTCGTTTGGTCATGCATCTAGCCCACTCATCAAGATGACACTCACTAGAATTATTTGAAACTGGACTGTATTCATTCAACTGTGATAATAAAAAAGGTAATTGATACTGCATCCTCATTTTCCAAATACATTCATCAATCAATTCTTGATGTAACTCCTTAAAATGTCGATATTGTTCAAAATCATGGAAAATAAATGGTTTATCTGGGGATTCTATTGGTTCAATGACAGGAAATTGTTCCTCCTCTTCATCAATTGACACTTCATCCTCCTCATCAGCAGTATCTCTTGTTGATTCCAGCATGCTCGTCATCTCACTGGGGATGATTATTCGTGATATATTCGTCACATATTCTTTTAATTTTGATTGGACTTCAGCTTCAGTAAAAGCATGAAATTTATTTTGCGGTAATGGTGCCGGCTTATCTGCTGGAGAGTATGACTTTCTGGATGGCCGTGGTGGAGATGGTGAAGGTAGTGAAGATGGTGGTGAGCTTGACTCAAATGGTGGAGATGGATCTTGAGTGGACTGCTTTGCATTTGAATTAGGATCTGATGAAAGTGCTGATTGATGTTGTGCAGGTGAGGAATATGGGGGTGGGTCCCGTGGTAGGTTCTGTCCAGATAATACATTGTTATTATGAGTAGTCACAGGTGCTGGAGCTATCTGAAGTGTTTCTCTTTGAGGTGGGTTTGTTGGCGTTGAATTCTGTTGATTTGCATAATCTTCTGACAAAATAAGCTTCATAATATAATCTGGAGTTTGTAAAATGTGTCTTAAATAATGTGGATCAGTTTCCTCAAGATCTTGGAGTAACATATCAGCAATTTCATCAGAGAGCAGGATATTTTGGCAAGTGCGAAATGGTCCTAACCTTGAGCTATCACAAGGTTCCCCTAAGGTTTGAAGACAATATCCCGCATCTAGTGGGATGAAGTAGTTGTTTGTCATAATACTTTGCCCATCCACATTAACACAAACAGTTGGTTGATAAACCTCACTATCTGAAGAATGATCATTTTTAATATGGTGAAGCCAAATATGCAAATAGTAACCTGAAAGCAAATTTCCATCCGCATTATGACAGAATCCTGACATTTTCAAACATGGTTCATTAGAATCCTTAAAAGGACAAATAGCATGTAATCGGTAGCTCTTGTGGTTCACAACAAAACCAATAAATGGCAACTCAGCATTGAATGAAGGGCTGACACCATGTTTTGTCCCCATATGTTTTAAATATTCATCAGTGAGTGTGTCGTAAAATATGGGCTTCTTAACAACACCTAATCTTTCATCTCTTTCATTAAATGGATGACAAAGTGGACACAATACCTCAACTTTTGGAATCAATTTAGGTTCACCGCCAACCCGTACCCTTCTTTTCCAAGCAGAACAAACATTTGTGCAATAATAAAGCTTTAAAGGGTTATATTGGTTCCATGATGTGAATGAACCTCGTGGAGCTACACCAAAACATTCTTTGTAGCCATCTAGAAACTTATCAACCTCTCTGTATTCATGCAAATGTCTGACAACTCCTTGAGCAATATGATGAACCACTTTCACTCTTTTTCTATTTACATCGTGAACTGAAGCATTGTGTTGAACAGCTGCATTATTCATGGTTTCGATAGCTTTTCACTAGCTAATTTTGCTTTTGAATTCTCAACATGCACCAATAACACCATCTCTGGAAGCGTTCGATCATCTTGAATATTCCTTGTCTTCTCTTTTCCTTCTTTGGTGTACAAATACGTTGTTGTTGTTTGAGTAACAGCCTTAATTTTTGTAAGCAAACATTACATAATCACTACAGAACAAATTCGCGAAGTCATAAAGGTCATATTCATTCAAAATTCATCAATATTGTAGGAGAAACCCCTGCTATGCAAATGGAACTAGATCCATGATTTTTTCATCATTGACACCGTTCCACCTGTTTTGAATTCTCCTATAGGAATAATTAGCACTATAGATCTCCAGCTCCATTAAGCATTTGAAATAACTTTCCACTTTCAACTTATCTTCAACATTTATACAATTCATCCCACAAGCTAATAAAGGACCATGAAGCATCAATAGCCTTGTATCACTAGAATCCAATACTTGGTTCCCTTTGTAAAAATAACAATTTTTCAACATCCTGCTAACTAAATCCTGAACTAAATAATGATCAGTGGGTAATTTCAAGAAATCATTATAAATCTTGAGTAGTAGAGCATCAACATGTAATTGGTGTATTAAATCAAACCATGAATACACTATATCAGTATTGATACCATAGCAAGAAGCAGGTAGTATGATTTTCTCATCAGTATCTTGAAAATTTGGATGCATTGGATTTTGTAATGAGATTATTATTGAAGAACTAGCAACTTGAAACTCTTTAGCACTATGAATTAAACTCATTTGAAATAATAAATCCATCGAATCCAGTTTTTTCAATTTGAAAAACTCTCGATACATGATGATTGCCTCTGTTGAATATCCTAGAAACACATTATATCCATTAGGCATTAATAGTCCAATATCTATTGCAAATTCACTATTCTCTCCGTATAATCCAACATCCAACAGATTATCCAGCTCATGAACTTTCCCAGTTCCATAAGTAGTTAAGCCAGCCAAGATTTCAATAGCTGCGAACCAAGACTTGGCCAATAATAAAGATGGTGTTTGATAAATTTTGATATATTTGTTGAAAAGATCTTTGGCACCACGTAAATGTACTCTCCAATTATTGGAAGTAGAGTCAGCAGCTAATAACAAGACAGTAAGTATCAATGGTTCAATATTCTGAAGGATGTTTGCATGGTGTTGAAACACGTTATTCATATTTTTCAAACAAGTTGAAACGTATTTTAATTTTGCTTGATCCTTTGCGGCTAGTGATAACATTGCAGCCAATAGATAAGGAGATGTCTTTGCATGATTTATCAATATTTCATTGCATAGGTTTTGTTCCAAGGGCATTAACCAAGCGCTTATCTTATCATAAAAAATCTCCAGGTAATGGTTATGAGGTTCCTGTAGATCAAAAGAGCCTAGTACATTTTGCTTCTTGGTCATTTCACTCAATGTCAAATCCATTATGAAGTCATCTAATTGGGATCCACCACCTTCAGGCCCTACTGCACTTTCAAATAGATCATTAGCTAGAAGTGTAGCTTCATTGATGATTTCCTTCTTATGGTCTCTATTTTCAGAAGTAGCCGTGCTAGCTGGACTTGTCTCTTCTATTGGTGGTTCACCGATGTCATTATTACTCACAATGTTATACTCTATTTTCACATTCTTTGGGCCAGCTGAATTGGTGGATTGAGGAAGGCATAAACTTCTTGATTCACTAAACTTGAAATTTTTGACATAGATGCAGGATTTACCTAAATGTGAACATTGCCAACACTCTGGTTTTCCCTCGTCGCATTTGAGCTTTCTTCTTTTGCACTCTTTGCACCCATTTCTACTATACTGTCTCTTCTTCCTCTTTTGAACAGCTTTTTCTCCTTCTGCCATGGCTCAATACCTTTCTAAAGTGTTCTTATGGTAACCGTTTTCATTGTTTTGGTTATGGGTCAAAAAAAAATTGGTTTTCAGATCAAATTCGCGAACATCATCTTCAATATAAATTAACTTTGACGGATTGAGCAGGAATTTGGTGAAGAGAGAGTGTGGTGTTGTTCATTTGGTGGTTGATTCAGTTATTTATTACTTTAAACTATCTATTATTTAAAAGTCAAAGTTACATTTAAATAACTCGTTCCACTTCCCTTTCATCGTCTGATCAACCCTCGAGAGCCCATTATGTCCCACTAATTCCCAACATTTGATAGCAGCAAATCCACCTTTTTACACCCAGGAAAAGAGAGAAAGCACACCAATAATCATTAAGATACCAACTACATAACACTCCAACACTATAACCATTTCAAACCACCTCATCACCACCAAAACTCCTCCAAAAAACCCTCCAAAGCACCTCAATGTGCCCCAGCGTGTGGCCGCAACCGCTGATAAAAAATTGAATCCAACAAAAAATTTTGGTGCAAAAAGACAAAAGCATTAAAACTACACTTTCAATTCAGTTCAAGATCCACCCACCCCCATCTTTAATATTCCAATGTCTTCTGATCAGTATGAAGAGCCTAACTTCATCACAAAGCTAGGCTACGACCTCATGCTATGGCTGCTTTCCTCGGTCTTCAACTGTTTCTTCAGAGAGATTCGCCCAAGAGGTGCCTTCCGTATCCCTAAATCAGGTCCTTGTATCTTTGTTGCAGCTCCTCATGCTAATCAATTCGTGGATCCTGTTATATTGATGGGTCAAGTGAAGAATGAAACAAACAAGAGAGTCAGTTTCCTCATTGCTGAGAAATCTATGAAGGTTGTTGGTGTTGGCCATATAGCTAGGTTTGCAATGCCAATTGGTGTCAAGAGACCTCAAGATAATTTGAAGACTGCTACTGGTGAAATATCAATTGATCCTAGTAATCCTTTGAAAGTTATAGGTCATGGTACTGCTTTCACAAAAGAGGCTACCGTTAAAGGTTTAATTGGATTACCAAACTCCAAAGGAAATGCAGAAATTGCAGAAATTTTAGATGATTCTACTTTATTGATCAAAAAGGAATTCAAAAAAGTTGCAATGGATATCTTGAAATCACCAACTAAATACAAACTGGCTGATAAAGTTGATCAAAGACAAGTTTATGAAAAAGTTTTCGCTCATCTATCTCATGGTCATTCAATTGGTATTTTCCCTGAAGGTGGTTCCCATGATCGTACTGATCTTTTACCTTTAAAAGCTGGTGTTGCAATCATGGCCTTGGGTGCAATGCAACATAACCCTCAAACAGATGTTAAAATTATTCCATGTGGTATGAATTATTTCCATCCTCATAAATTTAGATCAAGAGCCGTTGTGGAATTTGGACACCCAATCACCATTCCTAAAGATCTTGTTGATCGTTATAATGATCCAGAAACTAGTAAAGCTGCTGTCCAGGAACTATTGGACACAATCACAAATGGGTTGAAAGCTGTCACTGTTACTTGTCCAGATTATGAAACTTTGATGGTTGTTCAAGCTGCTAGAAGATTATACACAAATGAGAAAACTTTACCAATCCCATTGATTGTGGAAATGAATAGAAGATTAGTTATCGGTTATAATCATTATAAAGAAAATCCTGAAATCATTGAGCTTCGTGAGAAAATTATGCATTATAATGAGAATTTGAAAAGATTACATTTACCAGATCATGAAGTTAACAAAGCTGCTCAATTCAATTTCCTCAAAAACTTGTCAATTTTGATTTATAGATCTTTAAAGCTTGTTTTATTGTTGACTTTAGCATTACCTGGTATTGTTTTGTTCACTCCTGTTTTCATCGTGGGTAAAATGTATTCAAACAAGAAGAAAAGAGAAGCATTGGCTAACTCACTTGTCAAGATCAAAGCCAATGATGTTGTTGCAACTTGGAAAATCCTAATTGGTATTGGATTTGCTCCGTTATTATACATTTTCTATTCATGTGTTGGACTATACTATTTTAGAGACTTTAAAACAATCAACAAATTCTTTTTATTTTGGTTGATTTACATCTCAGGTGCCACTGTTACATACAGTGCTTTAATCTTTGGTGATACAGGTATGGACATTTTAAAATCAATTAGACCAATTTATTTATCATTAGTTACGCCACAAGTTTTATCAGAGTTGAAAATTGAAAGAAAAGAATTGGCTGAAAAAATTGTGGAAATTGTTAATAAATTTGGTCCTGAATTATTCCCAGATTTTGATCATTTAAGCAAGATTCAATTTGATGAAACTTTTGAAGATAAGAAAACTGAAGAATTAAGAAAGAGAAGAAGATTGAAAAGAAAACAAGAAAGAGCAAAAGCAAAAGAATCTCTTCCTTCAAGTGATTCAGATGCTGAATCTTTATCAAATGCCCCAATTTTCGCAAATAGTTCAGATGCTGAAAGTGAATATTCTGTAACTTCAACTAGTGAAACTGAAGGTGAACAAACAATAAATTCAACTGGTATTAGCTCTAAAATTAGAGATACACTAAGAGAAAGAAGAATCCATGACGAAAATGTCAATGATGTCGATGACGATTAAGCTTGCATAAACTGTTATTTTTTTTTATACGAACTTGTATTTTATACGTCGTTAATAAGTAATATTATATTGGAAAAAGACTCTATAGTAGTTTGTATCTAGCAAAAACTTGAATGAAAACCCACACTTGGTGGTGAATGAACGAATTGAAAAAAATAACCATGGCAATGGTATCATGAACAACTTCTAAAATGAACTCCAACTCCAATCTGCAGGTATACTACCAACATTCAAGTTTTGTTGTTCTAAACTAGCCTTCTTCTTCAAATCATTAACAGCAACACCATTAGTTGCATTATTGTTATTATTATTATTATTACTCTTGACAACATCATTAATAACATCAGTTCCGAACTTCTTTTTTAAATAAACTTCATAATCTTTAAAACAGGAATCACAAACTTTACACAAGACCCCATTTGGAGAATCAACACAAAAATTTGCATCTGGACCTAAATTTAAATAATTTGAAACATGTTCATTACAAAAAATATCACCACAACGACGACAATGATGTCTTCTTTCGAAAAAAGTGAAATTTTTCGAACAGTATGCACAACTTGATCTACTTAAATCTTTTTTCCAATGAGCTCTTGTTGGTTGTCTTATTGTGGAATTTGTTGTTGTTTGATTTGAAGAACCATCTAAGTTAAATTTCCAATTTTGATGCTTTATTGAATTTGCTGCATTGTTTAATAAATTCTTATTTGTTGCCTTGAATTTGTTTGAGTTTTTCTGTTCATTGATGAATCGAAGGTCTTCTGGTTTTAAATTTGTATTTGATTGTCGAAGCACTGCTGGTATGTACATTGGTCTTTTAGGATCATTAATGGTTCGAAGAGATGATGTGTCATCAAATTTGGATGATGTTGAGGTTGTTTTGGACATGGGTTGAGCCGATGGGAATGAACTTGTACGATGTTGTTGCGGATGTGGGAAAGGTGGAGTTGATGCTGTTGATGAAGATATTGGGTTATACTTTGGTGCTTCCTCTCGAAGTTGAGATGCTGATGATTGATTGATTTGAGGTTTTCTCGTTAATGAACTTGGTGCTCCGTTAAATGAATTTGATATCGCAGCTCCGGACAAAGATTTGGGTATTGAAGATGTCACTGTCGTAGCTGGTTTTTTGAAATCCACTTCTGCCGGTTGAAATTTTGAAAATGATGATAATCGTCTAAGTGCATCTTCTGTCAACTTTTTTTGTTCTTCATTAACTTCCAATTCACCATCACTCTCCACATCCGCATCTTTATTAAAAGGTAATCGTTGGCCTATTTCAAACGAAGCACGTCTCTTGGATGAACCCGCAGTGGCAGGTGCCTGGATGTATGAAGAAGCGTTAAGATGTTTGGATTGTTGATGTGGTTGATGTGGAACAAATGCTTTATTTTGCTTTTGGCTCTGTTGCTGACTGTTATTCTGTTGATGTTGCTGGACAAAGTTTCGTAGAGAAACACTCGAAAGCACCGACTGTATCGATTGTGTCCTTGACTTTGGAATGGATCTCTTCTCGAATGTTATTTCACTGGGTAAGTCATGTTCTTCAATCACTTCGTTATTCTGTAATTTTGCCTCATAGTTATTGTTGTGGTGGATATTACTATTGGTCTCTGTGAAAGTAGCACCACCGTTTGTAGCATCACCATTCTCAACATGGCTACTGTTCACATTCTCGCCCATTGTCCTTGGTGTGCTTAGTCTCGTGGAATGGTCTCGTGCACAGAATACTCCACTGTCTGGGGTAGGCCTATTATCCAAAGCCCACTATCAGTCATCGCTTTCAACGTTTTTTTCATGGATTTTTTGGTTTCCGCAAGAACTAAAACTGGTGCACGTGATGTCACGTGAAGATAACAGGATATAGAGACAGTTGGTTTTAATAGACGGGGAGATTTAAGCACTACAAGAGATCTTAAAGGATCCTGTAGGTAATGGACTCCTGGTGAGATGATATTCAACTCTTGTATATTGTTCTCGCATTGACATCACTCAAGATGGATACAATTTCTGTCATGAACAGAAATTATGAGATCCAGTTTGAACAGAATTAGTTTTGCAATGGTGTATATAATCAACCAAGATGATATCCTAAGTTCGACTTGATTCCTTGTAGTTTATCACCGTCAACTCTAATAATTACAAAATGTTGGACTTGATTGAAGCCTTTCCTAATGAAATTTTACACAAAATCCTTTCACTCATGAACCCAGATATTGATGACATTCACACAATGTTCGCCATTTCAAAATGGAGACACTTTTTGACCAAATCAATCAAGGTTGTCACCAATGAAACATTTGATATTGTTATTAACAAATACCCATCTTTCCCTCTTTCCATCTTTATCGATATCCATGACTTTGATCCTTTTGGAACAGATGCATTCCATATAATCTATTATGTGAAGTCTGTATTGGATTCTGAGTGCCGTGATTTGATTGAGCAAAACAACAGCATTGAATATTCAATCAGCACTGGTGATCAATGTTATTACGATACACTCCCAGAATTTGCAAGTCCATTGGACCCATTTGTTAGACGTGTACCTTCACCTAGAAGAAGATTGAAAACAGATTGTTTGAAATCACTTATTGTAAGAGATATCAAGTACTTGGACTTATATTTGAGACATGATCCTGTATCTCAATATCAGTTTTTAGATTTTGTGAGTTTCCCAGTTAAGCTTCCATCATTGGAAAGAGTACTTGTGGGAGAATTATGGGAATTGTATGGATGCCAAAGTCTTCATAGAATCACTGCACCAAAACTTGAATGTTTGATATTTGACGCTGGAATATTAGACATGGAAGCTGATGAATCAAAAGAAATCTTTGAATCTTTATATATTCAAAAATATGCTTCAAAAGAATTTGAAATCAATGTCATTGGTGGTGAGCTTGAAGATGTTGATTTGGGGATTGCCGAAACAGTTAGGTTCTCTGTCAACAATGATTTCACCTATCTTGATGATGTCTCACAGACTTCATTGAAATTGAAAAACATTTATGCACCTCATGTCACAAATTTGGAGTTGTCCAATTATCATTTGATTGAATTTGAAAATGTTGATCTGCCCAACCTTCAAGAAATTATCATTCGTGATCCACGTCCATCAGAGATTCTCAGAACTGAAAACTCGAAACAATTTGAATTTCATGGTGATGAAACTTACACCAAGTTGAGATTAAAAAATTTTAATGCTCCATTGTTGGAGACCTTGCTTTTCAATAGAGTTGAAATTATTAATGATAATGATGTTGATTTCCCAAAATTAACTCCATATAGATTGGAAATGGGTGCAACTTTTTATAAAAATGTGAGACAAGTGTCACAACTTATTGATTTTGATTTGTTGGAAACTCTTGAAGTTCCATTCAGGGTTGATTTGATCAAAGAATATAACATCAAGTCTTTGAGATTTCCAACTTTAGCCAATCTTGGATTGTTGAAACCATATAGAGGACACTCAGCACCGTTATATGGATATTCTGATCTTCTTTCTTTGAAAGTTTTCAAAGCCCCAGTTTTGGAAGAGTTGAATGTTTGTTCTGGTCAATTGACTTATGCTCATTTTTATGAATTTATTTCAAGATATCCAAATTTGAAAGTTTTAGAAATAACAGAAATGGACTTCCCACTTAACCGTTCTATGAGTGATTTTCTTCAAGATGTGGAAACTTTAAGGATCAAATATGATTCACCACCTGTGAAGAAGTTAAAGCTGAATGGCTGTGTGTTTCCTGAGTTGCAAAAACTTGTAATTCTGAAAAGATGTGGACTTGATGTAACTGGTCAAATGAAATTTGAAGCACCAAAGCTAAAACATTTGCAAATTGACCGTATGCTTTTCGAAGAGTTGGACATTTCAAAATATAAACAACTGGAATATGCAGATGTTCGAGTCAATGGACGTTTAATCATGAATGGACTTGATAATTTGGAAACATTGGTTATAAAGACGGAGGGACCATTAGCCTTTGAATGTGACAAGCCTCCTCCAAAATTGAAACGATTCCTTTACCAAGGCACATTACCAACAAGACCCGAATTTGTGGAAGAATTGGAGGAGCAGGCTTTGTCAAACAAGGTGGATCTTCTCGAGTAAATAGTGAATGTATTATATTCATTTAATTAAGTTGTACTTGACTTTATATTCCGACCTATTTTAAACCCCGGAACTCATCCTTTTTCCAAAATGAAAAGTTGACCACGTCGATGTAATTAAAAAGAATCAGAAGCGTGTCAGAGAAACAGAGACAGTTCAAGGATCAGACTCAATTGGACATGCCATCGATAGAGCTCACGGAGTCGACGCTCCAGAATGTCAAGCTGGTCCTCAAGGCCATCATCCTCCTCTCAATTGCCGGTGCTGCGGTCTCTTCACGTTTATTCTCCGTTATAAGATATGAGAGTATCATTCATGAATTCGATCCATGGTTTAACTTCAGAGCTACAAAATATCTAGTTTCACACACATTCTACGAGTTCTTGAATTGGTTCGATGACAGAACTTGGTACCCATTGGGAAGAGTCACTGGTGGTACACTATACCCAGGTTTAATGGTTACAAGTGGTACAATTTGGCATGCATTAAGAAAAATTGGTTTACCAGTGGATATTAGAAACATTTGTGTCATGTTGGCTCCTGCCTTTTCAGGTCTAACAGCTTATGCCACTTATTTATTCACCAAGGAAATCAAAGATTCATCTGCAGGTTTATTAGCTGCTGCTTTCATTGGTATTGCCCCAGGTTATATTTCAAGATCAGTTGCAGGTTCTTATGATAATGAAGCCATTGCAATTACTTTATTAATGGCAACTTTCTTCTTATGGATCAAAGGTTCAAAAGAAGGTTCAGTTTTCTGGTCTGCTTGGGCTGCTGTGTTTTATTTCTACATGGTTTCAGCATGGGGTGGTTATGTCTTTATCACCAATTTGATCCCATTACACGTTTTCGTCTTGATCTTGATGGGTCGTTATAACCATAAGCTATACACTTCATATTCAACTTGGTATGCAATTGGTACTTTAGCATCAATGCAAATCCCATTTGTTGGGTTTTTACCAATCCGTTCAAATGATCATATGGCAGCATTTGGTGTTTTCGGTTTGATTCAAATTGTTGCCTTTGGTGATTATGTTCGTTCAAAAGTTCCATCAAAACAATTTAAATCCGTCTTGATTGTCTCAATTGCTTTAATAATTATCTTGGGTATTGCAGGTTTAGTTGGTTTAACCGTAGCTGGATTGATTGCTCCATGGACTGGTCGTTTCTATTCTTTATGGGATACAAACTATGCTAAAATTCATATTCCAATCATTGCCTCAGTCTCAGAACATCAACCTACTGCTTGGCCAGCATTTTTCTTTGATACCCAATTTTTGATTTGGTTATTCCCAGCTGGTGTTTACTTATTATTCCAAGAATTGAAAGATGAACATGTCTTTGTTATCATTTACAGTGTCTTGTGTTCTTACTTTGCAGGCGTTATGGTTCGTTTAATGTTGACATTGACCCCAATCATTTGTGTTAGTGCTGCTATTGCAATTTCAAAATTATTTGATGTTTATTTAGATTTCTCTGAATTTTTGAAATCAAATGAAAAGAGAAAATCATCAGATGAAACCACCAAAAAGGGTCTCAGTATCTTTGGATTGGCTTCAAGATTAACTGTTATCTTAACTTTTGTTTCATATTTGTACTTGTTTGTTTATCACTGTACATGGGTCACTTCAAATGCTTATTCATCACCATCAGTTGTCTTGTCATCAAGAGGCCCAGATGGTTCATCTACATTGATTGATGATTATCGTGAAGCTTATTACTGGTTACGTATGAACACTCCAGAAGATGCCAAAGTTATGGCATGGTGGGATTATGGTTATCAAATCGGTGGTATGGCTGATCGTACTACATTAGTTGATAACAATACATGGAATAACACACATATTGCCACTGTTGGTAAAGCTATGTGTTCACCAGAAGATGTTTCATACAAGATTTTAAAACAACATGATGTTGATTATATATTGGTCATTTTCGGTGGTATGCTAGGTTATTCAGGTGATGATATGAACAAATTCTTATGGATGGTTCGTATTGCTGAAGGTATATGGCCAGATGAAGTTAAAGAGAGAAACTTCTTCACTGAAAGGGGTGAATACAGAGTTGATGATGAAGCCACTGACACAATGAAGAATTCATTGATGTACAAATTATCATATTACAGATTCTTGGATGTTTTCGGTGGAAGACAAGCTCTTGATAGAGTTCGTAACCAAAAAATTACCACTTCTCCTGAATTAAACATTGCTGAAGAAGCATTCACCTCAGAAAACTGGTTAGTTCGTATTTATAAAGTTAAAGATCTTGACAATGTTGGTCGTGACTTGAAAGATGCCACCCAATTTGAAAAACAAGCTGCTGCTGGTGTTAAGAAGAGAACTCAAAAACGTCCTGAATTAGAACTACGTGAATAATCCACCCGCTAATTCAAAAGACTAACAATAAAAAATACATCACAAATGATTCATATAGAATTAACAAAATAAAAATCTTTCGTATTCGTTTAAAAATGTTTTGTATGAGCTTTCGCGAATTTTGACCATGATGAAATCGAGAAATCGAAGACATAATCGAAAACGTCAACAACAACAACTAATTTTCATTAAGTAAAAGTAGAAGAAAACCCATCAAAAATATGAGTCAAGAGGATTTAAGCTCTTCTGTGAAGGAATTGAGTATACAGGAATCACCAGCTGTGGAAACAGTCGAAGAAAATTACAAAGTGGAAGATGTAATGGACACAAATCAAGAAGAACTCCAGACAGATGAGAATACAGCCCCAGAAGTTGAAGTTGAAGTAGTGGAAGAAGATGAAAATAAAGAAAATGGTGAAGGCGAAGAAGAAGACGATGATGATGATGATTTTGGTGCCTTTTCAGATGCTTCATTCGACGAATTTGAGTCCCGACCTGAACCACAAGAAGTACCGTCAACAACAACTGAAACTAATTCAACAACCTACACACAATTACCTCAATCGTTATTCAATTCACCATCAGACCTTCAAGAAACACTCAACAACTTATTATCGCAATCATTTCCAGTCACGCTACCGCCATCATCGGTACCGCAAAACACAGATGTGTTGAATGAACGTTCAAAATTATTACTTGAGAGGTTAACTGCTCTACCATACTTGAAACCACACAATTGGAAGAAGAGTTCACTAAGGAGACAGTTATTGATAACATTAGGTATACCTGATACTGAAAGTGTCGTGACTAGAAGGAAGAACTTGGATGACGGGATGCAATACAAGATTGTATCATTTGAAAATTTAGGAATGAGTGAGCAAGATGCTGAAAAGTTTAAAGTAAAAAATGATGAGATTATAGAGAATTTAGAACGATCTATGAAAGATGATCATGTATTACAGAGCTTGAATGATGATGATTTAGATGGTGTTATTAAAGATTATGAATCCAAGATTGAAGAAATTTCGAAGCTGTTGGCTGTTTGGGAATATGAAGAAAAGAAACTAGAAAATGACAATAGTACATTTGAAGGGGTTGTTGAGAATTTAGTTGGTCATACTCAAAGATTGAGAAGAGAAGAGACTTTGAAAAGCTTAAAGAAAGAAGCTCAAAAGTCAAAAGGTATAGGATCAATGTTTAAAAAAAAATCCAAGAAATAGACTACGATATTAATAAAAAATCAAACATCACAGCATTAAAGAAACAAAAAATTGTAGTAATATACAAAAAAAAACATATACATAAGAATATTAGAAAGTAGGAAACACACATCGTTAAAACCCATAAACATTCCCGTTATTGTCAGGAGTTCTATCACTCCCAGTAGCACTATTAGTTGTATTATTAGCAGTGCTATTTGTAGCAGGGTTGAAAAAATCATTAATAGATGCCAAATTATGCAAACTTATTGAATTATTAAAATTTTGGAAATCAAATTCTGGTAAACTAACATTGAACCCAGATGGATCAAACCCATTAGCATTAAATTCATTAAAACCTTCCATTGGTGAATTGTTATTCTTGTTATGATGACCTTGAGTAGTATGGCTATTATTTGAAGATGATGAAGTCGTTGAAGGTGGGACATGTTCTGTTCTTCTTGAGTCAGAAGTGTTTGGGTTGGTTGAATCATTAGTTGATGGGAAAAGCTCTGCAGGATCAAAATTATTCCATGTCGATGAAGGTAATGTGTTTGTAAATAAATATAAATCTGGGAATTCCAAATTGTTTCGTTCTGGAAGTTCAAAATCATCTTGTTGTTGAGGTGTTAAAGGTTTTGGTTGAGGTGGTTGGACATTGTTATGCAATCCTACTCTTTGATGTGGATATTTAGCAAAGCTTTGTGAATAATCTTGAGTAGCTTGATTTTCTTGAGGTGGGATCGGTTGTGTTTGCGGTGGTGGTGGTGGTGGTGGGGGTTGTTGTTGTTGTTGATTTGGGATACCTGAATTATGATCATTATTAAAAGGCTCGACAGGAAATGAATTTGGATTTGTTTGTAAAGTCGCACTTGAATTTCTGTGCTCATCTATACTTCTTTTAGCCAAATAATTTAACAATTTTTGTCTAGCTTTATTATCACTTGCCAATTTCTGCATATTATGAGCAATCACTGCAGCGATCAAATAATTCTTACCAAATTCATTCAAAGCTTTAAATAAAACTTCATAACCTAATCTTGCAGTTTTAGAAATTGAACTATTTGAAGAATCCATATGACAAATAAAAGTCATTGAAGCAGTAAACAAACTTGTAACGACAAGAGCGTTACAATATTTCATTTGGTCATACTTCATCATCTTTGCAGCTATATCGGCGATAATTCTTGAAGCTTGGAAAACAATACCTTCAGAAGGATAAGTTTTACCATGCAATGTAGCAGTTCTAACCATATTTGAACGATGAACAAGACAAACAGCACTATAATAGTATAAATTCAAACAATTAACAGATAATGGGAATTTTTTATTTGGGACATATTGTAAATTATGAGGCAAGTTATTTCTCCAAGAACTCATCAACATATCACAATGAGTGATGACCCAATTCTCACGATGTTTAAACCTTTCAGCCTTTGCACTATATTGTTCTTGCATTACAATTGAAATAATTTCTGATAATTTGATCAATTGAATAAAAGATTCAGCATCTTCATAAGAAACATCATCAGGAAAATCTTCCAATCTTAGCATTTCCACATCACAATCTTCCAAATGAATAATTTTCGGACGACCAAAAGAAACAGATGCACTTATATCTTTGATGTATAGGTTCCACCAAGCTAATTTCCATTTCTTCATTTCCTCAGGAGTCAAGATCGTATCATTCAAAGTTCTATGAAATCCATAACCTTGAGCCACTGTAACTGCAACACGACTCCAGTAATAAGAATTGCCCAAAATATCATCTAAACCTTCCCAAAATCTTGTAAATAAAGTTAGGGATTGTACTAAAGTCAAAGGATCTCTTTCATAATTAGCATCATAGAGCGCCTTAGCACGTTGGAAAAAAGTACAACTTGCTAAATAATTTGAGCCATCTGAATCATACAAGCTTGGGTTTTCTGACACTCTTGAAGCAGCTAATAAAACCGATTGTAATAACAAAATTGAAATTGAACCTTCTTTATAAGCTTTGATGAATTTTTCCTTATCAACTAATGGTTCCACTGGATAAATTCTTTCGAAATAAGTGTTTACTAAATCATCACATAGTTGTTTTTCAGGTAGTAAGAAAGCACCACGGACTCTAAGAATTTCCATTTGAACAGTGTCTAGTCCAATTCTTGTCTTTTCCATAATTCTGTTTAAAGTTGGTGGTACGAACTCATCTTTAATTAAATGAGAGCTTGAAACATTTGCACGATCAGTTAAAAGGTTTGCCGTTGATGAAGTACCTATGAATGAAATTGAAGACATTTTTTGAGAAAATTTGGATTGATCAATTTTGGCACTTTGAGCGGAAACGGCAGCCACTGGTTCATTTTTCTTTTTAGAATGCGATATTGTTGGTGGATCTTGTTTCAAAACGGGTTTTTCTAGGCCGTTTGATGATGTTGTTGTAGTATGGTTTGAATTTTCAGTTGTTGAAATGTCATTATTTTCAACCTTCTTCTTTTTAGCATTTTTCCTTATCTTTGGTTCTGGGAATTTACATTCACAGCCAAAAGTCAGACAGTTTGTGCATGGAATATGGATCATAGCATCACAACGGACTTTCCGACTATGACAAACTTCACAAGCTCTTGATGATCTTGATCTTTTGAACTTGACAGAATATTTCTTTGTATCTTTTGGTTTGTCATCAGCACTAGGGTCTTCCTGAGTATTCGGGACCACAAAGTGGTTCTCCTCTTGTTTCATCATTGCTTCAGTATACAATTTGTCTTAACTTCTGACTTTGATGGTTTCGTTGTTGATTTTATACCAAACGACCTGAAATAACGGTTTCTCGGGTATGGGTTCGATCAACACTCTTGTTAAACCCTGCCATAAACAATGGACAAACAATGTAAACTTGGTATTTGTGGACGTGAAAGAGCAGCAGCGACAACAGCAGTGTATCTTGGTTGGATACGATCAGAATAAAGCAGCAGCAGTAATAGTAAGAACAAGAAATAGCACTCGTCTGAACGCTTTTGTCTCCAAAACAATAAAATGGTTCAGTTTTTTTGCCTTTGCTCGTTTCGGCTCATGTCAAAAAACGACACCCGAACACCACCAGCACCGGCTTTAACTGGAGAAAATCCATCAGGTCAAATTTTCTAAATTACAATTCAAACGAAATAAAGCCCAAAATCCTGTTAATTGTATCCAGGCTTCAGAGTGATTATTATTGTCATGCCCCAATCTTTCACCTGGAAGGAGATTTCTGCTTGTGGGATATCCCTCATCGGAATCCTATACACTTTAAATCAAATCTATAAGACCTCCAGTCCAAAACTATCCAAATTATCACCCCCAGAAATTGGTGTCGAAGGTCTAATAGGTAATACACCTATGATCTTGATCAAATCGTTATCAAAACACACCGGTAATAACATATATGCCAAACTAGAGTACATGAACCCTGGTGGTTCTGCAAAAGATCGTGTTGCATTAGCCATAATTCAATCAAATCAAGATAATTTAAAGAAAGGTGATAGAATATTTGAAGGAACTTCAGGCAGTACGGGGATTTCAATTGGTACCGTTGGTAATTCATTAGGTTATAAATCAGAAATCCATTTACCGGATGATACTTCACCTGATAAATTGGTTTTATTTGAAACTTTAGGTGTTGATATCAAGAAAGTTAAACCTGCATCCATTGTGGATCCAAGTCAATATGTCAATAGTGCTAAAAATGCTAATGAAGTTTTCAACAATAGTGGTGATGAGAACAATGGTGTGTTTGCTGATCAGTTTGAAAATGATGCTAATTGGAGAATTCATTATAAAACAACGGGGCCAGAGATTTATAAACAATTACAAGGTAAAATTGATGTTTTCATAGCTGGTTGTGGTACAGGTGGGACCATTGCTGGTGTTTCAAGATATCTAAAAGAGAAGCTATCAAATGTGGTTACTATTCTAGCTGATCCTCAAGGTAGTGGGTTCTTCAATAGAATTAATTATGGAGTAATGTATACAAATGAAGAGAAAGAAGGTACACGAAGAAGACATCAAGTGGATACTATAGTGGAAGGTATTGGTCTTAATAGAATCACACATAATTTTAGCATGGGAGAAGAATATATAGATTATTCATTAAAGATCAAAGATGAAGAAGCTATCAAGATGGCTAAATATTTAAGTGTTAATGATGGGTTATTTATTGGATCATCAACTGCTATAAATGCAGTTGCTGCTGTACAGGCATGTCAACAAAATGGATGGAAAAACAAGAATATAGTGATTATAGCGTGTGATTCTGGTACTAGACATCTGAATAAGTTTTGGAAAGAAGCAGTCAAAGTGCCAAATGATGTTAAACTAGAGGATATAGTATAATTAAGTATAGAAATTACAATAAGATGGTCATAATTTACAGGGAAAAGTCTGGAAATGATTACATAATATTGAGTTTGTGTTACGTAATCGAAAAAGCAACTGCGAATTATTTTTTTGATCCCTTCGAAGATCAGTTTCAAAATGAAAAACAGAACTAAAAATTTAGAGCCAGAGTGTTGCTAAATTTAGGGATAGATATTGTTATTGATTTATGTGTAGAAAGCCTTTGTAAAGACTAGTTAGATCAAGTGTACGTGGTGATTCTTTTACTCAAATGAACTTCCCAGCCCAAAGCACCGCATGTGCTCAGGCCCAGAAGCTCTTCCAACAGCCTGGCCTCACTGTGGAATGTTCCTTTTGGATTCGCGACTTGAAAAAAAATTACTCGAAAGGGAAGGAATCTGAATCATCAACCCACTATCCAAGGACAGAACAGCATATAGAATCAATACTAGCCCATAACTAACCACGTAGAATTGCTAGATCTGTTCTGGATCTTATTTCTTTGGAAAATTCCTTCTACAAATCGACTTTTTTCATTGTGTTTCAGAAAAAAAAAATCCCAATTCGGAATATTGCCAAAACGGGAGTGTTTTATATGTTTTTTTGGTCCTGTTTTTTCTTTCTACACATTTTTTCTGAATCCTCAAACCATCAACATCTTCAACAACAACAATCCTCACTTCATCAAAAGCTTTCCTCCAACCATCCCCCACCACAGCGCTTAGTGGCTATCCTCGTTATCAAATCCAGAGGCTTCCAGCTATCTACCAAGCCCTAATACTTCACATCACCACCTTAACATTCACTAGGAAAAAGCACATTCTCACTCGCTAGAATTTTATAAACAAAACAAAAAACAACATCAATTGTCAATTGTCTTCACCTGTTGTTTCCCACATTGCTGACTTCAAAGATACTCAGCACGAACCACCTTCCCTCTTCAACTCTGAACTAACTCAAGTCTCTCTTTTATCTAACTGGAAGAGTTGTGTGTGTGTGTGTGTGGCTACTATTTCGTGTTTCAATATTATCAATTAACAACACTTCAAAACAACAAAGACAACTCAGATAGAAGGAATCAACAAGAATACATTTCTAGTGCTAGGGCATTAAAATCATGAATATCCTCACTCTAGCTTTGCTTTTACAAGTCTCATTGGCGTCGCCTTTGAATTTGGATTGGTTTAAAAAATTAGGTGCTCCAGGAGGTAATGATACTCTACCAAGTTCAGACCCATATGGTGCAACATCAAGTCCATTATACCCAAGCTCTTCATCATCATCATCATCTGTTGCAGTTGTTGCTCCAAGCTCTGTGAACTTTTTTGGTGAATCTGACACAACAACAAGTTCATCATCAAGTCAACCAACAACTAGTTTTATTCAACCTTCAACTTCACCTTGGACTCCTGAACCTAGCTCAACAACACAAGCTACATCTTCTGCTGCTCAACTATTTGATACTGAACAAGACACCACTAGTTCAACTCCATCTCCGACTCCAACTGAAGAAACAAGTTCTACTCCAACTGAAGCCACTGAAACAAAGAATGCTAAAGCTTCAACCACATCATCATCAGCAGCACCAGCATCTAGTGAAGAAACAACAAAGGCTTCAACATCAGCTACTGATTCTCCAAAACCTTCAACAGTTGAAGAATCTACCAGTGAAACTGCACCAGCCTCATCAAGTATAATTCCTGTTGAATCTTCAAGTCCAACTGCTTCAACCTCTGGAACCGAAACTTCAAGTCCAAATGTTTTAGCTGGTGCTTCATCATTAGCTGCTATCTTGTCTCCAAGCTCTGCTACAACAACACCTTCAGCTTCAGAAAATGATTCTGCTACTCAGGCAAAAACTTCAAGTCCATTAGCTTCAAGTACTACAAACGCTGAAGAAACAGCAAGTCCATTGAAATCTAGTTCCGCTACTGCTGAAAAAGTTTCAGTTACTGGCTCTGCTGCTACAAAGGAAACTTCAAGTCCAGTCGCTAGTGAAAATACTGCTCCAGCCTCTTCTTCTTTGCTTAAAGAAAGTGCACCAGCTGCTTCAACTACAAACGATGAAACTTCAACTCCAACAAAAGCTGAATCAACAACAGCTTCTGGTTCTTTGAGTGTTACAAACTTCCTTTCAGGTACTTCTACAGATTCCACCACTGGTTCAGAATCATTAATTCCAAGACCTGAGTATGCAACAGCTTCTTCAGATGCTACTCCAAGTACTACAAATGCTGGTAATCCAAGTGTTTCAGCTTTGAGTTCCACACGTGAAACTGAATCGCCATTGGCGTCAAATACTGAATCAACTACTGGCTCACCATTGGCTTCAAACACTGAATCAACTACTGGTTCACCATTGGCTTCAACTGGTTCTACAACAGACTCACCATTGCCTTCAAATGCTAAGTCAACTGCTAGTGCATCAACTGGAAGTGCTACTGATTTGGATGCACCTTCCCCTTCAAGCTCATCTCCTTTAACTGAATCAACCACTGATGATGTTGCTTCATCAACACCACCTGCTTCAACCACTGCTTCAGAACAAGATTTTTCAGTGCCAACAGCTTCAACTACATCAACTGGTACAGAAACTCCAAGTCCAGTAGCTTCTGTTTCATCTTCAGCTGCAGCAATTGTTTCAACTCCATTAGAGTCTACTCCTTCAACTACTTCAGAGTCAACTCCAACATCTGAACCATTAGTTTCCTCAGAAACTACTCCAGTTGTTGTCCCTTCAACAGCCAGTGCTATTAGTGATTCTATTACTACAACTTCAACACCAAGCTCAACTACTCCTGCTGAATTGCCAACAGATACTTCTGAAAGCTCAACATTTATTGGTCCTTTACCAAGTGCTTCAACTTCTGCTGAAAGTGTGTTCCAAAGTTCAACTACTCCATTGCCAAGTGCTTCCACTCAAAGTACATCCACTTCTTCTGAACCAGAAGTTAGTGCTGTTATTCCTTCAAGCTCTTTAACCCCATCATTGCCATCAGAAGTTCCAATTGAATCAACTGAAAGTGCTTCAATCACATCTGCAAGTTCAGAAGTACCAACAGTTGCCACTCCATCTTCTGCTCCTTCATCTTCTATTACACCAGTTGTTGAGCCTTCATCTGATATCTTGACTCCATCTTCAAGCTCAGTTGAGCAACCAGCTTCATCAAGTATTGCTCCTGTGTTATCAAGTGTTGAACAAAGTACTTCTCAAGAAAGTGCTATTCCATCATCTGTGATTCCTGTTGCTTCAACAAGCTCCAGCCCTTCAGTTGAACAAGCATCAGCACCATCATCAACAACAACTGCTGCTGCTTCATCCACTTCATCAATTCAACCAGTTGTCCCAACATCAAGCTCCTTAGGTATTTCTTCAGAGATTCAACCAAGTTCTTTAGCTCCAGTTGCTTCATCATCTGCATCACAAGCTGTTGCTTCACAAGAACCAAGTAGTGGCTCAGCTTCATCAGTTGTTCAAGGACCAGCTTCTCAAGGAACTTCATCACAAAGTGTTTTATCAGCACCACCTGCTGCTTCATCCATTTTCACTGGTGCTTCATTACAATCAGCTTCTTCAATTCCAGGTGCTCCAGCTCCTGCTAGTGCAAGTTCTGCAACAACTGCTGCTCCAGCTCAAAGTGAGACCACTTCTTCAGTTAATTGGTTACCAACTACTTTGGTTACAGCTGCTTCCACAAAGAGTGGTGATAAAACAGCATCCTCAACCCAACCAGCTGCTACTTCTTCATTACCAAAAGCTATTGCACCAGATTCAATTCAAGATGCTCCATCAAATTATGAATTAATTACAGTTGGTTTCAAAGAAGCTTGGAATTATCCATTTGTTGTTAAAAATTCATTAGCAAGTGCACAAATTTTTGAATATTTACCAAAAGTTTTGAATCATCCATTTGATTATAATAGTTCAAATACTAGTGTTTTACAATTAGTTCCAATGGTTTCTACAGAAGTTCAATATATCATTACTGTTGCTGAAGTTTATTTCCCAAGTTCAGATATCGCTGCTTTACAAAAACATATTTTGAATGCTTCATCTCCGTTGTATAAGAATGATGATGCTACAGCTGCTGCCTTGAGTACTTTAATTGATCCATCTATTCCATTGACTGGATTATTGGGTAGATTAGAACAAGGTTCATCAAACTCGGGATCAAATTCAAATGGTGGTAATGGTAATTCTCATCAAAACACTGGTGCTATGGAGTATTCTTCAAGTGTTAATACACAAACTCCTCAAGGTAAAGGTCGTCTTGCTGCTGTAACTATTGGTTCAGTTGTTGGTGGTACTGTTTACATTTCATTATTAATTGTTGGTGTTCGTTTCTTTATCAATAGAAAACGTGTTGCTTTAGCATCTCGCTCAGGTTCAATTTTACCAATGTCTAATCCAAATGATTCTACCGAATCTTTTAATAGTGTTCAATATGGTGCTGGTGTTCGTTTACCATCTTCATCAACCCCATCACATTTTAGTCATGCCTCACAACAATATTCACATCAACCTGAAATGCAACAAGTTGATAATTATGTTCCAAGAATTTCAGCTCCTGTTGCTACACAAAATTCATTAGGTTGGAGTTGAAAAGAGATAGCTAATTATTTTTTTTTGTCTCAACTTTTAATAATGATTTTTTAATTTCAATTGGTCATGTTTTTTTATTTGATTTGCATGATTTTTGTCAATACTATAAATTATTATTTTGCTTATACCCCCCAAATCAAATCTTTATTTTCATTTTTTGTGTTTTTTTATTATTATATTTACCTTTCGGACTGTTTTTTTATGTTTTTAAAATGTGTGTACATGGTTTTTATGTTCCAGTTATTGGGATTTAAATGTTATTTTTTACAAAGTTTAACAAGAATATAATGTAGTGTATCTATTGTAAAAACTTTATAATCAATTTCTCTATAGTTGAACCATGTTTGGACAAGAGTCCATCATGAGTTGCTTTTATATCTATTATTTCATTATTTGGGAAGAATTTCTTTATAGCTTCAACACCTTGATCATCAACAAACCCACTTTTCAACCCTCTTATAAACAATGATTTAGTCTCAGTAGGATGTTCATAATGAGGGAAATCTCCAAGATCTTTTAAAACATTATCATCAAACTGTTCAATTGGGATCTTGAACCTAATTTTTTTTTCAACTTTATCAAACTTCATATTCTCAGTCAAATACATTGCAAACGCTGAATTAATTCCAACATCATCCATTAATTTCTCAACAGACGTAGCCTTCCAAGTACTTGCAACATCATCCTTATATTTCCTTATAACAAACTCACCAACTTCTCGTAACCCACTCAAATATCGTTCAAATTCAGGACCAATCTCTTTTTGAATAGGTGCATTATCTATACATATCAACTTCTCCACCAGATTTGGGTTTTGTAAAGCTAATGACATCCCAACTTTTGCCCCCATCGAGTACCCCACGATGTTGACCTTGTGTAAACTATGCTCATTACAGAAGGATTGGATATCTGACGTCAAAGTTGTATAATCCATGGGGAATACATGTGGAGCATCACCATGATTTCTAAAATCCATTGAATAAGTTGAATGGTGTAATGTCTTGTGGATGTGACGAGTCAGTCTGATGTAGTTCTTGTGTGAGCCTAGGAATCCATGGAGGAATAGTGTTATTGGGGCATTGGGGATTTTGGAGAGACGAGCTTTAAAGGGCAGCTTTATGGACATTTTTTTGATGGAGCTGGAATTGGATTGGTTTTGATGTTTTCCAAATTTGTTTTTTCTTGAAAAAAAAGAGCATTAAGATACGTTTTTCAATATGGTCAAACACAAAGTATGCCACGCTTAAGAAAATCGATCCAAAAGATCAATCAGTTGGATTCTGACTTTCCCATTGACGAAGATGAACAGGAGGAACTTTTGGAACTGTTGAAAACGGATAACATCCAAACAAATAAACTATTCATCAACATTTTCACCATTATTTACTTGATCCCCATCCCATTATTTATTCATTTGAAATATTTTAGAACTTCAAGCACCATTAGTTTTCTAAGCATCGTGAGCTTGGTGTTGTCATTAATCAAGATTAGATATCTACACGTTATAAATTTTGCAAATTTTGAATCATCAATTGTACAATGGTTATCAATTTTATACAAGCCATTAGTCTTCAATGTATTAAATTTGATAATTTCCAGTATTGTATTGATGGTGAGGTATGAACAAGGGGTTGGTGATTTGAATTTATTATATTTCATACCTTTCTTAGCGAGTGTTAGTTCCATATTGTTGATGTATTGGATATTAGAATTGGATAATGGTATAACAAGTTTAAGTAAATTGAAGTATAAATATAAATCAGCTTAAAGAGGGGCAACCATTAGTTAATTGAGAAATTTGTTTTAAATCAATTGAAGAATCATTGAAAAGGGTTAATGTATGATCTATTTCACCTTTTAATTTTTTAAATTTTTGAGATTGATAGTTTCTTTTATAAGAATGAGTTGATAATTCATAAAGATATTTTGCACTTGATTGAGGATAGTTATGGATCAAGTTTAATAAACTTTGGATTAGTTTATTTGGATTAGTCTTGGTTAATGAGTTTGAAATTGAAACTAGATATTTGAAGTTATCACCAAAGCACTGGAGTGTTAGTAACCTTTGCTCTATTGTGTTTTCTCACTCATACTCACTTTTCTTGAATAATAATTGAATACAAAGGGCATTTCAAACTCCAAAGCTGTGAATAATAAAGAGTAATGGAAATAATTGATCAATTCAATCATTGTATCAAGTTTCAAATCAGATGTATAAAATTCCAATTCAATTGTGATGTATTCAAGATTGATGAAATTTTCATTACCAAATTTAGTTAATATTGATTGATTTATTAATTCATCATGTATTTGACAAATGTATGAATGGTTTACTGATTTGGAATAGTTTGTTTCCAATTTGAAATGTAATTGATTCCAAAACTAATGGGCGGTTGGTTAATATTGAACATTGCAGAGTATAAAAGTTTTGATATACTTTACTAGATTCCATTGATTTCATAAGGTATTCAGTGATGAAAGATGACGTTTCCAATAGTTCACCATTTAAAGACACTGAGTAGTTGATCTAGAAGTTAGTATTTCTTGTAGCTTTCATCAAAGACTCTAGTATTCTACTTTAAAAGAAGGTAATGAAGGCATTATTATCTTGTTTTCATCATAAAAAGGGATCTTGTAATGATAATTCCCTTTGAGGAAATGGCCATTACTCTCATAAAACACCTCAGACGATCTGAACAACATTGAACTTCAATAAAGAGCAAAATATTGAAATGTAAACAAGTTCATCAAATACCAAAATTAAATGTAAATAGTCGGAATAGGCTATCGTTAGCCTGTAACGGTCACGTGAATCCGTATTATACCCCTTTGGGAACAAAAACACATGTGGAAATTCAAATTCTCGAGATCAAAAACATCAACAAACAAATTGAAAACATGGAAAGGTGAAGAATTCTTTAAAGAACCCATAATGACAATGACTGAGCTCAAAGAAGACCGTATCTGGATCGATGGCTGCTTTGACTTCTTCCATCATGGTGAGCATAGATCCTTATTTTAAGTTATCCCAATTTATTAACACAAACTATAGGCCACGCTAATGCCATATTGCAGGCAAAGCAATTAGGATCAGAACTATATATAGGGATCCATACAGATGAAGAAATCAAATTAAACAAAGGTCCCACTGTGATGAATTTGAAAGAACGTCAATATACCATAGATGCCAATAAATGGAGTACTAAAACCATCATAAATGCACCTTATGTTACACAACCTAGTTGGATGGATGAATATCAATGCAAATATGTTGTTCATGGAGATGATATCACTACTGATAGTGATGGAAATGATTGTTATGGGATCGTGAGGGACCAGGGGAGATTGAAGTTGGTTAAAAGAACTGAAGGTGTGAGTACTACTGATTTGATTAATAGATTGTTGGTGCCAACGACAAAGCATTATATAAAAGATGTGGGAGGGATGATTGATGAGAATAAAGTGTTGATAAAGAATTTTGCTAGTGGTGTTGATGGGAAGGAGCTGTATGATGGTGTTTGGTTTGTTGATAATGATGAAGTTAAAGAATTGTATTATAAAGAGATGGGGCCAGTTGTTTATGTGGAGGGCAGTTTTGATCTATTTAATCCTTATCATATTAGTGTACTTGAGGAATTGAAATTGAAAGGATTAGAGATTTTGGTTGGTGTTTACCGTGATGGAGTGGAACAAACGAGTATGGATCTTTTACAAAGATCATTATGTGTATTACAATGTAAATATGTTGATGCGGTTGTTATTGGAGTGGGTAAAGATGAAGCATTACCTGGATTTGATATTAAAGAGAGATTTAATGTTAGTGAAGGGTTTGTTAATGAATTTGATGAATTGAATCAAAATGGGATCAGTAAAAGAATCCAAGATCATTATGAGTTGTACGTGGAGAGACAACGTAAAAAGGGTGTTAAGCATGAATTGGAGCAAGAACTTGAAAAGAATAGCAATAGATAATTAGAATGGCTAGTAAATAAAATAAAATGTTGTTGTTGTTAAATGTTTTGTACCCATCACCTGATTTTCCGATAAAGAAAACGTCAAGAGGATTATCCGGGGTAATAGAAAAAAGGAGTAAAACTACAAATTTATCATCTTCATCAATTCATTTTTCATTAAAATTCTCTAATTGCGTTAAATAGACAGTGTATCATAGCTTCATTTGGATTCATCACTTTCGTTAGTTGATTGTTCTTCTTCGTCATAGTAATCATCTTCATCATCCTCATCGATATGATCGTGTGAATGTTGGATGGCATCAAACTTGACCTCGTGGGCACTGGCATTGGAGCCACGTCTCTTGTTGAAGACTGGAGGGATCTCGCCGTCGTCAATCAAGTCATTGATCTCGTCACCTGGAGAGCCCCAGTTACCACGACCAGCACCGTTCTTCTTTGTGTGTTGAGGGTTTTGATCTGGATGGCCGTTGTGGGTGAACATGTGAGGCTCTGCTCTTTTCTCGTGGTAGGTCCATTTCTGAGTTCTAGTCATTGTGATTTAGTTGATTTAGTTTAATTTAATTGATTCAATTTAATTTACTCAAAAACAAAAAGAAGAAGAAATCAAATATTCAGATCCAGGGGCTCCTTATATACTTTCTTTTGATCATCGTGTGACCTAGAACTGCCCTCCGCCTGTGCGCCTACCAGGATTGCTCTCTCCGCCTAGAGTCCCCCTGCCCCTCTGCCTAGCCCCTCCGCCTAGCCTGCTGCTGGCGTGACCCCAGAATGACTCACTACAATTATTATAAGCAATAAACCACTTCATTTCACATAAACACTACGCTTTGATTGAGCAATTCCAGCCCAATCACTCTGTAAATGTCCAGCACCACTCTCTTGGTACGCTCATTCTCTAAGTCATAAACTATAGGCCTTAAAAACCCATCCTCAAATATCAACATTTTAAGTCGAGATGTGTCCCATTGATTGGCTAGCTCTTGAAGAGGTAAAACACCTGGAATTACACCAGGGATACCATAAACATCACCTTCATCTTGATCTAGTATGTCATTAGAGATCTTGCCATAATCAACACCTTCCCAATGCTTGAAATACTTTGTAGCTTGCTTAAACTCATCACCATCAACTCCATACATCTCTTCCACAACATTAACACCATCTTTAATAGCAAATAATGCACCATCTTTCATATAACTTTTAATATCATCATATTTATAATAATCATAATCAACAACATTCAATATCTCGCCTCCAAATTTCTTCTTATAACTCATTTTAGAACAATCTTCTATAAAATAACCAAGATAATAATATTGTAATCCTAATTTTTGGGATAATTCCATCTCTTTCAATCCACTAATCTTACCTAATCCCAATTCTTTATAATCAGGATCATATATAAAATAAATTGATGAAATTCCACTGGGTAAAACATCTAAAAATCCAATTGCAATTAATTTTGAATCCAAATAATAACATTGATGTAATGGACCATATTGTAAAACCTCGTCATCTTTAATCTTCCCATTTTGCATGAATGGATAATCACACAAGAATCTTTTAAATGACCGTTCACTAGTTTTAAAATCATCATGTATATGATTTTGATACTTTGTAAATAATTCATATTTACGCTTTGTGAAAACACTATCTTCATACTTAATCTTTAATCGATCACATTGATCCATTTTCCTCAATTCTTTAACCAATTCAAACCCTTTAGAATCGTCTGAATGTCCCTCAATGCCAATCTTCTTATTAAACTTGTTTATTGTCTGTCGATGCTCTTTATTCAACTTGAACATCTCCATATTAGTTCTGATTGTATACATCCTACAACATCCTCTCAACAAATCAGTCTTGTATAAGAAACTCCCAGATCTTCTGAATCCCTTATTAATCAATTGATCATATTGCTCCACTGTCATGTTTTCCACTTGGAACCCCAATGAGATTGAAGATGGTGTCTCTTTGGATTGAGCATAATGATTGGTCCAACTCTTTGTGGGAAACGCTTTTGAATGTGGTTTTTCATGGTGACAATACCCACAGTCGTCACTTTTCAAATAAAGAGGTCTCGAGATTATGAGCTTTTCATTCATTTGCATTTTTAAAAGAGAATTGGGTGATATAATTTTGACGTTATTTGGTTAAATTTTTGATTTTTTTTATCGAGAAAAGCAAAATTGTTTAATACTCAAACCAAAAACACAATTAAAAGAATTATTGATTCAAAATGAGTCTTTTATTTAAAAGATTCCAAAGTGTGAAAACTCCCCAAATCATAAATTTCTTCAAATTATTCCCAAAGACAACTCATTCCAAAATCTTGTTCCAAATCGATCCAAAATCATTAAGAAAAGAATATAGATCTCTTCAACAACAACTTCATCCAGATTCAAACATTTCTCATGATGATTCCATAAAATACGATGATTCTAAATCCTCATTACTAAATAAGGGTTATTCCACATTGAAATCATCGTTATTAAGATCCCAACATATCCTTGAATTGAATGGGATTGACCTTTCCAAAGATGAAGTTTCCAAAAAATATAGTTTAAAAGATGGTGAATTATTGTTCGAAATCTTGGATATCCATGAAAATTTAGAAAATGTTAATAATGAACAAGAATTGGAACCTGTTAAGTTGGAAAACGATGAACGGATTGCCAAAAGTGAAGCTATTTTGAATGATTTGTTTAATAAACAAGATTATGAAACTGCTGCAGTGGAAACTATAAGATTAAGATATTGGTGGAATATAGATAATGCCATCAAGAATTGGGAACCTGGTAAGCCAATAAACTTGACACATTGAAATACTACATAACCTTATTCCCTCAAGTAATATATACTCCATTATTAATTTATTGTACAGAAAACCCTAATTGTAGTGAAACTCATCTCACCATTTCAACATCTTCTCCATCCTCATCATCTTCATTATCATCATCAATATGTTCACCCTCATCATCTTCACTCTCTTGTCCCAAATTATTAGCTATTTGATATTCACAAGTTTTCAATTCATCCAACTCTTCTTTAGTTCTTGGAACTTTTCTTAACCATTTCATTCTTGAACCCACAGGACTTAATTCATGTATTTTAAACCCAAAGATCTTTAGATCATATTGTTTTTTATTTCTTTGTTTTATTTGATTTTCAATCTCATTGAATATCTTGATAAATAATCCAGGAAATGTTGTACCGAAAAATGCACCATCAATATTCAAATATCTTGAACTATTTGGTAAGTATAAATCAAAACATGAAGGACAATAGAGTCTAACCGTCTCCACACCAGGCTGGTCATGTCTTCCAATAGGTAAAAGATGCATTCCTTCACAATAATATCTGGGACATGTCCCAAATTGTTTCTTTTCATACTTCTCAACCATGGCTTGTAATCCTTGTTTAGTTAAAATGTATCTTGAATGGATCAACCCGTACAATAGCTCAGCACTGTGCTGTACCAGAGGCAAATCATTAACACTTATTGGTTTTTCAGGTTCGAAATCCAAAATCATATCTAGGGCTTCTCTATAAAATGGAACTATTGAAGATAGCCCAGTTAGATTGAAATCATCCTCTATGAACTCTGGAGCAACTTCAACGAAATAGTCATGGCCGTATAGGGAGCAGAAGTTGCTGACCCACGTCTCGAATTCCTCTGAGCTGTTATTCTCTGACATTATTTGATTTCTTAGTTAATTTGATTTAATTTGTTCATTTATTCAATTTAATTCAATTCAATTCACAAAATAAACAAGAAAAAAATTACTCTTCGCGAATTCGTTTTGCAAAAATTTCGTTTTTCCAAAAAAATCAAATAAACTCGCAACTTTTCAATACCAAAAACCATCAAAAAACCATTAAAAAACTACTAAAAGGCTATTTCACCATGGAACCTTACTCCCTCCTACTATCAATCCTCACCCTACTCATATACTCCTCCCTCCTCTCCCACTTCGGCAAACAAAACATCATCCAATCCATCTGGCTAATCTATTTAAAATACTCATCAAACCCCAAATTAAAACAATTGAATAAATTGAAAACAACAAAGAAAGCAGTCTTTATAGAAAAATCTTCCATTTCTCCTCAGGATCAATATGCTAAATGGACAAAACTTAATAGAAAATTTGATGAATTGAATAAATCAATAGATTCTCTAGAATTAGAAATTGTGGAATTTAAACAAAATTTTGAAAAACCAATTTCATTATTATTATCAAGTATTTATTGGTTACCTATGGTTTGGTTTAGGATCTTCAATAGGAAAATTGGTGTGTTTTGGTTACCTAATGGTGGGTTCCCATATTATTTGGAAAAATTACTAAGTTGGCCAAGTGCTCCAATTGGTTCAATTGGGTTAAGTCAATGGTGTTTTTTAATAAATGCTTTCCTAAGTGGTGTTTTATTCATTATCAAGAATTTTAATGTTGAATTACCTGAAAAGCCAACCAATAAAATAACTACAGTTGAATAATATAAAATCATACATTTTTATTGTCCCTTTTTAATGTATTAATCCATAATATTCACCAAATTTTAAAACATCTGCACAATTTTTAAAGTCTTGGAAATAAACAACTTGTCTTTTTTTATTACTTTTAGCATTTTCTTGATTGAATTGAGGAATTGAATCATTTAATTTTTTCCTTCTTGGATCTAGTGATTTATATAGATATGTCAAATCTTTATAATATTGATCATCTTTCTTTGTTGTTGAAATCCTTTTATGATTTATTAATTTATCCAATAAATAATGTAACCAATATAAATTATTAATAAAACTTGATAATGACCAATCAATTTCATCATTATGTTGATCAATTTTTTGAATTGATTTAATTTGATTTCTCATAAATCTATAAATATCAAATTGATAATCTCCACAACCTTTGAAAAAATCTTGATGATCTAACCTTGTATAGATAACATCCATTTCATTTTCTCCATCTAATCTTGATAATGTATAATCAATTAATTTAACTTGTAATTTATTTGAACTAGTTTCATCATTTTGTAAATCTTCTTCAGTTTCTTCAATAATTGATAAATCTTTTAAAGCATCTTCAATCTCTTCATTATTACTGGTATCATTTGTTTCCTTAATAACAATATTCCCCCAATGTAAATCTCTATGTTCAAATTTGAAATTTTTTTCACCTTTATCCAAGATTTTAACAATTGACCAAAAAATTTGTAAACATTGTTCCCAATTCTTAATTTCAAATTTTTCTAAATCAATACCACCATATTCTAAATCCATTATTAAATATTTTTGATCTTGATCAAATTCAGGTCTATAATTACAACTTTCTTTTAATTCATTAAAATCATCCCATAGTTTTAATAATAATCTTGGATAACAACCTTTAACAATACATGATTCATTAATTTTAATGAAACCTTCAATTGAACTTAATTTTTTGGTAATTTTCAATTCTTGGATAACATTATCAATTGATGGTTGTTCAAAATTCCCATCACCAAATGGTATGATTTTAAAAATTTTTAAAATTTCATTAGTTTCAAAATTTTTCAATAAATAAACTTCACTATATGAAGCTTCTGCAAATTTAATTAAAACTTGATTATTTGCAGTACCAATAACTGAAACATAATCTTTAAAATTTAAAACTTCTGGATAATTTGTTAATTTTACCAAATTCTCCAATTGTTTGGCTTCATATTCATTAGTTGTCATCATTGTTGTATTTGTTAAAGTTGGAGCTAGAGGTGGTAAAGATTGTTGAGATTGAGGTTGAGGTTGTTGATTTGTTGGTTGTCTTGAAATTATTGAATTTATTGAAATAATTGAAGAACTATTTCTTAATCTTGTCTTCAATTTTTCTCTTGAATTTGTATCAGGTCTTGGTAATGAAATCATTGTTTTATCTAAATGAGTTTTTTTATTCAAATCATTAATACTATCTTTTTTAGCTAATCTGAATAAATTATGTTTACTTGGTGACATTGATAAAACTGATTTTCTCATATCACTTAGGGAATTTTTACCTCTTAGTGATCTAATTGATTCATTATCATTATTACTATTTTCATTTTTCTTACTTGAGAAGATTGAAGATAATCTAAATCTTGATTTTGAAGTTCTTATACTAGAAGAACTCAACATACTGATATTATCAGTATCTTTTGCATTTTTCCCAGCAAATTGATGATGTTGTTGTTGATATTCTTTTTCTCTTGAATGATATGAGGTATTGATGTTGATATTTGTTGAAGAAATACTTGCTTGACTATAAGTTCTCATTGGAACTGGTGAAGGTGCATTATTAAAATTATTTTCTGATAAAATATTACTTGAAGTACTTGATCTTTTCAAATTTTCACCAACAACACCAGGTTTGATGTTTTTATATGGAGTATTTGTCTCACTTGTATCTTCTAATGAACTAACAGAAACTGAAGATAATGCATTACCAACTCTACTAATAACATTTTTAATTGAATTCCCAGATGAAGTTGATTGAGTTGATGCAATTGAAAATCTTTTGTTTTTAGAATCAGTTAAAGATGAAGTTGATGCAATTGAAAATCTCTTGGATGATTTATCTTTTGAAGAGTTTGATTGAGTGGAGACAATTGAAAATCTCTTGGATTTATTGTTATTATTGTTGTTGGTGTTTGTCGTATTGACATTTTCTTTATCTTCATTATTAAATGATAATAATGACCATCTTTTAGAGCTATTTGAGTTCAAAGAACTTCTATTTCTAAATTGTGATAAACCTGCAGAACTGTTTCTTTGGAAATTTGGAGTTGAAGCTAATGGAATTCTTTTATCATTAATGGTATCTGTATTAATGTTTAATTTTGGTGAAGAGAGATCTTGTAAGACTTTTTTCTGTTTTGAAGATTTCTTTTGTGGTGTACTCTTGATTATTGGTTGTTTCTTCTCAGGAGATTCCATTATAACATCACTATCTTCATTATCAGAGATGGAGATATTAATGATTTGAGCATTACTATAAGGTTCATCACCAAAATCATCATCACTTGAAATATTGGCCATTTCACCATCTTCAATTTGTTTATGATCATCTTCTCCTTCTTGATCTTCATCATCATCAGTCATTTTAAAAGAATCATTTGAGATATCAAAATCATTTGTATTAGCCATGGTATTATGATCCTTGTTTATATCCAATACCAAATCATTTAAATTATATTTTGCCTTTCTTTTGTTATATTTCCCATATGATCTTTGTTGGGAGTTACGATAAGAGTTTGATAGAATCAAGCCATTACGTCTATCCCTGTTATTCAAAGCCATGATTCTTGTTTAGCGAATGCAAATAAAACTGGGTATTAAATATAAAAAGTTGAAATAGCTAAAAAAGAGCAAAAGAGCTAATGAAATATGGAATATAATTGATATTGTTGATTAGCAGATGGTTTCCTTTTGAGGCTATGGATAATTATCTTGTTTCAGCTTCTTTCGTTCTTTGTTTTGTTTTGTTTTGAAGATGAAATCAATTTTTTTGTTTTTGTTTTTGTTGACATTTTTTTTTGGAGATTCGCGATTTAAAGGGAAATTTTGATGTTGTCAGGGAAACGATTGAGATGATATTTAACATGAATCGAGTAAAAGTAGGGGAAAAAAATGAAATAGGTGGTGGGTTATGTGTTTTTAGTTAGTAATTGATGATTTAGGTGTTGAATTCGTCTTTAAACGGTGTAATTACCTTTAGATTCAACTGAGATCTCGTTGTTAAGGTACCAGATCTTGATCTTGATTCAAATTCTCAATGGAATGGATCGAATTCAAATCTGAAGAGATACAAATTAGTAAGGAATCCTTAAGATCTGAATAGTTAAGACTAGATTGATCGAACCAAAGAGAGATAGCACCTCTTTAATTATCTTCTCTCTTTATCTCATTGTCTCTGTTTTCAATGTATTTTTTTCTTCGGCTTCGCATCTCATCGAACCAAACCACAAAAAAAGAACATAGCACACTCAAAACAACTCCAAATTCAACCAAACAAAGATAGAAATCAAAGTATAGCAATATTAGATCTCAACGCAGCAAAAAAAATAGCAAAAAATGGCGTTACAGACAGGATTCGAACCTGCGCAGGTAGAACCCAATGCCTAACAGCTACACGAAATAGCAGGGCATCGCCTTAACCACTCGGCCACTGTAACCGGGGAATTGACGAAAATTGGTTTTCCGAGGGCTATGATTTGTCGGAAAAAATTCAAATAAAATTTTTAAATTGATCTAGAGTGATGAATATTGAAGTTATTTTGATAGAAAAAATAGATATATTATGAGAAACGTCTGGTAATTATTATGGTTTAAGTTTTATTGTAATTGAAGCTGTTTTCATTTTCGAAATTTTAGATTCAATTTTCTTATAAATTATTGAGATTAAATCTGGGGTAAAGAGGTCTATAAACTTGAGTAAGGTGTAGAATTGATTGTTAGAACACATTCAAATACGCTGAAAAGAGCACAATAATAAAAAGGACTTTCAAAAAGCACTATTGATATATTTTAAGACATATACTATCTATTAAAAATTGATGTTATAAGTATTTAATGAGTTATCAAAATGATGACATAATTATAACCCATTACATAATAATTTCAGTTATTGATTATCAGGTACCAAATAAAGTGTAAAATATACTAAAAAACTTCTTTAAACTTCAGAGTTCTAGAACTGTGCACTTCATTTAACCTATCAGTTATTCAATTTATTAAATCTTCAATTAGTTAATCCATAAATAGATGGTATCTAATCATTACCTAATCTCTGACATAAGCGCTTATGATAAGGGCTGCGTTAACCGGCTGATATCCGATTACGTAATTAACACCCTTTATTGTTTTCAAAAGGGAAATCAAATCAAAAGTTTTAATAAACTTGAAGCAATTAGTTATTGAAGGGATCCATTAACAATGTCACATTCAAGAGTACTAGTACCCAAGTCTAAGCATAGTAGTAATACCAACGGATTTAAAACTAAACAAATCAAACCAAGAGCTAAAAGATCAAGAAATGGTTGTTTTAGTTGTAAAAAACTAAAGATTAAATGTAATGAAGATAAACCAATTTGTGAATACTGTCTTCAAACCAAGAAGGAATGTATTTATCCAGATAATGTTAATGCAGGTGAACAGCAACAACAATTGGTTAGTCTAAATAATAAACCTTTACAGAGATTAAATTCAGTTTCATATCAATTGGATGTATCAAAATTAGAATTAAAATTATTAAAATTTTATATTGAATTTAGTGGTAAATTTTTCGCTATAGCAATGAATGAACGGTTTCATAAATTTTGGTGTGATGATATTCCGAAATTATGGTGTTGTTCAGATATTATCAAGAATTCAATATATTCAGTAAGTAGTGCAAAATTATTATCATGTTATGATCCAATGGTTTATGAAGATGTTGTATTCAATAATGATGGGATTGCAGAGTATAATAATGCGGATGGACAATTAAATCTAAAGAAAATATCAATAGATTATATGAATAAAACTTTTGAATTGATTGATTTATATCAATTAATGATTGATGATTCAAATTCTAAAAATATTTATGATGTTGAAGATATAATGGGTCAATTATTAATTGCTAAAAGATTGGCTACAGGTACAAGGATTTTATTACCAGAACCAAAATTGGGGAATGAAAAAATTAAGGATTTTGCCATTATGAATGTTATGAATGAAACTTATAAATTTTCCAAACATTTCACAAAACATGTACCAATTTTAAAACTTTCAAATAAATATTCAGATCTTTTTGAGCCTGAAATCATACCGGAACTTGATTATAATATACTTTATAGGAAAATGGAATTAAATTTCATAAAACATTTGGAAGTATATGTTTTACAAAATGTTGATACATTTGATATTAAAACAATTTTATACAATACAGCTATATCATATTTAGAGAATGGATGTTATAGTACAATGTATTATAAATATCCAATTGCATTGTTTAAATCCATCATTTACATGTCTGGTGATATGGATTTCATCAAGTTGTTGGAAAATGAAGATCATATTTCATTAAAAGTCTTGTATTATGCTTGTTGTTTATGTTCAATTTTCCATTATCAATTATATGAACGGAGTGGGTTTTTCATTGAGTTTATAAATTACTATAAAGCTCATTGTCAAAGACTGTTTGATGGATGGGAAGATTCAATTGACGAGAATATTTATGGGTGGGTATTGGGACGAACACAGAGTCGATTCCCGTTTGAATTGGAGCATATTCAAAGCGTTGGAGAGCCGATTGGGGAGTATTTGGTGAGTGGTATTGAGGTGATAAAATAGTTATTGAATCTATTAATTCTATTAATTCTATTAAATCTATGTAAAGTCATAAAAATCAATTAAAACCAAAAATCTGATCAAATCAAAACGTAAATCGAATTGAAAATCTCTGAAAATCGCGGCTTTAATTAAAATTAAAATTAAACAGTGAAAAAAAAGCCTTTTAAATAGAAATTAGATAGGGGCTTCTAGAAAGAAAAGAAGAATTTCATATTTCGTATTTAATTTTTATATAAGTTAGTTAGTTTTAGACCCTTTTTTTCTTGAAATTTCATGAAATCATTATACCCAAAAATGTCTGATACCAACCAAATCACCAAAAGATACAAAACTAAAAGATCCAAAAACGGGTGCTTAAGTTGTAAGAAGCTGAAAATAAAATGCACAGAGGATAAACCAACTTGTGAATATTGTCTCCATACAAACAGAGAATGTGTTTATCTAAATAAACCATCTTTTGTTAAATTAAAAGTGGTTAAAACTAAACAACCACCCACATCATTAAACCATGATACAGTTCTTAAATTAAATTCCACAACAAATCATTTACAAATATCAAATTTTGAATTAAAATTAATGAAATTTTATCTTGAATTTGGTGCTGATTTTTTCAGTTTTAAAGTAAATTTAGATAATTATAAATTTTGGAATGAAAAAATTCCAAATCTATGGTGTTGTTCAGATTTAATCAAATTATCAATATATTCATTAAGTAGTGCTAGATTATTGGCTAGTTATAATGAATCCAATTCATTCACAAGTGTTTATTTGGAGTGTGGTGATGATGAAGATCAAGAAAAGACAATAAATCTATATGATCAAGTTCAACATTTTAAAAACAAAACTATTGAAATGATGGCATATTCGAATTTCATGATTGATTCTCAAATTGATTCTCAAGAGATGATTGACATTGGTGGTCAATTATTAGTGGCTAAATTCATAATGACTGCAGTCTTCGCAATGTTACCAGACGAGGATAATGATATGAATATTGTGGAATTAAATAAATTTAAAATATTTAAAATCTTTGAAACAACAAAAGATTATCAAAAAATCCTATCAAATAATTTTAATCTTTTACAAAATTCAAAATATATGAAGATCTTACCACCAACTTTTGCATATGTTATTGATAATTCAAATGATGGTTTCAAATTCACTCAACATTTAAGATCATACATCTTGGAAAAGACAAACCCCTTGGATATGTTACAAGTTAGTTATTTGAATTTCATTTCATCAATTGAATCAAATTGTGTCAAGGCTATAGAATTGAATTTCCCCTTTGCCTTGTTTTTACCAATAAGTGAAATTTCACTAGATGATGACCTTATACTATCTTTAAAACAGGGTGGGAACCATTTGGCTTTGAAATTATTGTTTTATATCTGTTGTATTATTTCAATATTTGATTTTAAATTAGCAAGAACAGGAGGTGTTTGGAATCAAGTTATTGAGTTTTATAGAAAACAATGTTTTCATAAGTTTAATAATGAATTTGAAGATGAATTTGATCAAAATGTTTATGATTTAGTGTTGGCTAGGAGAGTTTATAAAATTCCTTATGATTTCAATTTGATTTATGATTTAGGTGAACCTGTTCAAGATTTCATCAATGGGAAGATAAAATTATCACCAAATGAAGGACCTAGTGTTTTCTTTTAACCCTTTTATAGCTTTCAAATAAATGTACTTTTTGTAAGTTTTCACAAACATAAATCCAAACTTTTGTTAAAATTCTCAACAAGTTCATAATAACGTTCCCAAGGCTTAAATCTCAAATGATCAAACTCTCTCTTGTGCAAAACTGAAGCATATTTCTTATTTCTAGGAATTTCTAAAAATTTCCTCTTTTTAATTTCAAATAATATTAAATTTGATAAAATTGAACGAGCAATTTGTTTATCCTTATCACCCTCTACATCTTCACACACGGCTAATGTTAGGAAATGTAAAGTGTTTAATAATGTTGGTATTTGAATATCATTATTTTGGAATTTTCTCTTGATCAAGTCTTTAAATATACATCTTTGTGAATTTGATTTTGAAATGAATTTTTTCAATCTAATGAATCTGCTGTATAAGATTGGTTTTTGGTGAGAGATAGGAAATTTGGATAGTTGGTGTTCTGAAATGAGGATGGTGCTTTTGAGTATAGTAGAAGACATGTGCAATAGCTAGTAGATTGAATAATATATTATGATTAAAAGTGAAGAATATTGGTTATTATGTCTCATTGAATTTTTTTTCACTTTTTGAACAGATACAAAATGGCAGATAGATACCAATTTGATTTAATTGAATTTAATTTACTTATTTAATCTAGTTATAATTACTTATTCAGTTTATTTATTTGTTTTATTTAATTAATTTATATTCAAACCAACCCTTCAAACTCCAATCTCTCACAACCATCACTCTCACCTCTCAAGAACTTAACAACCGGCTCACCCCATTCAGGTCTTCTTTTATACTGTCCAATAGTTTCTTGCATACCTTCAATCCCACCAATCAATTCATCTCCAAGCCCTTCTTCTCTAATATCCCAAATTGGTGTCAAATACGTTCTTATCCCGAAAACAATCGTACCAGTCTTTGGCAATCTTGTCAACGTTTGTCTTTCAGATCTAAAGAAAACTTGTCTTTTAAAATCCAATTCATCTGGGTTTAACGATTTGATCTCTTCACCTTCAACACCTTTATTTGCACCAATCACAAAGATCTTGTTATGAGTTTGGATTGACCAGTTATTTCTCTTGACGATCGTACCTTTTTTCAATTTTTCGAAAAATTTATTCATTTGTGGTTTTAATTTGGTACGATATTCAGGAACGGGGCCATGGATTGTGGTTAATGGAGTTTGGAACCTTTCTACTGGGTCAAACCCAGCTGCGAATGCAAAGACACCACCTTTGAAGATGTATTCATCTGTATCGTAATTCTCAGGATCTGGGAATAATAATATGAAATCCTCCTCCAAGAATCTTGATAAATGATGCAACAACTCCTTTGGATCCTTTTCCACTAGGGGGTTAAAAGGTATGGTATCACCTCTGATATGGTTATGGATCAATCCATCACGGACACTAAAACACATTGGATAACGTTCAAGCATGAATCTTGTAGATTCTTTATAAAATTCAATAACTGAAGGGATACAATCCTGTGTCATGAATATGGCATGATCATGTAGTTCAGGGTTATTGACATAGCTGAATTTCAAATCTGTATATGATTTATAAGTGTTTTCCACTAAAAACCATTCATCATTTGGGATGTTGTTAATACCCATGACTAATTTATATTCACCTTTTTTGAAAGGTCTGTATTTATGAGGCTCTTTTGTAGACCAGTTGAAGTTTGGATCCACTGGATTGTAATGGATTGTGTCATTATCATCTTCTTTTTCAACTATGATCTCTTGTTTTGGTTTCTGTTCAACTTTTGAATCATCTTGAAGTAATTGATACAGGACATAAGTCAAGATTGGGATGGTGAAAGTTTTGGAACATAGTAATTCCACCAATTCCCGTGCTGATTTCTGGGATATGAGCTCTAGCACCATTCTCAGGATTGATGAGTACTTAGAGTATTCAAAATAGCATTGAAATGAGCATGTTGATGGTTTTTTTTGTGCTGCTTTTATTTCAAAATTCTGAGTCAAATCGCTTTTTTTTTTCGATCTCCTGTAACGGGAAACCAGATGCGCAATTTGGATAAGACGAGAGATTGATTGATGAAAGGGGTTGGGATAAAGAGATGGAGTGTAGAGAATAGCTTGATGATGTTTGATTAGTTCCAAGGATTTGAATGGTTTTTTTCTGGGTTCAAATCGAGTGTGTTTTGAGTCTTACAGGTAATAATCAATCGATATCATAGATAAATATAAATAAATAGATAATTTGAATAAATCACTTCTTCTTAGCTCTGAAGTTGGCAATATTGACCTCGACTCTAGCATCGACTCTTTTCTTCAAATCAGTTCTGAAACCCAATAAAAAGAACAATTCAAAAAGAATGAAAAAGGGAGCCAACACCAATGCTTGCAACAAGTTATCCAAAAGAGCAGGAGCTCTCTTCTCAAAGACACCATGTCCTATGAATTGGACAAGCCAGCCAATGACAAACGCAGCAATCAACAACTTGTTAACCTCTGGAGAGTACAAGGTCAAATCAGTGAAATAGATTGAACTAATCATCAATATTGGAGTAGCCAATGCACCACCAATGAAATCCAAATAAAGATAGAATAACGAGTATCCTAAACTACCAAGGACACCAAGATTCAAGTATTTGGCTAGATGAGGGATAGGGATTGGGATTCTGACGTTTGTAGCATAACCAAAGGAGCTAAACATGATTGTGGGAACAAAGACGGAATGGATGAGGACGTTGATAGTGTTGAAGTGGTAGCTTCTGTAGAAGACGAGTTGGTCTTCGAGGTTGATGGCCATGGTGAAATGATATAGTAATTGATATAGAAATAGTATTCAATACTAGTTAATAGGTAGTTAATAGTTATTGTTATTGTTATTGTAATTGTTATAATTCCAATTGCTTTTATAACCAAAGGAAAACTCGGGGTTAATGTTGGGGTTTCGCGAGTTCCTTTTACAAAGTTTTACTCTAAAAACCAGTTGTCTATTAAAATATTCTAATTTACATTTACATGGGATCCCACTCTCCTTTTATAATCTTTCTAACTGAAATTCGTATCCTATTTCGGGCTGGATGCTCCCTGCCATTACTGGCTATTAATCAAAGTTGTGTGTATAACATGCTGTGTTGTGATGTATTGGATGTGTATTCATAGTGAATACCTGAGTTGTGTAAATCTGATGTGCACGGCACAAGGTTTAGGCTGTGAAAAATAAGTGAGATTTAGGCGAGCTCTAATATATGGGAATTGATGATGGTTCCTAATTCACGATAAGCACTTTTGATCATATTGGTTTTGTTTCTTTGAACAGGGATGTCAACCATAAAGGAGAAACTTCTTTAGAAAATCAATTGAATCATATGGTGTGGTCATCAGAGTTAATAAGCTTCTTTCATGGAGTACCGACCAGAAGTTGAACAATATTGAACAAGTGAATCAATATGACTGTTGATGTCTAATTGGTTTTTGTATTATCCTTGATACGATAATACTTATGCATTTCATCTGAGGTAAAAGCCTCTCTAATATGAAGAGATGCTTGTTGGATATAACTTATAACCATTTGGTTTTGGTCTTTCAAAGATATTTCATCTGGATTTGATGGTGTTGAAGTATCTTGAGCGGTTGATGATTGACCATGATCTAAGTTTAATTGTTGGAAACTTTCAGCAACATGTTCACCATCTGATGTGATTGGAACATCTTCAGAAGGAGCTGTAGCAGGTGGTGGTGGTGGTGGTGGTGGTGGTGAGTTAAAGCGTCTGTTGCGAATGGATAAAGGATTGGTTGATGAGTTTGAAGTTGTA